CTTAGCGTGTAAAGAATTAGCTATATTAGCTATAGCTACTAGCTAGGGGGGAAATCCTTACGCATCTAGCTTAAGTATGTGCTAAATAATTACCTACTTCTTATTATTATTTAGCTTTTATAAGTTAGCTATATAATTAGCTTAAAAAGGTTATTTAGTGCGTTAGTTACTTATTATCTTTTAAAAGACTTTATAAATAGCTGCAGCGTGTTACTTAGAAAGTGTTATGTCTTATTTAAAAGCCTAAAGTGTAAGCTGCATCTAACATTCCTTTAACACATCTAAGTAGTGTTATTAGAAATGCATTAGTGTAAAAAGAGTAGTGTAGTAAGGTCTTAGTAAAAGTAAGCAACTTAGGTGTGTAAGCAACTCGCCTATGAAGTACGTTATGACAAACAACGTCTAATCAAAGATTTATGAACAAGTGAAATCTCAGCCATTTCATCCCTTCTCTATTATTTCTACTCAAGCCTTTCGACTCGACCGACATTATGCGGCGATGGCACCGTAGGAAAACAGAGAGACTTTGATCCGCTGTTATGGAAGTCAAAGCTTCTCTTTCCAGAGGTGTCTCGTTGGATGCCATCTCCTCAATTACCGTCAGGCGCCCAACCCCACAGAAATCTGGGTCTACCCAAGAACTCTCGCAATGTACGCGGCCACATTGACGGCTGATTCGCCCTTCTATGTAAGTCTCTGTCAGTGAAAGCGTTCTTTGGATGCAGCCAATTTCAACGTACCAGAATATTCCAATGATGCCGGCCCTCTGCCCTGTCGATTCGCACTGGCACGCCTGGAAACAGCCGACCCCACTTTCCAGCTGTAAAGTCTGTCCGCTTCTCCGTCAAAAACTTCATATCCTCCGGATCGCCCGGCTGCGGATGGAAGTGTTCATCCACAGAGCTCTCGCAGGCCCAGAGAATGTTGACTTTGCGGAGGGTGCTCACGGTCAACGGTGCAGCGAAATAAGTGCTCAAAACGCGGTTGATACTTCTAAAGTGCGAGATAATCCAGTCAGGCGCCGTGCCGCCTTGGCCTCCGAAAAGATTCGCGGAGCTACAGTATTCGAAAAAGTGCTCCGGCAGTGGTTTGAGGTGTTCGGGTGGCGGCGAGTCGATGATGATGAGGTCTTTCACCGTCTCGCCTGCGCTCATTAGGATTTGGGCGGCGCGATAGCCAATGATTCCTCCAGCAGACCAGCCGGCGAAGCTATACGGTCCATGAGGTTGACGGCGGCGGACCTCTACAATAAAGCTACCGACCAACCCATCCCAAGAACAGTTCATAGAGAGGCCCTTTTTGAGATAGGGAGAGTTTAGCCCGTACACTACGAGGTCGTTTCTGATTCTTGGCAAGCCGGCATACGATGAAGCCAGGCCGCTACCGTCTGGGAAGAAGAACAGAATATCCGCCGCTGCTCGGGGATTACCTTGCAGGACGAAAGATGAAGTGGCTGGGACTTCTTCTGCAATGGGCGGAAAATCGACATCAGAGAGCGGAGTGGTCAACCCTGGAGTGTCTATCGGTGGTGGTGTACTTGTCGACCGGATCGAGTCTGTAGAACTTGACACGCTCGGAACCTGCAACAACATTCCTTTGGCAGGGAACATTACCTCCCGCAGTGCACGAACGGAATCCAGCGATGACAACACCGAGTACGTGTCAACATCGATGTCTAGCTCATCGCGAAGACGACTCCCAATCATGAGGGAAAGGAGAGAATCCACCCCGAGCTCTGCGAGCGAGGTGTCATCTGAGAGCTGATCTAGAGCAACGCCCGCCTCCTCGGAGATTATTTTCAGCACGTCATCAAACCTATCGTCGGTGGTGCCATCGCTTGTATCAGACGCAACATTAGAGGCCGCTGGTTGTGCTGGCAATAGCACTTGTTGCTGCGGCACAGGCGTGATTGCGGCCTGGACGGCAGGTGTCGCTCTTCTGCCAGATTCAATTGGCTTAGGACTCGTATCTGATGCCTGTAAGAATCTCTTTACGTCTGCAACAGTACCGTTCTCCAGGAATAGGGTTGAATCTGCGTTGATCCCAAGTTCTTCCGCGAACAGACTTGTAATCATCAGCGAAAGCAACGAGTCAATACCAATATCATCGAAACGAGTATCATCTCGAAGTTCTGACGCTGGGACACCGCTTTGCTCGGAGATAATTTCCAGAGCTCTTGCTACCATGGACCCGGCGGCAAGTAGAGAGTCCTCCTGGAATTGCTGAGTGACGGGGACGTCTTTTACAGAAGCCGCCCTGACTGCCGGAGGCGCTTTCGAAACTGAGGGTTGGGCAGGGCGACTTGCGGGACTAGTCGATTTCGCATCTTTTGCCTTCGGTTTTGGCGGCTTGGAAGCTTGTGAAAGGATGAACTTCAGCAACCGCCGAGGAAGACCTTGAATCTAGTTCCACTGCATTTAGCACAAAGACCATGACACACATCTTGTGGGTACTTACACGGATGCTCTTAACCACACCAACTGCTCGATCTCCTGAGAAAATCGTGATATCGCCTGTCCACAGGTTTTCCTCTCCAGGCATCATACGGACATGGGTACTATACTGGCAGTCATCTCGGATACTTTCAAATAGCTGGAACTCGCCCCAGCCATGGTTCACAAAGACATCTGTCTCGAGCTTGGTGTTGTCGTTGGCATTCATGACGAAACCCCCAGACTGCGTTAAACCATCAACGGCACCCGGGTTGATGTGAAATGTGCCGCCTTTCTTCATCTGGCCGAAGCTGACTACGGAGGCAGCCTCGTATGAAGCACTGTCGAACAAGACCTCATCGATGCAATGGTAGTCTGGGTTGAATTGGGCTAACGCTGAGACCAAGCGATATGCCATGGGGCCGTTGAAGCGGCAAGTCTTACCCTCAGCACATTGGCGACGCATCCTGTCGAATTGTGCCTTCACATTCGTCAGATCGCGTTGAAGTCGCTGCCGCTCGGAGCCGTCCACAAATTTGATCTCACAGGCCGATAGTTGTCCAATTTCAATTCCGTTTCCCTTGCAGCTTGTTAGTCACGTCTAGATAATCTTGTGCCACCGAACCTACATCATGAACGGTGAACGATACTTTCGCTCCTTTGGATGCCCAGTCAAATGTTGCTGTACAGCGCAAGGACTGCTTCCATTCAAGAGACCCAATCAAGGCCCTCCGGATATCCATGTCAACGACATTGACAATTTTTTCTGGGAAATGTGGCTGGAAGCGCTCCAGAACGTATGTGCCAATTGAGAAGCAAATGTCTGCGTAGACGGCCTGGTTTGTGACTCAACGTTAGCTAGGCTCATATGGAAGAAAGCAATCCGATCACTCACCGGCGTACAGAGGTCGAAACCGTCCACTTTGTGGCTCCTTATAAATGGCTTCACATCATCACGGTTAATATCACAATCAACAACAATGTCGTAGCCATGGCTGGTAATCTTCTCCTCTAGCACCCTGTGAATAGTAGAGGTCTCAAGCTTTGGGATTTCTACTACAGCGGGCTGGAGCTGCTTGGTAAGGACAGGCAAGGGATGAGGCGCCCTTGTATCATTACCACCACGGGCGCGATCGATTGGAATATCGCCCTTCGTTAGAGTCCAGTCATTCCTATAGGGGATCCAGTATGACTTAAGCTCCCAACTGTAAGACGGAAGCCCGATGACTGTCCTAGCCGATGGGATATCGGTAAAGTACCCATCCCACTTGATTGGTAGGCCAACGCTGTAAAGGGAACCTAAAGATTTGGTCAAGACCTCCCAAGGATCGGCGTTGCGCCTCAGAGTAGGCAGAGCCGTGAGCGCGGAGCCTAGTGTCGACTTTATCATACCTGACACGACTGGATGGGGACCAAATTCGATAGCATATGCTGCATTTGTAAGTACACCTTCTGCAAATGCAGATTGAAGACATCGCATCATTTGCACAGGCTCACTGCCGTGACGAGAAATATAACCTGGCCCGAACACTCCAACCTCTCTAACCGTCGTGCCAAGAAGAGGCGAAAGGACTGGGATATGAGGTTTGTGGAAGACCACTCCTTGTGCATCCTTGCTGAAAATATTCTGGATTGGCGTGACTTGAGACGAGTGGAATGCGTAAGGTACTTTTATAACAGTACTGCGAATCCCAGCCGCCGCGAGTGGTTGTTGTAGTTCAACCACCTGAGCTGCGGTTCCGGCGAGGACTGTCTCTTTGGGTGCATTGATGCACGCGATCTCAAAGTTGACACCGCGGGTAGCACTCTCGATTTCGGATACTGATGCAAGGACAGCGAGCATAGCATGCGATGCCGGCTCGCACATCTCCTGCAGATGCTGCGCTCGGCGACCGACTAAGAAAACAGTGTCCGAGTCCGAGAGTACACCTGCAATGTTCAAAGCTGCATACTCCCCAAGGCTATGACCAACAACGGCAGTTGGGGCGATCCCCCACGAAATCCATATACGTGCTAGAGCGATTTGCATACAGGTATTAGCAAGCTGGACGACGACCGGAGGGTATTCGGCGATGTCATTTCCGCTGCTCGCGTTGAACAGTGACATGATTCCAGGGAATCCCAAACGTCGAGCAAGCTGATCGAAACGTGTGATCTGGTCCCGGAACACGCTCAATGATTCAAGGAGATGTTTACCCATTCCTGGGTACTGCGAACCTTGCCCAGTGAATGCGAAAAGTATTTCCTTTGGTGGGACGACACGTCTGCTGCACTGATTGCTATTGTTGACCTCTCTCAACTGAGACTTAAGAGACTCTATGTTATGAGAGGCCACGATGACACGATGCTGATGGTGCATGCGACGAGCGGTGGTAGTGTACGACAACTGTGGGAGAGAAACTTCAGATCTCGAGAGATGGGTCACCAATGCCTGGATGTTTGCCCTGAGTGACTTCGCACATCTCGCAGAGACGGCCACAGGAAATATCGGCCTAGTCTTGCAATGCTTGGCAGGTATCGCAGACGCCATTGAGGACTCTTCAACCAAGATCGAGGTATTTCCGCCTGCTGCGCTGAAGTTGTTGATGAGTGCCTTTCTTAGTAGTCCGCGAGAGCGTGGCCAAGCGGTTGACTCGAAATCGATATGGACATTGCGTGCTGCAAGGTTTGGAGGGAAGGCCGGATTTATGCGGGTCTTGATGCCACAGTGCGGTGGGATCGCTCCCTTCTTCATCATCATTATCACCTTGATCAGAGCACTTACGCCGGAAACGGACTCCCCGTGGCCGATGTTTGATTTCAGCGCTCCGAGGTGGAGTGGTTGATCGGCAGGTCGTTTGTGGGGTTTATTTATTGGTGCAAGGACGTCGCAGACAGAGTTCATCTCCCTTGTATCGCCCGCTTGAGTACCGGTTCCATGCATCTCAACATAGCCCACATCATAGGCATTAGTGCCCGAATCGTTCAGCACACGCTCAAAAATATCTTTCTGGGCACCAACATGGGGGCGGGTGATCGACTCCGCTTCCGCCGAATGATTGGTATACGCGCTCCCAATGATCCCATGAATCGGATCACCATCCTCGAGAGCATCTTCGAGACGCTTCAGCACGACTGTCGCAACTCCTTCTCCCCTGCAATAACCGTCGGCAGATTCGTCAAAGGTCTTGCAGTTGCCTGTCGCTGAAAGGAAATGGCCTTTATCAAGTCCAGTGGTCATATCGGGATTTGTAAGCACGTTGGTCCCACCAGCAATCGCCATATCCACGTCTCCCTTCCACAACGAGTTGCAAGCAATGTGAATGGCCGCTAAGCTGGAAGAACAAGCTGTATCCACGGCGAAGCTAGGTCCCGAGAATTTGAAGAAGTAGTTGATGCGCCCAGGTATGAATGCTCTGTTTGCACCAGGGATATAGTATGCGTCGATGTCTTGCCCGCTATTACTCTCGCACCAGTCGTTGCTTGTCACGCCGTAGAACACACCAACGCGATCTTCTCGGGTAGACGGCGTCCGGCCAGGAACGACACCAGCGTCTTCTATCGCCTCGTATGCTGTCATCAGGGCAAGACGCTGGGCTGGGTCTACTTGCGGCGCCTCACGGGGAGAGATAGAAAAGAAGGCGGCATCAAAGAGGTCTGGCTCTTCCAGCCAGCAACCCCAGCGGACCTTGCACATGTTCTTCCGTTTTCCGGACGGATCAACGTGTGTTTGGGCATTCCACCTTAGCTCTGGCACTTCGCGGCACATATCCAACTTATTTTGCAGCAAATCCCACAGTGCCTCTGGGCTTGATGCTCCCGGAAATCGCCCAGACATACCGATGACGGCAATCTTCGACCGGCCCATCGCGCTGTCTGAGGGAACGCTCACTGCTTGCGAAGTCAAAGTAATGGCCATGGGAATATGGTCTGCGAGCAATGATCTGACTCGACACCGCACCGTCTCGCCAGCATCAGTGCCAATTGGTATAATCAGTATATCTTTTGGAGACCCTGCTCTCAAAGCTACACCGAGATGTTCGATAGCCTTGTCTATGACCATTGGGCGCGTCAGCACGTCGCGAACAGCGCATTCCAACATGGCCTGCGAGCTTGCTGCCCAGACAAAATTGCCGGTGCCACAAGACAGCAACGGAACGGATTGTTCGGACATTATCGGTGCCCAGGAGTTGGCTTTTTGTACAATGGAATCAACATCTTCCTCAGAGAACAAGTGTGGGGCGTGGTAAGGACTGTGGATCGGGAGCATAACAGTGTCGAGTTTGGAGAGGGCATCTTCCCGCCTCAATTCAGCCAGGACATGGGGAGGTCCGCTGATCGTCAAACCGGCTGTCGAGAAGGCGCTGATGTACGTGTGGGAAGATGATGGCGCTGGCTAGGGGTGGTTTCAGCCGGATACACCCAATGTGGAATGCGTGGCGCGCGTTGCTGAATATGTTCGGAAGAAACTTACATCTCGAGAGTTGAAACGTTCAAGCAGGGAAACTACCTCATTCTCACAAACGCCAAGAATGACCATAGAGCATCGAGGCGAGGTGTTGCCATCTATTAGCGGAGCCTCCTGTCCGGATCTTAACCCCGTATGCAAGGCAATCACCGTGGCATGCACAGCTGCCGGGATTAAGCGAACAAGATCTTTCGAAGAGCTGACTGCCGCGGCTGCAAAGGCTCCAGTGCAAAAGCCCACCAGCTTACTATCCTGGCCGGTAGGAAAGGAAAGTCCGCCTTCAGAATGTTGCCTACAGGCAATTAGCATAGATCGCGTTCCAGAACTTGACAAGACTGGTACCATATGAACGCTGCAAAAGTGTGAATCAAGCAGAGTGCCTGCTCCATTGCCGCGCTGATGCAGCCATTCCGCTTCCTCGTCAACAGATCGGCAACACTGGAGAATTTCGGGGTCAAATCGCGAGCATGCAACGGTAGGCGGCCAAGCTCTGTCTGAATGGCAGCATAGCATTTGCGGAAAAGTGAGGTTAGAAGGACATTGTCGGAACGAAGCAGCTGGGCTAACGAATTCTCGTAGTTGAATGTCTGATCGCCGAAGAGGTAGATTCGGCATGGCCTAGACATGGCCATGATTGATTGTTGAAGTCTGAGACTGCCTGGCAAGAGTGGAGCAGATTGCGTCTGGCTGAACTATCAAGCCTGTTCTGCATGCTACATCCAGAGCATAAAGAGGGCCGTAAAGGAGAAGGAGCCAAAAGCCACAGTATTGTACAAGATGAGGGTGGAAGTAGTCCCGAGAAGCTGGCTTTGTGGGGCATTCTCCAATCGCCAAGCCGGGGTGGCTTCTGATTCCCAGGAATTGCACGACAGGTCTCCAATGTCTTGCCTTTCCGATCTAATCAGAACCCTGCTGAGATAGTATCGGACCTTTGCGCATATTTTCGTATTAGAATGGGCCGAGCGCGGTAACCATCTCGAATGAAGTTGATCTAGGGTGTCGCGAACTAACTTATCTTATCGGACAGTTAGTTGTGTTTAGTCGGGTGCGAAGTGGAAACCACCCGATATATCGGCATTGAACTCCTAACCTTCTCTCAGCTAGGCACTATCTCTCTTTCGATGTACATGTATTTGATTGCCGTCGTTCTAGTTGTTAGCAGCAGTTTCATGTTTCTGCTCTGAGCCGGAAAATGGACTCTTCTTCAGTCACGGCATTCGCTTCCAACTCCACTTCGTCAGGTACGCCGTCATGGATGGATCTTAGTTCAGGTGGCTTGCAGCCACTAACAGCCACGGTGGCTACCTTCCTCACTGCTTTGATCACCTTGTTAGCGTATATGTCGTATACTCCCAAAGTTGATAAGAGGGCGCCAGCGTTCACATCGGACACTGCGCCTTTTATTGGCTCATGGAACTTCTTTTTTAAAAAGATGTAAGCCAACCGTGCCGTATCTCTTCACAAGAACATCGGAAGACTAACCAACACATCTAGGGACTTCTGGAAGAGCTCCATGGCCAGATCTAAAACGGGTAATTTCAGTTTCTGGCTTGGCAAGAATCACGTCGTTGGTGTGTCCGGCGAAGCCGCCCGAAAGATGTATCTAGACGACCGCAGACTCCACCTTATCAAAGGAATCACGCTTATCGGCCACGGACCAGACTTCATAAACGGAAGGTCATCGGTCATCCATGAGATTTGGAAGGGTACCGGCTCCAGTGGTAAGACTTACGCCCAACGGCGCCTTCTCGACTTGCAGAGATCCGAGCTGCTCGCGAAACGTATTCCTCGCGTCACGGGAGATGCTCGCCGGGCATTTGAGGCCATGGGAAAGGGTCCATCCGAAGTTATAAGCCCCGCAAAGGCCTGCTTTGGCATTGTAACGGCGCAGGGCAGCCGTATAGTGGGTGCCGATGAGATTGCGGATGACCCAAAAATACTGAAAGCCCTCTTGACCTACATCCCGATCCTGCAATTTACCAACAGTCTGCATCTGCTTGCTTTTCCCTGGCTATCTTACTTTAGTCTCGCGTATTGGAAACGTCGCTATGGCCGTTGGGGGCTGACGCGGATCGTGAAGCCTATCATGGATAAACGGATGGCACCAGGCGCTCCTCGTGTCGATGACGCCTTGCAATACTTGATCGACACTGGGGATAGCAAGGAGTTCATCACTACTTTCCTTATTAGCATGCTCTTCATTACCGGGGCAAACACGTCAGTCATCTCCGGTTCCATGCTGAATATCGTCGCCCACCATCCAGACTGGCAGGAGAAGATCTACGCTGAGATCAAAGCCTCCGCCGCCGCCAGGTGTACGAACAAGGCCAGAAATATGTCTCTGGTCGAACAACTTGATTCGCTCTCGCTAGAGGGCTGGGAACAGATGTCCGCCTCGCTTGACCTCTGCTTCAAAGAAGCCATTCGCATGTGGGTTGCGTTTCCCATGGGTCGCTTCAACGACACACCCGATCCCATTCCCATTCCCAGAACCAACGAGGTAATTCCTTCTGGAAGCTTCGCTTGCTACAACACTATAGATGCGCATTATAATGAGAAGCTATACCCCGAACCTATGAAGTGGGACCCGGAGCGCTGGCGTGAGGGCCGGAAGGAATTTGAGGCAGAGATTTATGGCTGTGAGTACTCCATCGCACCTCCTCACCACCATTTCTACGTTATTGTCAAAGCTATCTCCTTTCCATTCAGCAGCAGGTCAAATACTAATACGGTCTTTGCGGATAACAGTCATGGGCTGGGGCGCAGGTCGACATCCCTGCATTGGGATGCGATGGGCCAAGCTGCAGCAGAACATCATAATGGCGTATGCACTAGCATTCTACAAATGGCAAGGATGCGACGAAAATGGTAACACTAACACTGAGTTCAAGCATCCGACGCATGCGTTGGATCATCTTGCGCCCAAGTTGCCGCAGGGTACCCATTGCAAATTTGAACCTAGGGAAGAAGCATAGTGTACATAGACTGAAACGACTGAGTTGGATTGATGTGTGCGGGATTGGGAATCCTTTACAATAAGCGGGTGAAATGGCGACTTGAGTGACGGTTGCACAGACTGCCATGTAGTCTGGCAGATACCCTTAATCTTCTCGTTGAGAAACCCAAATAGCATCGTCCCATATGACCTGGAGATTCCAAACCGCCATGAGTGGCAGAAATATAGGCTTAATATACAGCCGCATGAACACAATGCATTGCGAGAAGCTGAGAGTATGGTGGAATTGCTGTGAAGCATAGACCCCTAAGATAGTGCACTTCAATTTTTAGAAATAAATTTAAATACGTAGATGTTGCTACAAAAAAGCTCCTAATATTTCATCCTTTGCACCTATATTAGCGAACCACGTATATTATTTCCCGCCAATCATGACCTATACTTAGAGTAACGTACGTTATAAGCAACCTGCTATCTTAACTAAGTTTTTGCACCCTGCAAACTTTAAATCACTATGCCTCTGCTAACTATAACTTAATTACTCTATAAAAAAGTAGACATTATTTATAGCCTTATAAATGCACTAGTTATAAGAGCAGTTTTGTATTATAAACTAAAGGTCTAAGAAGCTATATAGTTTATATAGTAGTAATAGACGCTAACTCTACAGTTTAATTAGATAGCAGTTTATAAAGCTCTTTAGCTTACATTATTCTTATTATTTTCTTTATTAATAAAAAGTAGATCTAGAGTGTAAGCAATGTTGTAGCTATAACTACCTAATATCTTTTAATTAACTCTCTACATCTAACATGCTAAAATACCTATGTAATGTTGTTACAACAGTTAGGTAGAGCTGATAAGAGGACACCGCCAAGGCCAAGCCCAGAGGGGAAGGACAGACCGACTCAGGTCACGTGACACGGTCATATCAGGTGATGTGCTTGCCAGTATCAGGGAAACACGCTGGGACCAAAGGAATACGCTAGTGTGTTCCAAGGAGAACGACGCGTTCTAAGGAGAACAGCGAGCACCACTAGGTATATAGAACCGCCGCTCCTCTACACTTTGCAGAGGGTTATGGTTATAACTTAGTTACACAGCACGTTCTTAGTAGAGGCAATCTACTTAGTATCCTTCTTACTATTAAAGCACTCTAGCATACAGTTACCCTCGTTCCCTCTTGTCTAGCCATCTCCCTCCCTTCCGCACAAATCACCTAGCTTGATCACCCGCACGACCCTGCTACCCGGTTGGGGCTAGATAAGTATCAGACTACTTCTATATCCTTCTACACTACTCCTTTCTCTCTGACTATAGTCACTAATAATAGTATAGAAGCAATTCTACTGCTAGATAAGATACTAATTTAACAAATGTAACTATAAGCTAAAGTAAAAGAAGCTTACTAAGCTAATTTAAATTATTATTAAGCATATACTAAACTTAGATTTACATAGATTTACATCTAATCTAAGTGTTATATAAAATATAGTAGTTAAACTACTTACTATACATAGTACTAGATGTAAAAACAGGGTATACACTTCGCAATTAAGAGGTGTGTTAACTAACAAGGGCGTAACTGTAACATAGGAGTACAATTAGTACCCGCCTAATTTCTAAGGCGATCCTCTGCTATCTAAAGAGGGTTTCTACAACTAGCTATATACTTCTTTAGAGAGCTAGGCACAGCAGCGCTAGTAGCAACAAATCTAGTATGCTATAGGTCTAGTTTAAAGTATTACCTGTCTAGAATGCCTAGCTTTTAGGCGAGGTAGGCGTTGTCTAGAAAGTGCGGGGTTGACGGCACAGGTTAGGAGTCGTCCGGGACTGCCTAGTGCAGTCTAGGCTAGGCTATGTCGGACTAGGACATACTTGGATAGCCGGTTGTTACACTAGATAGGTTAGTAAATAGTAGCTGTTTAACTTTATTAAGTATATAAAAAGCTTTATATAAACCTTTTAAAGTTATTAATAGCTAGCTTATACGTATTATAATAGGTGTTTAAATCTATAGAATTATTAGCATAACTATATACACCTAGTAATAGCTAAGAAGCATGTATAAGATTAATTAAGAAAAATTTAGCTTAACTACTACTAAAAATTCTTATAGTCTTATCTATTATTACTATGTAGGTGTTTTAGTTAGATAAGGTAGATAGTTTACTTAAGTAAGTAGTTTATTTATAAAACATGTTATATTAATAATATTACTAAGCTACGAATTTTACTAGTTTTAAAGTAGCTTTTAACTTATTTATTAGAAAAGGTAATAACTATGTAATTTTTTAAAGTACTAGCCTAGTACTATTAGTACTATTAATACTTAATACATAGCTGTATATATTATTACTACTATTAATGCTAGACTCTCTATAGAAGTTAAAAACACTAAGTAATATAGATAAACTATAAAAATAAAAATAAACTCTACTAATATATAAAGCAAGTTAAATAAGATAGAGTAGATTAGCTTTATTTATACTATATAGCTTTAAGATGCTAGTAGTAAAGCTAAAGTTTTAGTTAACTATAGTTATAAGTAGATATAAAACTACTAGAATCTATTTCTTTTATTAGTTACTTTTATTAGTTACCTAATATTTTAACCATCTTACTAAAGGCGCTAAAATAATAGTGTATTTAATTATACTACTGCGCATGTAACAGTGTTGCTTAACAAGCTCCGCTGCTAGTCACATGGTCGCGCTAAGAGCTAAGCGTGAGCGTTGGAATCTTAGCGCTGCGCGAGCTTTTCTCTCGCGGAAACCTTCACCTCCTTCTCTCCTCATCCTAGTATAGCCTGAAATGGAGCTAATATACTCTACCTCGCTCTACTAGCTCTATGCGTAAGTAGATTCTGTTTCTTGTTGTTATAATGCAACCAAGTCTCTACTCTTTAAAAAGCTAACTAGGCTACTATAAAGTATAAAAAATGTAAAAGAGAGTAGATTTAGAAGTAAAAACTTTAATAAAGAAAGATTAAAAAAATTCACTTAGTAGTGCACTAACTAACAGCTAGAGAGTAAAAGGTGTTAAGATGTACAGTACCCTCGCATAAGTGATTGGCCACTTAGCCGAGTTCTTCCCCCACCACACAAATGCACTAAAATCAACCCACCATAACTCTATTAAAAGAACCCTATTTTTAATAAGTCTAAAGCTAAATAAAACCTCAAGAAAAGAGCTGTCTAAATGTACTGTTAATACAATATGGCAGTTCCACCTCTACAAGGTGAGCGCTAGCAAAATTGCGCGTCATCTTAGCATACTAAAGTCAACAGTTACGTATAACATCAGGAAGCTGCAAAAGCAGCCCTAACACATCTATACTAAAGCCCTGCGTACAGGCAGGCCTCTAAAGCTTAATAAACGCGCTAAGAGGCATCTTATTTGCTAGGCAGTAAATAATCCCTTTGCTACGCTTAACACTATTGCGACGCTATTAAAGACTAGATGTTAGATCTATGCCTGCACTATAAGGAAATACCTTGTAAAAAACAAGTACTACGCCTTCTGCCTACGCTGTAAGCCTTAGCTGTTAGCTGTGCACAAAGAAAAGCAACTCTAATTTACCTAAATACACTAATTTAACAAGGATAAAGACGTGGCTTGTATAGCGTTTTATAATAAGGCTACGTTTAAGGTTAGATTAGATACTACGCCTCTATAGGTATGTTAAAGAGCTGGGCGTGGGTACAAGAGCTGCTACTTAAAGCCTACATTTAAGTCTAGAAGAACTACAGTTAGTGTTTTTAGTGTAATATCTTTTAATAGTAAATTAGAGCTTTATATTAACACTAACAGCAAGCGCAACAACTCTAGGAAATACTGCTAGATTCTACACAACGTTAGGATCCCATTCTATTAGGAACTTATAAAGGCTTAAGGGATTAGCATCTAGATGCAGGATAGAGCCTCTATACACACTGCAAAGGCAACTTAAAAGTATATAGATAATCATAATATAATCTAGATAAAGTGGCCTCTGCAGAGCTCTAATTTAAATCTAATTAAGAACGTCTAGCAGATTATAAAGTTGCGCATCTTAAAGCAACAAGAATATATTACTACTTGCTAGCAAATAGTAGAGGTCCTGCAGGAGGAGTGGTCAAAAATTTAACTAGCTAATTATAGGAAGTGTATCCTTAGTTAGTTAAAGCGCATAAAGGAAGTTATCTAAAACAAAGGCAGATTAACTTACTATTAACTAGCTACAACACTAAGAAACTAGCCTATATATAGGCTTCTTATAGAACTAAAAATTTTTAAATTTAATTAATTTTTAACAGAGATATTGCTATGCTAAAATGGCTGACTTCACCCATCTAGAGCTTAGATCACTGGGTGGCTAATGACTTTCGCGAGGGTACTGTACAATGCCTAAGTGTAAGCTAACAAGCTGCAACACGCTATACGCACTGCAGAGAGCAGGGACACAACTTACACGCATCTTGAAAGGGTAATATAGATGCTGCTTAATCTATAATTCCTGTTTTATTAATTATATTTTAATGTAATGTTAAACTGCGTGACTATAACGGTGCAGAAAGTTACAGTAGCAGCTTGCTTGTAGTAGCAGCTCGCTTGTACCGTGTTTCATCGCCTAACGCACAGCCCCTCGTAACGCACAGTTTTAAGATGTTACCTTTATTAACTTTTAAAGCTGTACAGCTCTATAGAGCTTATAACATAAAGTAGTTTTCTAAAATTATAAAAAGAGCTTACTAATTAATTAATCTATTATATAAGAAACCTTTTAAAAAGGTTAATCTACCTGCTATGTTAACTTTAGGCTAGAGTAGGTGTAATAATTTTTATAACTAATTTATGTTTAATATAATTCTTCTTCTTATTCTTATTACTAGTAATTAGTGTAGAGGCTTTCTTTTTAACTTTTTTTTTTTAGCTAATTAGATGTTTTTTTTAAGTTATATAGTAGCTTTTTAAGTAAATTTTACTTTCTTTTTTTAAGCTACTTTAATATGCTACTTTTAGAGTTAAATTTTTTTTACTACTATTTTTATACACTTTTTTTATTTAGTATACACACTTTTTTAAGCTTTAAATAATTTTTTTAAGTTATAAAGCTTTTTTATTAGCATTTTTTAAGCTTAAAAATTATATGCTTTATATACTTTATTTAGTAACTAAAAAACTAATTTATTATTATACTTAAGTAAAGCTTTAAGTAGAAGAGGCTTTTTATACTAGCAGTAACACTTTTTATTAAAGAAAGCTTATTTAAGATGTTTAACTTTATGCTAGAGTAAGTTATTATAACATAAAATTATATATATAGCTTAACTAAGCTAATTTAACTAATTACTATAAATATTATTAATAAATTAGTGTAAGATTCTTTTAATCTTTCTCTAATTAGAAACGCCTAGTACTAAAGTAGTACTATTACTAAAGAATAGCTAGTTCTTCTTTTTAATGTTAGGTTATACTAAAATTACTTCTAAATTAAATAGAAATAAACTATATATTTTAAATGCTATAAAAAAAGTTTTTTTTATAATAGTTAATAGTTCTTAGCACTTATAGATAAAACCTACTAGCTTAGCTAAGTAAGTAGTTAATAGAGGCTTAAACATGTAGACATCTAGAGGCTACAGAGCATAGGTTAAATAAGGTGGATAGATGGCTAGAAGAATTCTACTATTATTATAGTACTTAATAAAATCTATAGTAACATGTAATCTATAGCTATTTAAAACTAATAGTTTATAAAAGTGTTAAGCCTTTTATTTATCTTCTTATTAAATAATTATTTAAGCTATATAAAGCCTAACTTATTACTTGTCTACTTACTAAAAAATAAAGTAAAAAAAGCTTTATATTTATTAAAGTTAAAGTCTTATAACTAGGTGTTTTATATGTTGCTACAGTTATTCATTTTTCTCTATAACAGCTTAAAATAGAGCTTATATTTAAAGGCTAAGTTAGCTCTTTTATAACTAGAATCTATGCTAGATGTCTATTAAAATATAAGTTTAATATTTTATTACTTAATAAAGTAATTAACTTAGTTTTTACTTGTCTATTTTTTATAGCTATTTTTAAGGTAAAATTATATATTATAAGCTTTATAAGCAGTAGTTTTTTTATATAAAGCTTATTAAAGTATTTAGAGAGAGTTTCTTTTCTTATATATTATTAAGAAGTTGTTAGCTTTTGTGCTTCTCTGCATAGGTGCCCTACACTCTGCAGTAGCGCTTTAATAGTATAGAGTAACAACAACTAAATTTTCTTACTATTGCACTATAATTAGGTTTTTCTCTAAGCTTTAGCAATTTAAACAACACCAGCACAGCCTTAATTAAGTCTATATTAGTAGAGATAAGCTTAATTAAAAAGTTAATAGGTTTTAGTTATGTGTGCGTTACAAGGGGCCGTGCGTTAAGCGATGAAAGACGGTAGCAGCTCGCTTGCAAAGTACGTTCGTTATTCTAGCAAAAGGCCGCAAAATTCAAGGTCACGGCGCGTACTCAGTGGTGCTGATATTTCATCATGCGTATTCTATGCAATTTTCAACGATGGATACGAAATTTTTCAGACTTGCATTGCATCGACCGGTGTCGATGTCAGATAGTGCGGCTAGCTCATCGGCAACTACCATCACATTCATTTTCGTCTCAGCTTTGGTTCTGTTGTTCTTTCCTACGATCCGAATATCGGGGTGATGCTTGTCGGGTTGATTCTCGAGGGAGTTTCGGTCGGGATGAATGCTCGGGTTGCTGATCGGGGTGATTGTCGTAGGGACGCCACTGATTGGACCAAAGGACATGACATCACGCACCGCAGTTTGGGTCAGCTTGGGCTTCTGTGTAGCTCGGCTAGCACGCGAAACTGCATCAAGCAATACCATCGAGCCAGAGGCCACGATACCGCTGTTTCGCCGTGGGTGCATCATCTCGGCCTACATGGAGTGCAAATGCTCGGTAAAGGGATGCAGCGAAGCTACACTGAACGATTCGGAAGAACTGGAGGGCACAATCTCTGTGCTGCTTGACCATGACCGCACTAGCTTGTTCTGTTTCATCCGATTCTCCAACGCTTTCAGTTTTCCCACCCAGCCTTCAATAACCTCTTGTCAACCCTATCATTTCTAAGTCGACTATCTACTATATATCATCTGTACCCGCTTTCTCCAGATTGAGTAGAGCGACAATGGCAACGAATGGTATATTGTTGGCGAAGGGGAAGAAGCAAACCCTTCTAGCCCTTGCCGAGGAAGTTCAGTGCGAGGCCAAAGCAATCACAGACTTCTGCAATGCCAATGGATCTTCTTCACCATCATTGTTTCAGGACTGGCCAGATGATCTTCCAGAACACATACAGGCTTCTCGTATGAAGCTTCGCGAAGCCGCAAATGCCGTACACGACATAGCCGTGGGACCATTTGATCATCTATTCTCGCTTGCTTGGAGTGTATACTTTCCGAGCCCCACATACCTACTTGTAGACTGACAATAATAGTTTCATCACGTGTCGACGTTGCGCTGGCTCATTCATTTCAAGATCCCAGAGGCAGTCCCGTTAGGTGGAGGTATTCCCTATTCCGAAGTTGCATCCAAATGCGGAGTAAACATTTCTCATCTACGCCGTGTCTTGCGCTTTTGCATGGTCAATCGACTATTTCAGGAACCACAACCAGATCATGTGGCACATAGTGTCTTTTCAGCGTACCTTGTCACGAACAAAGTGCTGCTGGGCCAACTCGAGTTTCTTTGTGAGGATTCGTTCCAATTCTCTACTAAGCTTGTGGAAGCGCACAAGAAGTGGCCAGATAGCAAGGGCCCCAATCACGCGGCTTTCAATGTAACTCGTGAGACCGAACTACCACGCTACGCATACCTTTATCAACCGGGAAACGAGCAGCAAGCAAAACGATTTGGCAACATGCTAGAATTCGCGCGACTGGAACGGGCTACCGACGTCCGATTTGTCCCTCCTGCATATAAGTGGGAGGACGTCGATACTTTGGTCGACGTTGGAGGCGGGACTGGGGATGTTGCAGTCACACTTGCCAAAGCGTTCCCACGACTACGCATCACTGTTGAGGACCAAGCCCAAAGTATTGCGACTGGAAAGTCTACTTTGCCGGCAGAATTGCAAGACCGCATCCAGCTTGTCGAGCGGGACTTTTTCGAGCCACGCATGGTCGAACCTGATCTCATTTCGAAGACGAAAACATACTTCCTGCGTATGATATTGCACAATTGGCCTGACAAGGACGTCGCACGGATCATACAGCCTTTGCTACCCAGTGTCCGAGCTGGAGCAAGACTTCTCATTATGGAAATGATGGTGCCACGTCCAGGTACCGTGCCCGAGACTATGGAATGGTGGATGCGGAGTCTAGACATGGAGATGATGATTCAGTTCAATAGCAGGGTGCGGTCAAAGGAAGATTGGCAGGAACTGTTTGAGGGAATAAGCCCAGGTCTGGTCATGAAGTCCACGACCACGCCGCATGGAAGCGGACTAACGGTCATGGAGTTTGGTTTTGAGAATTAATGTTTGTACTAAGAATCTTACTACTTCAATACGATGAGATTGGTCACCCTTGTTCCGTGCGATAATTAAATATCAACAACAGAGATAAGATGGTCCAATAGTTCTTCACGTTAGGGATTCGAAAGCGCCAAACCCCTTTCTACGGGAAAATTCTGTATTTGACATCCTAATTAAGAAACACAATATAAAGTATTCCAGGATAGATTGATCCTTCAGGCTCGTAATGTTCAAATTGGGTTTTGCCATATGCACGATGACGTGGGTGGCTTTTAACCGGGCCAAAGCTAGATTCCACCTTTCTACTATAGGAATGATCGGACTTCGGAGTCTAGCTCACTTCACGCATCGCGCTTTGAACCCTGTCGTTGAATTACTGTTCAACTAGGCTTGAGGAGTCACTGAAACTCTCTAGAATATGTGCTGCCGGAAGGAAGCAGGAAATTCCCGCAGGTTCATTTCCCCCGGATTTCCTTCACACGGGAAGGACTTTTGTACCGAAGAAATCCACTTGAATCGGAAGGATTCATACGTACCGAATTAATTCTCGCCGTTGGTATTCACACCCGCGTTCTGACAGTCCTTCTCCGCGTGGATTGCGAGGGTGATGTGAGTTGGTGGGTCATCTACTAACATGGAAGCTCAAGTGCGTAGAGTAAAAAAGTGAAGAGCGGCTGAGACCGAGCTGAGATTACGTTTCCTGTCCTCCCATCCTGCCTTCTAACAGACTGCGAGACCTTGCGTTGTGACACGTCAAGGGCGGAGAGGAAATTTTCTCACTCAAGTATATCCTTTCAATTTCAAGGATATCTCGATATCCCCTAGAACCATCCCTATACTTCCATCTATCCACATCTATCCACATCCTGTCAGCAAAGCAAGACACAATGTCCACCTCCAACATCCAAGCCACAGCCATTATCACAGGTGGCTTCCTCTCAGGTACGTGTAAAAACACGATGCATTTAGTCGTCCTTTGACGCTAGCTTAGGAGCAATGATGTCGCTCTGCTTCATAACCGTCCCAACTATCTTGGATACGGCGACTGAGGCGACACACCTGCAGAAGCAGTGGGCACGTATGTATCACTACGGACACTATATCTTACCAACCATGGCCGTTGGTACGGGCCTTCTGCATGGCTACACTTCGCTCAGCAAATCTCGCGCTCAGCTACCCTGGCGGCTTTTCGCGCTCGCGGGCGTGACGGTCGTGAGCATTGCGCCTTTCACCTGGATCTTTATGTTGACGACGAACAATGAGCTTTTCCGGCTGGGCGCGCAGCCTCTTGTGCCGGAGATGTCGCGAGTGAGGGGGCTGGTTGTGAAATGGACCTGGCTACACTTTGCACGATCGCTACTTACACTCACCGGAACGATTATGGCTGCAATGGGCACGTTCTAGAGGTCTGAGTGATATTTGTGTATCTAGAACACAGCAGGTTATGAGCGAGGTGGTGGATGTGTTCCGCTCGGATGGAGCAGTAATGTAGCCCAAAGGCGTCGACATGACGGCTAGCTCTGCGGCCTATGCAAGTATTCTAGTGCCTCCTAGGCATCCTACTATGTTGCCTATGCTACCGCAGTTGCCTACGTCTCCTGTATCTTCATAAACCCCTCATCTACATAGCAATACAACTCATGTCTCCCTAACAGATTGCCCCCTTCCTATGCTAGCTGCTACACTACACGCTACGGGATCTATCTTGATCAATCAAAACGCTCGAAGCCTACTTTGGAGAGATCATTTTCAATAACTCAAACATTTATGCAGACGCCAATGCCAAAGCAAGATCAAACACTATCAATCTTTAAGAAAGGGGTTTGAAATGGTAATGATATGGAACAGAGAAATGATGAGGAATATGACCCCTGAAAATGGAAGAAAAGCCTATTCACTGAAAAGCTAGTGAGTCGGCAGCAGACATGCAAGGGCACTGGTATCCATCATATATTGCTTCAACCCTGCATTCGAAATGAATGGCTGGGATAGCAAGACTATGAGGGCATGGCTGCAACAAATAATCTTTCAGAAGTGCCCAAGTCATTGTGCGAACAAGAAACCGGTTCTAGCCCCCGTCGAGCCCTTGTACTCTTCGGACCGCTCATGCGGCATCGTTAGTGATCACAAGCATGCCGTTTAGAACTTTCTCAACTGATTTATTATATCCAGGGAAAGTGCCTTGAGGCGTTTCGCCAAATCGAGGGCCAGATTATCGTATATCGCTGATGAAAGTGGCAATGCCCTCTCGTTGTCCACATCCAAACTCATACTCTCCGGGGTGCCTGTCTCACCCCCTCTTCCACTCTGAGCCGCCTGCTTCTTTAGTGTTGACGAGAGCTGCTCGACAAGACGTCGCACGAGGTGCAGCTCACTAAGCACAAGCTGCGCTGCCATACGTGCCGAATCTGCGCCTTCAAGGCAGTAGTTCCCCACAGTAGCAGGGGTCGGAATGGCAAACTCAGCTACTGACGATAGGTGTGAACTGTAAGATTGTAGATCCTGCAAGCTCTGCGTTTGCCGTGCAGCAGCAGCGTACAAGTCCAATACTCTAAATACGACAAGAGAGATGACGATAAGCAAATACCCATGCTGTGAGCATGCACATGTGAGCATCGTGTTGACGGATTCAATGGTAGCTTTATTCTGGACGACAATGGTTCGGATCATCGTGCTTGCGGAAGCCCCCTTGAGACAGGACACAGAGGAGATCTGCTCCATGGACCTGAGGGCCCGATTCAAGCAAGAGTGTAGCAGCTTGTTCGCACCGAACCCTTGGTAGCTTTGTGCTACTTCCATACCAGGCTGCACAGAAGGATTTGGTGTGGGGCTAGGGATGGAGACGGTAAAGAGTTCAGAAATGGTGGCTCCAAATGGTGGGAATGCATCAAAAGGGCCTTCGGAGCCATTGTTGCTGCTATTCACACCCGTGGAAAATATGTCGGCTGTTCCAAGAAGGTCCATATCGTCCATGTCCACAGCATACGACACAGGGGTGGAAAAATAGTCGGAGAAGTCGATTTGCGTAGTTGATGCTGAAGATGAGATCTCATCCAGGAGCCCGAACAGATTCTGTATCACATTCGAAGACGTGGAAAAGCTCGTCCTTGGGGAGTGACGTATATTATCAGGCAAACCCAGAGCATCAACACCTGAGTTTGAAGACGAAGCAGCCGACTCGGCTTGCGCCGGTAAACATGCATAAGCGTTTGCTTCTGGTGCGGCATCTGCAGGCCGATCACAGCGGCTTTGGCTGCTGACTGACTGTCTGTTGGGCTTTCTGCCTCCTTGCTTCGCGGCCAGGTATTCGCAGGTAAGACCGCGCTTTGCACAGCGAGAGCATGTTGGCTTGTCCTGAGAGCATTTCAACTTGGATGATGCACAGCCATGGCAGCTGTTACGCAGTCGGAGCCGCTCCGGTGCAGGCGTATAGCTGCGGGAAGCGGCAGAAGACGGGAGCGGCCCTTGATGTGGCGCGGCCATGATAAGCAGCTCGACCGACTGTTCGGAAGAGGGAAGGATGGAGCAATAACGTGAAGCATTGGACAAGAAGGGTTGCAAAGATTGCAAATGGATCTCTTTAGTAGATTCAATGTGGCCTAGCTAGCAAGGCGGCACAGCGGGTGCCTGGCCGTCGTTTATATTTAAGCACACGAGTTTGGGAACCATCGGGGTCTGGAGTCGGCCCCACTTGCAGAACAAAGGAGAATTTCGATCAACCACCTCCCGTTTCGAGAAGAGCGTGCAGGAAATGCAATGAATTGACAGTAGGGTAGATACGGCTCTCCTGAGCTGACCTCGTTCCGGTCTCTTGTGCTACTCGCACGATGGTCGGGGCTGATGGAACCCCGGGCACTATTGTGATCTGCAGTTACATCGCGAACGATAGGGTCGACGCTGGAAAGTGTCAAACGGTTCCCGAACGGGTCGGATCGACCCGTTGATCTTCTACTAACTGGAGCGGTCATGTATAAGCCTTGAGTTAGCCCTTGGCGCCAGTCTTATGTTGCTTAGCTTGAACCCGCTCGAACGCCACGCCCTCAATAAGGATCTCACCGCGACTATCAAGATCCTTCGTGACGACTGTGTCTTGAAGATTAGAAAAGCAATGGCGTCAGTCGGGCTGCAGGCTCTGGTCGCTGAGCCCGCCGACTTTATCCAGCATCTCGCTATCCAGGTAGGCGTCAATGGCCCCTAAATCGTGCCGAAACAATCGCTCACTCCAATCGCACAGAACCAGCTCCTGGCGTGCTTGAAGTGGCTGAGCGAATTCCAAGTGCTGGCATGCATCCCGCTCGACGGCAGCATCTCGATTGAGGAAATTGCAGACCTCGCCAGCGTACCCGAGACGCAGCTTGGCCGTGTAGTGCGGATGATGGCGACGGCAGGCTTCCTTCACGAGCCTCACCCCGGCCACATCGCCCACACATCCCTGTCGGCGCCGTTTGTAACTAACCTTGCCTTTCTCGATGCTGCCATGTTCCTTGCCGAAACCGCTGCACCTACTGCCCTGCATATGCCTGCAGCCACGCAGCGCCAGGGCCGTCAGAGCGCCTACTCGCTCGCCTTCCCTGGTTCTCAACCGTTTCCGTCAGCTTGTGTTGAGAGAACGAAGCTGCAGCGGCAGTGGTCGGCCTATCGTCGATGCGTAGGCGACGTTGATGATAGCGCGACTGAGCTTATTGGCCGGTTGAAGTGGCGGAGTCTGGGCAACGCCTGTATCGTCGACGTGAGTCTCATCTCAATGCTAGCTGCAGTCTACCATCTTGTCCAGGTCAAGACTAACTGCCTCCTCTGATGTACAGGCTTGTGCTCAGTCCACGGAAGCAGTCATGGCCCTTGCTGAGATGCATCCATCGCTTCAGTTCATCGTCCAGATGATTGATCCAGCACAGGATTGCAATAGTACTATCGAGGGCTTTAGTGGGCGCATTACCGTGCAGAGACGATTGCCAGCAGCTGTCCAGGAGGTCACCAATGCTGCTGTATACATCCTTCGTCTAACCACTCCGTTCACACCTCTGCCTGCGCAAATGCTTGCCGAGTTGAATGCGCATCTCAATGTGCTCCGTACCAACGCCACGGCCACCCTCATTTTAGCATTGCCGTTGCTGCCGGAGCCAAGAGCCGTTAGTGCGGACGTCGAAGCGAAGGTGCGCCTGAGAGATCTCTGCCGTATACAATTAGCGGACCAGCGCGAGATGGAACCGGGCGAGTTGCTGGAGGCAATCAACAGTGTGAGCGACAACAACGGTCGGCTTGTGGTGGTCAGCCGGCTCCGTTGCCCGCAAAGCGCTACAGTGGCTTTGGGAGTTCAGTATCAGACCTTTGCAGATCGCACCCATCCAGTAGGACAAATTGTGGCATAGCACGGGGAGTAAAAGTTTAATGGATGTCATATCAATTGCCAACACTGCCTACATGAAGTACGACTTGCAAACTCCTTTCACAATCACCCATGCTTCATCAAACGCTCTCACTAACTCGTCGGGCAAAGGATCTTTCTCCAAATATCTCAAGTTCTCCTCTAGCTGTGCCGCACTACTCGCCCCAATGATTACGGCATCGCCGTTCTCTCTTTTCATCAAGCTATGGTGACTCGACCATCGGAGTGCAGCCTCAGCAATCGTCATACCCAGCTTATCGGCTACCGGCCTAATCACATCCAGGGCGGCAAAGTACGGTTCGTTCCAGTACCTTCCACGGAAGTTCTTGCCCTGCCTCCTGTTTGGATCGTACCGACTGCCCTGCTCGTGCTCGCTGGTGTCGCGCTGATACTTTCCCGTGAGCATACCGCCAGCAAGGGGGCTGAACGCATAAAACGCGATTCCGTAGTGTCGAAGACAAGGGAACAGCTCCGGCTCGACCGTGCGCTGTAACGCGTGATAGCAGCCTTGGTAGACGTCTGGCTTTTTCCAGCCATTTCGCTCACACATCTCCTGCATTGACGGATACTTGGTCAGCTCTTCTCCTAAACGGTGTAAAGAGGCTGTTCTTAATTCTTCTATCGCTTGGGTGGCTTACACAGATCTGGGCAACCTCCCAAGCGGCATAATTGCTGATCCCGAACCGCTGAAAGTAACCCGCCTTATAGAGCTCGTTTACAGCTTCGAGAGTCTCCTCGTACGGCGTGGAGTGCTGCAATAGCTAAAATTAGCAGCAGCCTGAAGTCGACATGTGAGATGCTTACGTCCGGCGTATGCAGATACCACAAGTCTACTTTGTCGGTCTGCAACGCCTGCAGACTGTCTGTGAGTCCGCGCTTGAGGTCATTCTTCTTGTGTGAATACGGCTTTGGCCCAAAGCGACCTGGGTTGAGTTTCGTATCCAGCACTATTCCTCGATCTTTCCAGTTGACTTGGCCGAGAAGTTCTTCGGAGGCACCGTAGACTCGCGCAGTGTCGACTTCATCATGGCCGTGCTTCTGCAAGACATCTAGCACAGAAGCAATGTCTTTGGTGTCATGCACGCGAGCTCCTTCGGCACCTGCAAAGGTCGTTATACAGAGCGCTTTTCGACTTGGGAGAAGATGCCGATGGGGATGAGCTATAGAGGCTGGAGATACGTACCTTCTTTGCCTACTGTCATAGCACCAAAAACTACCTTCAGTGCGGTCTTGGTCTGAGGGACACCATTGCTGGCCGTCACATTGCTGCTTCCGTTTTGGGTTGCCATGATTCCAATCGCACTGCTCCAGTTTCCAATTCACAAACTAACTTCGTGGTCAGTAGAAGTTGAGAACGATGAGCATAGCTCGTTGTCTTCCTATAGGTGGCTCCAGAATCCCCATATCGAGCATATCCTCCCGAGCGCGCAATGGATCCGAATGCAACTCTCCGAACGTGGTCGGGGATGCCACGACCGGAATGGGCTGCAAAGTCGCTTCTCACTGTATGCCTTGGACGGCGAAGGTCTTGGCTGAATCGAAAGCAGCCATTTTCTAAGGCCGCTCAATGCCAGCGTAAGCTATGATTCAGCCAATCGGAGACTCCGAGTCCTCAAATCCCGGCAAACGGGAGCAATATCGAGCATTTAGCGGGCTTAAGCAAGTAGTACACCTAATCTCGGGCCCCGACTGTATATGGGGCCCGAGTTTGAGTATCTTATGCAAGGCACAGAATTCATGACGGTGCTACTCTGCGCAAGATATTTCCGCATCGTTATGCGCTCTCCTCAACTTGACTTGGCTCTTCGTTGATCGAATTACAAATTCGAATTCTCTCAGAGTGAAGCCGCACTTTTGACTCTTTCCTCAACAGAAATGTCGTCCACAACCGCGCAGCGCACGCAGCGCAGCTCTCCGTCTGGGATATCGGTTCTCATAACCGGCGGCGGAGTGGGCGGTCTCTTGACTGCGCTCGAGCTCTGGCGCAGAGGTTGCGATGTTCGGGTTCTTGAGAGAACAAATACGACCACAACAGCAGGTGTGACGATTGTTAAGAACCCACTGTTCACGCAGCTCATGTTGTATACAGGAGATTCGTTTGTCATCGGCCCCTCAGCTCTGAGAATGCTGAAGCACTGGCCAGAAATGAAGGAACGACACGACCAGATTGCCTACGAGCCAATGTTTGCAAAGTATAAACACACTGGCGAGCGGCTGACTGAGCCCATAAAGATGGGAGCGTTGTACAAGACGAAGCTTTCTGATGGACATCCGCAGTTGTTGCTCCACTCGAGACCCAAATTTCACGACATGCTTCTCGAGCAACTTACGAAATGCGGAGTGCAGGTCGAGTATGGCAAGGAGGTAGTTGACTATTTTGAAAATACCGCTACGGCGAAGGGCGGTGTTGTACTGAAGGATGGTTCAAAATGTGAAGCAGACCTCGTTGTCGCTGCGGATGGCTTGCGCGGAACATCATGGAACCTCGTTGCTGGACAGCCCATACCGGCGAGGAGTAGCGGATCAGCAACTTTGCGAACGGCATATCCCGCTGAGCTGGCTCTTCAATACCCGGAGGTTGCAGAACGCTTCCAGTTAGAACAGGACCGCTCTTCGATATTTCAGTCCTGGGCGGGGTTAGTGTTCCCCAAGTTTCATTCCGTATTTGCCTTGTGTTTTTGCTCAAGAAGCTCACTATAGGCAAATAGAGCGAACCTTTTTGGCGTATTCTGGCGCACCGACGAACAGATGATGTGGATCATCACACACCCAGACACCGGTACGGCAGAGGAATCCTGGGGTCACCGCATCTCAAACGAGGCTGCGATAGAAATACTTTCCGCAATCCCAAACTGGCCCAAGGAGTTCGACCGCATTATCAAAGCCACCCCTCCAGACTCGATTGTGGATTGGAAACTCATGTGGCGCGACCCCCAGCCCAAATGGACGTCACCGGGAGGATACGTGGTGCAACTGGGCGATGCAGCGCACACCTTCCTCCCCACCTCCGGTAACGGCGGCACGCAGGCCCTCGAAGACGCTGTTTCTCTTGCTGCCTGTATAGCCATAGCTGGGAAGGGGCGTGTCCCTGACGCTACTCGCGTCCACAATCTACTGCGCTTTGAGCGAGTCTCTTTCATACAGGCTATGGGAATCGCGAGACGAGATGCCAAAGCCGCTTCTAACAATGTGGGAGTGAAGCCGAAACCGCCTCCAATTCCTGGCGCTTGGTTGATGGACCATGATCCTGAGGAGTACGCGGAAGAGAACTTTGAGCGAGGTTTAGCGCATTTGGTTGATGGAGAGCCATTCCAGAATACTAATAGGCCACTCAAAGTGGAATATCGACCCTGGACTATTGACGGATTGGTAGGTGCACTGGATAAGGGTGAAACGACGATTTTGGACGGGGATTGGAGTTGAACGTCAGGTAAAAAGAAAGTTCATGGACTGAATAGGCTTTCGCATATACCGTAGCTAGTAAACTAGTAGATAGTTGGGATTATATTGATAGCCATCCAGTGCCTCGAAGATTGAAGAGGTCTGATTTCGGCGGGAGTCACGTGCGCCGAGAATCTCAGGGAAACTGCAACTCCATATACGGCTTGATTCTCACTGCTACGGCACTACCGTGCCTTGATTCTAGCCGCTTGCCGTCCTTGTGTATAGTTGCCTCCGCTAGTAGTGCGTAGGAGGTCTCCTCTAGCACAAGCAGCCTATGCGCTCTTAGTGTTCTGTGAAGCTCAAACGTTGGCTATACAGCTTCATTAATGTGACACCAGGGGGCAAGAGCGACGACTACATGATCGACTTCTGTTTTTCTCGCTTTCCCATGCATGTGGGGGTTAGTCAGCCTTGTACGCCCCGAGTTTCTTGCCTTCGGATCTGACAAGGGGTAATTCCCGAATGAAACAGCCCGAGGGTCAAGAATAACAAAATGCGGGAGAACATCATTGCGACAGCTTGCTAAACGACTGTATCTGCAAGTTTGAGGCATGATTGATGAAGACAAAGGTGTGATGCGTTTTAAGGGGCATGTCATGTAACCCACGCACCATTGGGTGGCACAGGTTACGGGGGACTGTTAACTAGTGAAGGGACAAAACTCACTCGCATCACCAGGGCCACAGAATCAGCCACCTGCAGCACCGCAGCTATGTAGAATTTCTATGTGATATGCTAGATATATTTCTTACTTGTAGCATTAGAAAGCAGTTTCCAGCATCTTGCATAGGGATGCTACATAATTATAGTGCTGTAGGCAGTTAAATCTTAAAGTTACCTATTGCTTAAAGTGCCTCTAGAATTAACTGCTTGCAGTACAGTAGAATTTCTAGTATAATGCTAGATATAGCTTTTAAATAGTGTTCTGTAACAGCACTCTTCCGCTACATCACTACCAGGCTTACATGCTTGAAGGCTGATTCTAGCACTCTTATTTAAAATACTACATAGTGGCAGTGCTGCCGACAGCTATTGGTGCAATTTCTTACAGTGGTAGAATGCTTGGGGTACTTTAGGTGCAGGTGCTTCAGGTGCGGATGCTTTAGGTCCGGGTGCTTTGGGTGCGGTGGTGCTTGGCGCTGGCCAGAGCAGAGAGAGCACTGTGCAACTCCAAAAACTTAACCACCCGCAGCACCATAACTATGTTGTATTTCTATATAAAATGCTGACAACTACCTCTTAACACTACAAGGAAGCTATATCTAGGATCTCACATTAAATCCTACATAGTTGCGGTGCTGCTGGTTGTTGATTTTGTGACTCTGATAATGCGAGTGGGTTTTGTCCGTTTACCAGTTAACAGTCCCCCGTAAAAACAGGTGGCACAGGTGGTCTCGGCTCATTTCCGGGGAACACGCTACCACGTCCCATAAGAGAGCGCCTTCTTCGTTGCCCTGGCATGTTTCCTGCACTTCACTCACCTTCCCATCAAAAATGGCGCCCAACCCAGGGGAAGAGGAAGCGGGCCGGCAGAGAGACGAGACGAAAGACATGGCGGCCAAACAAAGCGACAGCGGCTACCCTTCGGGGCTCAAGTTAGCGTTCCTCATGTTGTCCATATTCGCGGCCATGTTCTTGGTGACCTTGGTACGTTTGCGCAAGATCTCGCACCGTATGTATGAAGCAAGTGAACGAGCGATGTTGACAATCATGGCAGGACAAAATGATCATCTCAACTGCTATTCCTGACATCACCGATACATTCCACTCAAAGGACGATGTTGGATGGTACGGAACAGCGTATTTGCTCACCAATTGCGCATTCCAGTTGGTGTTTGGAAAGCTGTACAAGTTCTTCCCTCTCAAGGTCACTTTCTTGATATCTTTGCTACTCTTCATGGCCGGCTCTGCCCTCTGCGGTGCAGCTCCAAATTCCATCGCGTTCATATTCGGCAGAGTCGTAGCTGGCCTGGGGGCGGGAGGCGTTCTTCCTGGTGTGGTAAGCTCTCCTCGTCTAACATGAGAACCGCGATACAGCCAAAACTTTGTCCGTTTCCGTCGGCCGCACCATCGACGGCGCCATCGACAGGCTAACGTTATACCTCAGATGGTCATCATGGTCTATGCTGTTCCGCTGCAGAAGCGGCCTAAGTACCAAGGCTTTTTTGGCGCCATATTTGGTGTCGCTTCAGTGCTCGGGCCTACCATTGGCGGCGCTTTCACTACACACGTCACCTGGAGATGGTGTTTTTACATCAACCGTAAGTGTATCCTAGATTCTTCGAAGACACAATATGGCTAACACTCCCTCGCTAGTTCCCATTGGAGGTGCCGTGATGGCGCTGGTGTTCTTCCTACTCGATGTGCCTGACCAGCCCGGCACCAATATTCCTCTCACAGACAAGCTGCGGCAGGTCAATGCCCTGGGAATGTTTTTCCTCGTTCCTGGAGTCGTGTGCCTTTGCCTTGTTCTACAGTACGGTGGCACCACATACGCTGTGAGTCTCCGACTAGACTGATCCCTGCCCACTTTACATCGAGCTCCAGGAGCTGACTGGGAAATCCAGTGGAGCAATGGGCGTGTTATTGTGTTGTTTGTTTTTGCCTTCCTGCTCTTGATCGCCTTTTGCATTGTCCAGGTCTGGCTCCCGGATCAAGCCGTTCTCCCACCGCGTGTTGCCTTTCAGCGCAGCATCGCTTCCGGCTTCTTGACGAGCTCGTGCGTCGGAGCACACCAGACTATATTCCGTAGGTGCCCACCGTGTTTGTGAAGAACTTAGTGTCATGTACTGACGCCAGATTGCCAGTTTACTATCTGCCTATCTGGTTCCAGGCGGTCAAGGGCAAGTCGGCAGTTGAAAGCGGCATAGACCTCCTTGCCATGGTCATTCCTATCGCCGTGACAGCGATTGTCAATGGTCAGCTAGTCTCCTTGATTGGTTACTACACGCCCTCCCTGATATTCGGCGTCTGCTTCACGGCGATCGGCGCCGGCTTGCTCACCACCTTCGGAGTCCACACTCCAAAGGCAAAGTGGATCGGCTACCAGATTTTGTACGGTCTTGGCCAAGGCTTTGCCTCGCAGGCTCCGAATATGGCCGCCCAAACCGTGTTGCCGAAAGAGGACGTAGCCATTGGCGCATCGCTGATGTTCTTCGGGTAGGCTTAACCACGCATATTCTAAAAGATGTCGGCTTTCACCGATGAGTTGACCATTCGCTAACTCTTTGATCTTTCTATTCGCAGGCAGACGCTTTTCGGCGCCGTCTTCGTCTCCGTCGGGGAGAACGTGCTTGATAACCGGCTGACAAAAAGCCTCGCCGGCATCCCAGGCATAAACTCTGAAGTTATCAAGGACACTGGGGCTACGGACATGATCAACATAATCGGAAACCAGTACCGCACGTCCGCGCTGGAGGCGTACAACAAAGCGCTGCGCGCCGTCTTCCAGGTTGGTCTTTGCATGGCCTGCCTCGCTATTCCTAGCGCTCTTACCATGGAGTGGCGCACCGTCAAGAAGAAGATGCCGCCCAAGATTCCAGATGGTGCGCAGCTTGCTGAGAAGGGTAATGAACAGGGTAATGCAGGGGAGCAGGAAGTGCCAACAACGAAGGCAGAAGAAGCAGTGGGAAAAGAAACTATCATCAAGGCTACCGATAACGAGAAGTACCAAGACAGGGACGCAAATGGGGCGGAGTCGATAGTGAGTAGTGATGCCACGCATACTGCCACCCCGAACGAGGAAAAGCTTGGGTAAAACATCACTCGGAGGATCTTGCGGCCTCCTGAGAGATGGCTACTTGCTCAGAACACGACCTTGAACCTGCGAGGCAGGAGGGTTCATTACTGGTTTCGAGCATACATGTACAAAAGGACTTCGAATTGAACTGATCTGTACAATAAAACAAAGACAGATAACCCAACTCTCAAGTAGAACACGCCACTCCACACTTCATAGACTTATTACTATACATTTAATCGTCCATGAGTAAGCATAGTAAGTTGCATTATCGTATTTATTCGATTGCTCTTAGGTACCAACCGGGCTTCTTGATGAAAATGCGCTTGATCCACCGTTTACGAAAGTTCAGCCGTAAGCTGGAGCACTAGTTTCAACTCCATAGCGACGGGAAGACTTCAGTCAAGGCAATAGCTCTCAGACATCCGGCATCTTAAGAACCCATGGAATGTCTCGAGAGAAAGAAAATCGATTGATCGAATTTAACTGAAACATTTAGTAATTTATGCATGTACTGAGTCGACGCTAGAAGGTGACAGTTGACGGAGAGAGAAAAGCCGAGCGAAGTTCACGAGGCTTAAGGTAGGTAAGACGCGGGAGCTAAATATACCTAAGGCGCTAAATCAACACTAATTTGGCTCCCAGAAGCTTAGCATCAACTTCAACCTCGGTCTTGTCGGACATCATCACCTCTCTCCCTACATACAAGCTTGGCGCTCCCAACGTAAAAGGCCATATCCTTCACCATCCTGCCCACGGCAAGAGAAGCAATGAAAAAGAATAGGAGGAATCGAGCCCCCGGATATTAAAACCCCGTGCAAGGATAGGGTAGGAATTTACTTCCCAGCAAACTATAGCGCCCTCCAGGTAAATACTAAAATTCTACCTTCTATAAACTTCCATAGTGTAAGGACAGAGCTCTGTACCACTGCGCCAATACAACTAAAAAAAGTGCGAATGATCAACCAACAGTTGATCTGCGTACAGAATAGTATATATACCTGTCGCGCGTAAGGACCGTAGTACAAGCCGCTTCCGACCTTGCAGTGCATTATCCTTTGTAAGGACTAGCGGCCTTACAGCATAGAGAGGGAATTTAGGATAGAGAGTATAACAAGAGTAAACCTTAGAATTAGAGACAGAGGTACAGAGGCTAAGGAGCCTATATACCCTGTGCTAAGCCTTTAGAGTACTAAGAGGTTAGATAACTGTAACATAACTGTGATAAAAAGTCTACTACTATATCTTTAAGTAAGTGTAGTTTTAAAGACTCTATAGACTACTATAGTAACTTAAATACTTAAAATTTAGCTTTCTTAGATTACTTACAGAGCTAAAAGTATTTAACTTTTTCTATTCGTATATTAAAAGTTAATTAGTAGATGCATTACTAATTAAAGTACAAGGTGGTAAGATTATATTAGAGTAGACTATTTACTTAGATAGACTAATGTACTTTACAGGCAAGTTGCTTACACACCTAAGTTACTTACTTTTACTAAGACTTTACTAAACTACTTTTTCTAAACTAATGTATTCCTAACAACACTACTTAAATATACTAAAAGAATATTAGATACAGCTTACACTCTAAGCTTTTAAATAAAATATAAAACTTTTAAAAAAACATGCTATAGCTATATATAAAGTTTTTTAAAAAATAAAAAATAACTATAGCACTAGATAACCTTTATAAGCTAATTCTATAGCTAACTTATAAAGGCTAGGTAATAATAAAAAGTAAGTAATTATTAAAACTATACTTAAGCTATATATATAAGAATTTTTCTTTTAAATAGTATTTATAGCTAATATAGCTAATTCTTTACACGCTAAGTATAATTTAGACTATATTAGCATAAACTAGCCTAGTATGTTTATAAAGTGTTATTTAAAGCTTAAAGTAAAGTTTTAAGTGTAAGTATAGTTAATAAATATTTAGCTTATAATAAAGCTTATTTTACTAAAGTTATATATATTATTATTCTAAATACTATACTTAGCTTTAATATTTTTTATAAGGCTAAACTTACTTTAAATTACTTTAAAACTTTTATAAAAAGCTTTTTTATAGTTATACTACACTTAAATGTTACTTTAAGCTCTAAATAACACTTTTTAAACATACTAAGCTAGTTTATGCTAATATAGCCTAGATTATGCTTATTATGTAAAGAATTAGCTATATTAGCTATAAATACTATTTAAAAAAATAATTTGTGAAGCTATGTAGAGCACTAAAGACATGAGGAACTGGATTGTATTGTATTCCTAGAGGAGTCCTTTGCAGGAGTCAATATATATGCGAAATAAGTGGGTGGGTCTTAGCAACAGACTATGGTGCTAATGCATCTGCCAATGCATCTGACCATTGTGTGACGACACATCTGACACATCCGACTATTGTGTGACCATGCTGACGATGCATCTGAGTTATTAATGCAAACATAATTCTTACATATATAGCTTAAGTATAGTCTTAATAATTACTTACTTTTTATTATTACTTAGCCTTTATAAGTTAGCTATAGAATTAGCTTATAAAAGTTATTTAGTGCTATAGTTATTAATTATCTTTTAAAAGACTTTATACATAGCTATAGCATGTTTTTTTAAAAGTTTTATATTTTATTTAAAAGCTTAAAGTATAAGCTATATCTAATATTTTTTTTACTGCGTCTAAGTAGTGTTATTAGAAATGTATTAGTGTAAAAAAAGTAGTTTAGTAGAGTCTTAGTAAAAGTAAGTAACTTAGGTGTGTAAGCAACTTGCCTGTAAAGTATGTTATGTGATAACAAGCTTAGTCTTTACTATTGTGTAGCACAAATAGCTTAATAGGATATGTTGGCTATATTCCACAAGAATACTAAGGTAAGGAGATGGAAGGGTTAGGGGCTGGCAGCCCGGCAGAACCCATCTCCAAGCCGCGCTAGTCGCAGGCAGTGAGCTAAGCTATGTACATAGATCCTAGTATAATAGGACTAACTAGCCACAAATAGTGCAGGGCTGTTACAGACTGCTTAGTTGTAAAATACATTACTTTATTAAATTACCTTTAGCTATTTATATAACTTTAAAGGTATAATAACTACTTTAGTTAATATCTAGTATATTATAAAGCTTATTTTATTTAAGTTATATATACTTTTATTTTTAATGCTGTACTTAGGTTTTATAGTAGTTACTAGCTAAAACTAATGTTATATTACTTTAAAATTTTATAAAAAGTTTTTTCTAGCTATATTTATAATTAAACTTAACTTTAAGCTTAAATTAATTCTAGATAAACATATAAAGCTAGTTTACACTAATATAGTTTAAATTAGACTTATTATATAAAGAAGAAGCAATATTAGTAATAGCTATAAACTATTACAAAAAAATTTATTTAACTAAGTTAAGTGTAAAAATAGAATAACATACTTTACAGGTAAGTTGCTTACACACCTAAGTTACTTACTTTTACTAAAACCTTACTACACTACTTTTTTTACACTAATATATTTCTAATAACACTACTTAAACATGTTAAAAGAACATTAGATGTAGCTTACACTTTAAGCTTTTAAATAAAATGTAACACTTTTTAAGTAACATGCTACAGCTATTTATAAAGTTTTTTAAAAAATAATAAGTAACTAACATACTAAATAACCTTTCTAAGCTAATTATATAGCTAACTTATAAAAGCTAGATAATAATAAAAAGTAAGTAATTATTTAGCACATACTTAAGCTAAATGCGCAAGGATTTCCCCCCTAGCTAGCAGCTGTAGCTAATATAGCTAATTCTTTACACACTAAGCATAATACAGGCTATATTAGCATAAACTAGCTTAATATATTTATTAAGTATTACTTAAAGCTTAAAGTAAAGTTTAAGTGTAAGTATAACTATAAAAAAGCTTTTTATAAAAATTTTATAGTAATTTAAAGCTAGTTTAACTTTATAAAAAAATATTAAAGCTAAGTATAGCATTTAAAATAATAATATATATAACTTTAATAAAATAAAGTTTATAATAGGCTAGATATTTACTAAAGCAGTTATTATAAGTTTAGAGAGATAAAGATAGCTAAAAGTAGTCTAGCTAGGTAACTAGAAGTAGATAACAGCTATTTAGAGCATTAATGCTAAAAAGTAGGCTATTTTACTTTTTATTATTTTTTAAGGTAGTTACTACTTTTTAAACTAGTATAAAAAAATTTACTTTAAAATTAAGTTATTATAATCTTTAAGCATAGCTAGACTACTAATTAGCTTAGTTTAGACTAGTTAAAGCACTTTAATGTGCATATAAAAAAGTGTACTATTAGTAGCTACTATTTACTAGTTATTAACAGCTATAAAAGCTATAACTTACTTTATTTTTAGTAATACTATAAAGATAATAAAATTATTACTATTTATATACTTTTTTACTTATTGCACTTTTTATAGCTACTTAATATAAGTTATTTTACTTCTTTAAAAAAAGTGTATAAGTGCTAAGCTAAAAACCTTATATATAACTAAATTACTTATATTATAAAAATAAAGTTTTTACTATACTTTAAAGTAGCTTATAATGCTATAATTACTTTTAGTAATATTTAAAAAAAGTTTTAAAGCGCTAAATTAGTTTCTTTTAACTTATAATAAGTTATAAGAAGCTTTAATATAAAGTTACACACTTTATTACTACTACTACTTATATATAATAAGCCTTAGTAGTTATAAACCTTAAGTAATACTTTAAAACTTAAGTTATAATTAATACTTATAAAAATAAAAATTTAAAAGTATATAAATAGTTTACTAACTTTTATAGTTAAAGTGTTTAAAAAGGGTTTAAAAAAAGTAGTAATAATTATATATAAGCTAGTATTAGTGTAATAGAAAATTACTAAGCTTTAAGCACTTAATAAAGCTACTATATAATATAAATTACATAAAAAAAAGTAAATTAAGGTAAAAAAGACTTTAATAATTTAAAAAAGCTTATACTTAATAGCTTTAAAGAAGTTTAAAGCGCGCAGTAATAGAAAGAAAGTAAAGAAGCAGGTGTAAGCTAAAGTAAGTAAGCTATTCTAAAGGCGCTATAAATAGTGTAATTAGACTAGGCATAACACACAAACATATAAGCAAGAAGCAGAAGTAGTATCTAAATAATATTCTAGGCTGTACTGTACTATATAGTGCTAGAGCGGGTTGTTATAGGCTATAATAGAGTTTGTTAGGGTGGGGTCTTGGCAAAAGTAAGCGACTCAGGTGTGTGAGCAACTCGCCCGTGAAGTACGTTAGTAGATAGCATAGATAGCACTAAGGACAAGGTCTTAGAGAAATAGAAGTGTACTGTAAGAGATACAAATCACTGCTAAGTCTCGCTTGTTAGGATTTATGCTTATATACAAAGCACAGTGTAACAATTCGCTTGAATTGTTTCTATTTAAAGTTACCTAACAAACCTTATATCTAAAGGTTCCTCGTATCTGCTCTAACCCTGCCTGTAACAATTCTCATAAATCGTTCAATCTCAGGTCGCTCAGAACCTATCCGAAGGGTCCCCATATCGGCCCCAACCCTGACTCGGCCCTGCCCCCCGCAGTTACCCCTATTTCCCCAAGTATTTAGTTGCACCTCTCCCCTTAGCTAGCTTAGTAGTTTTCTAATATCCTTTTTGTACAAGGCCTATAGGTGTTAATTGAATTCCTAGGTTATTGAGTCCCCACGCACTCCCATATGCCTCTGAGTGGATTCCTGCCGCATTCGGACCCATTGTCTTGCCTGCGCCGTTACACTGCCCTGCCCCCTGCTGTACCCCTATTCTCCTAAGTATTTAGTCGCACCTCTCCCCTTAGCTAGCTTAGTGGTTTTCTGATATCCTTTGTACAAGGCCTATAGGTGTTAATGGCATTCCTAGGTTTCTAAGTCCCCACGCACTCCCATATGCCTCTGAGTGGATTCATACCGCATTCGGACCCATTGTCTTGCCTGTGCCGGTTAGGTGAGGCCATACTGGCCTGTTTTAGGATATCCAGGCTTATAATTTAACTAAGCTAAGTGTGTAATTTATTTATAAAAGCTTTTTAGCATGTTAATAGCATAGTGTTTTATTAAAAACATTATAAAAGGCTATAACTAGTGTGTTATAAAAAGCGTGTTGTATCTTATTTAATAGTTTAAAGTGTAAGTTGTAATCTAGCTTCTTTATAAGGTTTATATTGTGTTGTTGTTAAACTATTATGTTATATTATAAACAAGTGCATAGTTTTAATAGTGTCCTAGCAGAGTAGCTAACTCGCCTGTGTGGCTAACTTGCATGTAACTACTTTTCTATACTTTATACTTTCTACATCTAGTTGTTACGAATGAAAAGCAGCAAGCTGTGGTAACCAAGCAGAAGTCGCTGGAAGCATGCAAATGTCTGAAGGACTGGCATGAGGGGAACACGACGATGCGCGGGGCAGCTTATGTTCCAAGTCACGTGACAACAGTCGCAGCTGACGCTGGCTTGGCAACGACCAAGCGGAGGAACGAAGGGATATATAAAGGACATAGATCTCCTAGCTAGGTTGTCTCTTCGTAGTTATTCTTAAATCATATCTTGATTATCAGGTTGGAGGAACACCTCCTAATTATTGTCACTGTACGATCGTCAAGACACCGCGTCCCACTCGCACACGCTAGTGCAAAATACACAAGTCCTAACTACCTTCTTACTATCTTTCTACGAACTATCGTTCATCCCAACGAACGATACGCCTCCCCCACATTTGGTTGAAAGAAAGAGAAGTAAACGAAGACATAACACTACCCTAGTGCTACGCGAGGCCGTGTATTACGTACTAAAACATGGTACCCTTGTTAGCCGTTAACTGTACAGAGGTCGATGATAGGCCCTAGCTTACCGCCCTCTGTGAAAAGGTAACTATTGCTGCTTTTCTTGTTTATTATCCTAACGGTGTACCCTGTAGGTAAGCAGAAAGGGGATGGAATATTAGAAGTAAGGCTTTAAGTCATGCGGCCAAGGCGGGAACTTCCGACTGCGCCACGACCCAGTTCAGCTCCCGTTCCTGCCTTGTCCCTTTTCTATCTTTCTGTCAACTTCATGCTCTTAACACAAAACTGTTTTTGTTAATAGCTTTGTAGATACTCTTCCTTACCTACAGCTACTTTCCTACCTTCAGCCTTTTCATGCGTCTCCTCAAAGTGGAAGATAACGGCGAGTTCAGCCTCACTGAGTTCTTCGGCAACAACATTCCACCTTATGCTATTCTTTCGCATACTTGGGGGGCTGACCATGACGAAGTTACTTTGCAAGACTTAGTGAAAGGCACAGGGAAGACGAAACCAGCTGGCTATAGAAAGATCTTATTTTGCAGGAAACAAGCTGCTAATGACGGCCTCAAATACTTCTGGATCGATACTTGCAGCATTGATAAGTCGAGCAGCGCAGAGCTTTCAGAGGCAATCAATTCTATGTTCCGCTGGTATCACGAGGCGGCTAAATGCTACGTATACCTATCCGACGTTTCGATCGGTGACTCCGTCACAAACGACCCATTCTTGCAGCAAACATGGAAACGAGCCTTCCAACGCAGCAGATGGTTCACCCGGGGCTGGACGCTCCAAGAGTTACTCGCCCCAGCATCAGTTGAGTTCTTTTCCGCGGAGGGCAATCGACTTGGAAGCCGACTTGAACTTCTACAAGAAATTCACGACATTACAAGTATTCCCATCCAAGCACTTCAAGGAAACCCTTTATCTCAGTTTAGTGTCGATGAGCGGATGTCCTGGGCAGCCAGCCGCAAGACTAAGCGTGAAGAGGATGCGGCATACTGTCTACTAGGCATTTTCGATATCCATATGCCGCTTATTTACGGCGAAGGGCGGCAGAAGGCATTGAGTAGACTCTTGAAGGAGATTTGGGAATCCTGTAAAGATGGATCGCCGGCTCTTCCATCAATGCTTTCCACAGTACCCTACATTAGAAATCCGGACTTTGTGGATCGCCCCAATATCCTAGCTTGGATCCGTGAAAAGGGTGTAGCACCAACCGACCGCGCATCTCTCGTTAGTCGAGGCAGCTTAGGGAAGCCTACTTCTCGTATTGCCCTTGTAGGAGTAGGGGGGGTAGGGTAGGTCTCCTATACCCGGAAATTAAGCGCCAAAAATAATTCTTGTAGCAAGAGCCAAATTGCGATTGAATACGCCTACTCTATTGGCGGCCCTCCCAGTACACTTATCCTTTGGGTGTATGCGGGTAGCAGGGCTGGATTAGAGCAGAGCTACAGAGACATCGCAGACGCCAATCGTATTCCGGGCCGAGATCAGCTTGGGGGAGATATTCTCGGGTTAGTCAGGAAGTGGCTCAGAACTGAATGCCAAACGCCTTGGGTAATGATACTAGATAATGTAGATGACCGAAGCATGGCTGAGTACGTGGATAAATTCATTCCTCAAAACGGGTTTGTCCTCGTTACATCTCGAAACGAAGACGCTGCCGCTTACCTGGTGGGCGACCACACGAATATCATTACTGTAGGCCCAATGAGAAACGAAAACGCTCTAGCTCTTCTCCGAAAGAAGCTACGACGAGAGGTCGAATGGGACGACGGTAAAGCATCTGACCTCGTCAGAGCCCTTGACCATATCCCGCTGGCAGTCTCTCAGGCTGCCGCATTCCTTAACGACAAGGCTTCAAAGTACAGTCTTTCTCGATACCTTGATGAAATAAGAATAGAAGGAGAAAAGGGTGGCTTCCTTGAAAAGGCCTACAGGGATCTCTGGCGAGACTTAACAGACTTTGAGCAAGCAAACTCTGTTGTTCTGACCTGGCACAAATCTTTCCGTAGTATTCAAGCAGAAAGACCTACTGCAGCCGCATTGCTCTCGGTGCTGAGTTTCTTTGACCGACAAGAGATCCCAGAAATTCTGGTGTACATCTCCGGAGCGCGATCCCACGGGTTACTATTCTATGGCTGGTGGCTATCTAATCGAACCATTTATAAAGTTCTCATTGCTGTTGGAGGCATTATTGCAACAGCAAGTTATCTCAGTATACAGCGTTATCTTATGATATTGCTCTTAGCAATCCCCGGAACGTTCATGTAGGATCTCTTCTGTAAAATTTGCAAGTATTTTACTGACTAAACTTTTAGATTCCTCCCTAGTATATCCACCACTATACAAGTGTACGCACGGGAATCACTACAAATCCTCCGAGCATTCTTTGAGAGTTTCTATCATATAAGAAACATTAGCAGGGACGACATTGACGAAGATATATATTTGTTAAAGAAATATGCCTTTCTCTCCCAAGATGTCAAATCGAATGGCTACCGGATGCATCGCCTTGTACAGCTCTCACTACGGAAGTGGCTAGAGAGCACTAGCAGGTTTACACGGACTAAAGAGGAGAGTTTGCTGGCGATACTTGAGGCGTTGCCTACCCCAGATCAAGAAGATTGGATTAAGAGCAGAGTATTGCTTCCTCACGCCGAGGCCATCCTTAGCTTCGCCCCATTCCGAAAACCATACCTGCTACCTTACACAACCCTGTGCCACACGACAGCTTACTATGCTAGAGCATGGAAAGGACACCAAGCGCTCCAGGGAACCGTCAAAACTGCCGCTACAAGAACACAGACGTTATTTAATCCAAAAGATGTGCTTGCGCTAAATTGTGGGTTTAGCTTGTCGTGGCTATTTCTGGCTGATGGAAAATACAATGAAGCCGCAAAATGGGCTAGACAGGTCCTAGAAGGGCGTGAAATAGTCCTTGGTCCTGATAACTTGGACACACTGTCAGCTTACAGTTCTTTAGCTTTAATGCTACGGTATCAAGGAAAATATCAGGAAGCAGAGCTGATTTCGCGAAAAGCAAGAATCGGTTTCAAAACAGCGCTTGGTATCGACCATCCTAAAACTCAAAAAAGCAACAATATCCTAGCATCAATCCTCTTATTCCAAGGGAAATACAAGGAAGGCGAGAAGTTGTTTTTAGAGTTAGTAAATGCACAGAAGAGGGTGCTTGGAGAGGAGCATCCAGACACGCTGACCAGCATGGGCGACCTGGCGTTAACGTATGGCGATCAAGGCCGGTGGAAGGAAGCCGAAGAGCTGGGCGTGCAAGTGATGGACACGAGAAAGAGAGTGCTTGGGGAGGAGCATCCAGACACGCTGACCAGCATGGGCAACCTGGCGTCAACGTTTTGGGATCAAGGCCGGTGGAAGGAGGCCGAAGAGCTGGAGGTGCAAGTGATGGAGACAAGAAAGAGAGTTCTTGGGGAGGAGCATCCAGATACGCTGACCAGCATGGGCAACCTGGCGTCAACGTACAGGAGTCAAGGGCGGTGGGAGGAGGCCGAAGAGCTGGAAGTACAAGTGATGGAGACGAGAAAGAGGGTGCTTGGGGAGGAGCATCCAGATACGCTGACCAGCATGGGCAACCTGGCGTCAACGTACAGGAATCAAGGCCGGTGGAAGGAAGCTGAAGAGCTGGGCGTGCAAGTGATGCACGCAAGAAAGAGGGTGCTTGGGGAGGAGCATCCAGACACGCTGACCAGCATGGGCAACCTGGCGTCAACGTTTTGGAATCAAGGTCGGTGGAAGGAGGCCGAAGAGCTGGGGGTGCAAGTGATGGAGACGAGAAAGAGGGTGCTTGGGGAAGAGCATCCAGACACGCTGACTAGCATGGCCAACCTAGCACATACCCGGAAGTCCCAAAGCCAGAATGAAGAAGCAATCTCCTTCATGAAAAAGTGCTTTAAGCTACAGAAGCAGATTCTTGGCCCTCACCATCCTAACACAGAGTCTTCACTCGAAGCTCTAAACAGGTGGCAAGTGGACAATTTAGAGATATAAAATCTAATGCTGCTTTTAGTTGTAGAATATAAAGCTCGTGCACATGCAAAACAGGCTAAGCTAAGTAATCATGCTTGCTCGTGTTACTTGACAGTTGTGAGAGTAACTTGCCACCAGATTTTGCCACCGCAGACAGGGAGGACGGCCGATCCGCACCTCCCACAGTGTCGTGAGATGAAGAATTCTGGAGGTATTTATAAGAGGGAGTCAAATTGACCGGTAGTATGTTCGAGGTTGAGTTAGCTGAGAGCTTGATTATACCTACCTTGTACTTACCACATAGCACTGATAGCTGGTGAGCCAACCCCTCCAACTGTGTGGGTCTGCTCAGCCCCCATATAAATCCTAGAAGAGAACCGGGAGCTAAACTAGGCACAACTAGGCCATCGGTCAACTTAACTCCCTCTTATACATACCTCCAGAATTCGCCATCTCACAAATGTATCGCTAAAGTGTGTCTGCCACCCTCCCTGCTTGTGATAGCATTATCTAGTAGCATCCAAATTATTACCACCTATATTACTCTATACCCACTTTCAAATTCCAGCCATGTCTGAATGAGCACTAGTTTTAGATACTACCAAAAGACGCAGCCTCGAAGTCGGCTCTTAGGTTACTAGCTCCATGCATGTTGAAAATGGTAAGGGCACGATAAGGCTAACTCCGCTAGCAGCTGTACCCGTCATCCGCGTCTTGGTTGAGCAGGACCTCTAATGCTTTTTGCAGATCGCTCGCATTTCGTTCCCTCCAGAGGTGACCTTTGACGTGTTGCAGTCCATTACCTTGAACCAAACAACTATTATTTTACCCCACCTAATGTGACTTTTGAGTGGGGTCTGAGTTATGAGAGAAGCGATGTATTGTAGACTAAGGGTCCGAGTTGCTTTTTCATATAATAATAGTGTGGGACACCAAGCTCTGAGTTGATTGTGCACCCCATCGCAAAGCCTTCGGGATTACACCCAAGAAGCAGAAGGCTTAGAAATCTGCCCTATATATTGTAACAACTTCCTCCCTCTAGCCTTAAGCCGGCTGAACATACGATTTGGGTGGGAACGTTCGTTATGAAGGCCGCCGGGCTCGCTGTTCGGGTCGTCATCAGGGCTCATGTGGAGATGGTAGCTTACGTTCGTCGCTAGATTGAATGGTGCGGTCGGTCGCTGCGAGATTTCGTCGTTTGGAGATGATATGCGACTGGCGAGTCAGAAGGAAAACAACTTGTCTTACTTGAATAGTGCAATCGAAAGCCCGCCACTTAATGAAAAATTTCGCCTGTTTTTGACTAAGGCTATACATTGATGTACAAGTCAAGGGGAACTTCAAAGAGCAAAATGTTGCCTACTCCTTCCCCGACCTAGTCGGCCCAGGGCTTCCAACGGGCCGTACTACGGTCCGTACAAAGTGAACCGTAACGGTCACGTGTTCAGTACGAACGTACCGAGTTCGTGAGCCGTACCGTACGTTTAATGATGCCCTAGGTACGGTACGTAGTACAGATCGTATTACCCTTTTAGGAAGTTTGTATAGGGGTTCTGGAGGGGTATAAGGGCTCTGGCGAGCAGGAGGCCTACAGACGCTTAAATCTCTTTCTAAGGGTTTTAATCTATCCATCTGTCTGTTGTCTTAAAAATGCCTATTATAGACTATTTTTTATTGCAGAGTTATCTATCCACGCCTTTTATAGCCTTACAGGCCTTATCTAGTCCTATCTGCTCTTGTTACTAGGGAGAACTAGTTAATTAGACCTTAATCTTGCGTCTCTAGAGACCTATAGTCTTAGCTGTTTTAACTAGAGTACAGCGTACTTTAATTGAATTGTACTACTTGTACAGATCACGTGAGCCGTAACAGTTACGATACGTACACCTACCTCTCCTCCTCCCTGTCGTACGAACGTACACAAATCTCACCCGTACAGGCCTCAAAATCGCCCAATCGTGCAGTACTACGCCTCGTTGGAAGCCCTGCAGTCGGCCTATATACCCCAGCGGAGAAGGATTGCTTCTCGAAATTTGTCGTTGGATTTCTGTACCCTATGCTCAAGGCCATTAACCCATTCCTCGACTAGGATACTTGCCCTCGGTTTAGTGATACACAGAACCCCGACTCTACGTCGGAGGATAAATATGTACGCAAAAAAAGGCTCCAGAAATTCGTAACATTTGTCAGAACTTTGTTCGCAACAGGGCTCTTCATTGGAGCCTTGTGGGTTCTTTTGCGTGCGGGTAATCATATGCTGACGAAACTCGCAACCGTTATAGGTTTCGTAGTAGCGTTTGCTTCTTGGGTAGGATTTCTAACTACTCCACAACGGAAGGATATAATTGCAGCCACTGCGCCATATGTAGCTGTTCTAGTAGTTTGTATGAGTCAGGTAAAGTAGCACAAAAGACTTAAGAATCTGTCGTACTCATATCTTATGGCCGATACTTATTTTATTACCATATACCATTTCGGCTTCTATTCCGAGTATCGCATAACATGACAGGCCGCAATCCCACGCCTCAACCACTCCCGTTCTCTGCTTTTGGTTTACACTTGTCATGACCATATTATGGGGCAGGAAGAGCGTGGTGGTTGAGTATGGCCACAAACAGTCGCCTGTTCGAAGAATGTCCCAACCATACGCAAATGTTTGCTGCCCCTAAATTTTCCGTCCAGGAAGTCTCTTACTTCTCCATAGAAGTAATATCGCTTATAATCGTTTTAATATAAATGAATTTAGCAATTCTAGAAGCCCTGTTCGCACCAAGTCTGCGCACTGGCAGCAGGGCCTGCTATAACATTTCAAGTGTGGGAACATTTAGTCAGAAACGCGAGGAACTGCTCTGTACACGCAGTGGCCGCTTCTGTATTCATTTCCGTGCCTTTCAATTCTCTTCTCACCTGCTTGATCGTGTCCCTACGTTCTTGCCCTTCTGGAAAGATTCGATAAAGTCTTTTCACCATCTGAATGATTTGAAATCCTCTGATATCCCCGTCTCTATTGTGGCTAATTGTCCGCAATTTCCCACATTTCATGCCATAGGCGGTCATCAACATGGCTCAGGAGCCACATGCGCCCTTACGGATTCTTCACTACCTTAGCCCCTTCGCCATTGCCGTCTCCGCAACCCTCTTCTCCGCCCTGGCGGTATGTTTCGTCCCTCCGTCAAACCGTCTCATTCGCAAAAAGTCGAAACAAGCAGTGTCGAAATGGCTCGCATTGGTCTTGTGCTGCCTCTACATTGCTGAAGGGCTCCTTTGCGTTCAACGAGCATTCACAAATCCTCGGTGGTCCGCCACCCGAGACTCTATGGAACACATCGCACTCTCCACGGTCGTGTGGATAGTTGCTTTCATCATCCTCCGCGAATCGGCAACATTATACTGGCCTTCCTGCTTAGGATCGTGGGCTCTGGGTACAACCATGGAGGTCGCTATTTTTGCTCTGTTGTCCCGTTCTTGGTCAGGGCGAGACGACTTGGACATTACTCGAATGGCCCTTCATGCAACCCGAATATTTTGTTTGGTTCTCCTCTGCCTATCTGCGGTATTTTCCTGGACCAAGAGACCGAGCAATCTCGATACGGAGAGCGATCCCTTGTTGGGACCAGCTCCAACGTCGCCCTATGAGTGTGTACAATATGGAAGCATTCCATCGGACACCAAATTAAATGATGGGGTTAATGACCAAGACGATGAAGGCGAAAGCGCGAAAAATAAACTAGCTGAGCAGCAGCTCCAGCGCCTTGAAGTACTTGGCGGCTGGTGGGCTTACTTGAAGCAATTCCGTGTATTTCTTCCACACACTATCTCTCACAGTGATTCCAGGATGCAGTGTTATGCTATCGGTGTTCTGTTCTGTCTGCTCATAGAACGAGTCGCAAACGTCCTCAGTCCACATTACTTAGGTGTTATTGTCGACAAAATCAGTTCTTCTAAGGAAACCGGACAACTGCCTCTGAAAGATATCTTTTTCTTGATCTTTGTCATTAAAGTCCCTCACGAAACGATTTTTGTTCCAATTCGGGATATTCTCTCAACCCGGTTGTACTTTTGGTCATACGGAAAAGTATTGGTTTCATCATACTCCCACATGTTGGGGCTATTTTTGGAATTTCAGGAGAACAAAGACACAAGAAAAGTCTTGAAAGGGGTCGAACAGGCGCAAACTTTGAATCGTCTTGTATACCAGCTCGCTATGGACGTAATTCCAGCCATCGTCGATGTGATCGTGGCCATTGGATACCTTAGCTATATTTTCGACTTCCAACTGGGCACGATAATACTCGTCACCGGGATATGTTATGTCATTGTGACACACAAGTTCACGATTACGGGTGCGCAGAGACAACGCCCATATATTCGCACAGGACAAACCAGTAGAAAACTAATGCACGAGTATATGTCGTTTTGGCAATCGACTATATACTTCAACCAACAAGCGTATGAGAAGAGTCGTTTACAGGCAACGGCTAATTTGGAGACATACTCGATGGCCAAGTTGAACGAGCTTTCTCAGTTCAAGTACGTGGCTCAATGCGCTGTAGTGGCTCTGGGATATGTCTCTATCCTCTTACTTGGAGCGTATCAGGTCACAAGCAAAGGGCATCCAGTCGGCAATATGGCAACGCTTCTCTTCTACTGGAGTATTCTTACGCGACCAATTGCTTCTCTGGCGCAACGCTACAAGGATATGGTTGACTGGATCACCGATGGGGAAAGGCTCCTGCAACTCTGGTACAAGAGGCCTTGTATAAACGACACTCCGGATGCGCAGGCCCTCGAAGTTAATGGGGGCAAAATCGAATACAAGGACGTGAAGTTTTCCTACGACAACAATAACCAAATCGTCAATGGCATCAGCTTCACCGCAGAGGCGGGATCGACGGTTGTCATTGTTGGAGAAACTAGAAGTGGAAAATCGACAGCCTGTAACAAGCTTCTGCTTCGCCTTTATGATGTCTCCCATGGTAGCATACTCATTGACGGTCAGGATATCCGAGACATCACACAGTACAGTCTAAGAGAGGCCATCGGTATTGTCCCACAAGACCCGTCCTTCCCGAATCAAACTATTATGGACATCGTTCGGTACGCCCGCCTGGAAGCATCCGACGCAGAGGTATACGAGGCCTGCAAGGCCGCAGCAATCCACGACATGATCATGGGCTTTCCCAACCAATACCAATCAAAAGTCGGCGAACGCGGAGTAAAAGTCTCTAGTGACGGAAAGCAACGCTTAGCCATTGCCCAACTCTTTTTAAAGAACCCTAAGATTATTGTGCTCGACGAGGTTACTTCTTCAATGGACCCACCTACCGAAACCGAGACCCAGGATTCCTTCGCTCAGCTCACCTCTGGACGAACTACCCTTTTAATTGGACTTTGCCCCTCGACCGTTGTGGATGCGGACTTAATCCTTGTGCTGCACAAAGGAGAGATCGTCGAGCGAGGCACTCATAACGAACTTCTTCAAAACCGAGGGCAGTACTACCGGCTTTGGGCAAAGGAAAGTAAGAAACAATTTCTCGAAGAACTGTCCCATCGAATTTCGACCACTGAAGGTGGTAATTACGAAGGGTTCTCTACATTAGACCTCATTGATCTATCTGAAGATACCACAGACTTCTCAAGGGTGATTGAGGACCTTGATCAACTTGACGGCCAGAGCGAAAGCAAGCATATGAGAGGCTCCAATCCATCTCGCACTGGCGTTCGCAAGCGGCTCTACGACTTGAAAGGGAGATTGAGTAAGAAGGACCGGTCTGAGGCCAAAGAGGAGTTCGAAGTTGAAGATATTCCTGATGACAATTCGCCTTTTATAGAGCTCTCTCCTAGACCTACGGATTCGATTGCGCCTGTCGTTGAAAGGAGACACTCTTCAGCCTTTATGAGAAGATGCAGTTCTCGAAACCTCAGATCCAAATTTGGTATCGCTCGCCATTCATCGAGCGCGGCTCTCGCTGATGGGCAGCTAGCGTCCCGCTCAGTACCAACGCATGATGACATCCCAGCGCCTCTGAACTCTGCGGCTACATTATCGAACCACCTCCACCACGAGAGCGTCTTGTCAACTCGCGCCGAACTTCAACAATCCTCCACACGCAACGACACTCTCGGTAAACCAAACGCAAAGGACGATGAGGACCCGGATGAGGGCCCTTCGACCTATCATACTCCCGGTTCTTCGATCGGGGGCAAGGGAGATGGCGATCATTAATTACCGCAACAAATGAGGAAAACATAAGTCTACCTCAGAAATCGAAAGAGTTAGAGGGTCTCCATACCTCTCCCTCCTCTACCAACTAAAGGCGGCCGTCTTCCCGCTTTGCAAAGTCTTCAGAGTTCTTTAGCGAAGTTGGATCAAACTTTTTTGTATCGTTACTTTTCGTGGTCTGTATATACAGGCATCCAGGCGGGAAAACACGTATTATTCTTGTCTTATAAGCTAGGGATAGAGGGTTAAGTAGAGCAGCGCTGAAACAGCAAAGAAGAAAAGAAAAGCAACCCGGCCAGTACCAAGCCTCTTCATTAGCAATTCCGCCCTTTGAGTTTGACTTTGCGTACCCACTCTTCAAATTTCCAGACGATCTCTCTAGTAGCATCACATAAAACTCTTATTTCCACTAGCCGTTCCACTTCACCAATATATTACTCGCGTGTGCCTTCCTTCTCCCCCGCATATATCCGCCTTGCAGTGCCGATCGCTGTCACATAGGTCAGCTGACTCGCCGCCACATCCTTGTACACGAAGCGTAGGAATGGCCTATTTAGGATACCATCTTATATCAGCGTGGATGCCATTTGTCCCAGTATTGTGGGGACTCCTTGGCTACAGGGGAGCAGATATTGAGGCATCGGAGGTGGATAGAAAAAGATGGTACGATAGGTGGGTGGATGGTGATTGGGAGTTGCATGGTCGGTTGGACATGCGTAGAGATGGTGCCCTGTAGGATCCCATGCTTGTACCTATACCTTGAAAACTTAGAGATTTGGAAGTACCGGGGCGTTTTGGGTAGGGATATATCTCCTAGGCCAGGCCCTCTGGCTTTGGTATTCATGTCCTGTGCTGAGCTTCTTCCTGTTGTGTCAAGTCACAACTATGGACTCTTTATCCGTCAGCTCCATTTTGAAACTTCTAACGCCTTACCTGCCCGTGATAATAGTGTTCTACCTCATAATCTCCTATACAACAATATGGTGGAGACTTCGACACTTTAAGGGCCCCTGGCTTGCTAAATTCTCGTACGGGTTTATGGCAAAGGCGGTGTGGTATGGGAAGATGAATGCAGTGTATACAGAGGTGAACGAAAAATACGGTATTCTCACACACAATCCTCACTTTTGTTGTTGTTTGGAATCTAAGATTAGGATTTTAGGGTCTCTGGCACGAATTGGACCTAACGACCTCATAACCTCTGATCCCGATATCCTTCGCCATATGTCATCTGCTCGAAGTACTTACAAGCGGTCATCGTGGTACGAAGCTATGCGCCTGGACCCATATGTAGACTCGATCTTGAGTGAAATGAGCGTCCCAATCCACGACGCCCGCCGCGCAAAAATGGCATCTGCATACTCCGGCAAAGAAAACCCTAATCTCGAAGGTGACATCGACGAGCAAATCGCCTCGTTCATTGCGCTGATTCGGCGCAAGTATCTGAGCGAAGGGGCAACAATGAAGAAAATGGATATGGGTAGGAAAGCGCAATACTTCACTCTCGATGTCATCACAAAAGTGAGTTTTGGAAGAGCATTTGGGTATTTGGAGCAAGATAAGGATGTCCATGATTATGTCAAGACAACGGATGAATTGGTGCCGTGGCTGACTTTCTTCGCTGTTGTGCCGCTGGCGAATGCGATTTTGAATCGGAGCTGGGTGAAGGAGAAATTGGGACCGGGGCCGGGGGATAAGAGTGGAGTGGGGCGATTGATGGGGGTTGCCAGGGATGTGGTTCAGGAAAGGTTTGGGGAGAACAAGATTGAGAAACAGGATATGTTGGGTGCATTTGTGAGGAATGGCATCCCGCAGAGACAAATAGAGGCCGAGGTGCATTTCCAGATTATTGCGGGGAGCGATACTACGGCTACGGCCATAAGAAGTACACTCTTACACTTATTGACGTCTCCTAGGGTGCTGGCTAAGCTGCGGACGGAACTTGATACTGCGGAGCGGGAAGGTAGGATTTCGAATCCCATTACGAATGCGGAGTCAAAGGCACTGCCGTATTTGCAGGCGGTTGTTAAAGAGGGGGTGCGCATTCATCCCCCTTTCACGGGCCTTGTAATGAAGGAAGTGCCTGCTGGTGGAGACACGATCGGAAGCCAGTTCGTTCCTGGAGGAACTAGGGTCGCTCACAACCTTTGGGCTGTGCAGCGCGATCCGATTTATGGAGAGGACAGGGAGATTTTTCGCCCAGAGCGATGGATTGAGGCTGATAGCCAAAAAGGGATGCGGATGGAGCAAACGCTGGATCTGGTATTCGGGCATGGGCGCTGGGGTTGTCTTGGGAAGAACGTGGCGTGGATTGAGTTGAATAAGATTTTTGTAGAGGTAAGTTTCTTGATCGACTGTAAGTCATTGCAAACTAACGATTTATCAGTTGTTGCGGCATTTTGACTTCGAGTTTATCGACCCGAGTAAGCCGTGGAGGAGCGTGAACTTTAATCTCTTCATGCAGGACCACATGTGGCTGCGTATTACTGAACGGAAAGAGAAAAATTAAGCAAAAGATGTATTAAAATGCATTTAGGGAGCTAATGGTAGATAGCAACAGGATACCGTCCCCCTACCTGCCTTAGATATCATTGTATCCAACCAACGCCGACGCCATGCATGTTCGTGGAGTCTCTTACACCTTCAGCCACAAACTGAGCACACCCTTTGCGTACTCCACAATCTCATCCCCTCCTAGCTTGCTCTCTCCGTACAGACGGTCGACGAACGTGATTGGGACCTCAGCAACCGTGCAGCCCATAGCTTTCGCACGAACCATCATCTCCATCTGGAATGTGTAGCCCTTGCTCTCGGTGCTCCTGATGACTTTCTGAAGCACCTCCTTCTTGTATAAGCGAAAGCTACCGGTCAGATCGCTAACACCCGGCCTGAGTACAGTGTCCGCGAACAGATTAGCACCCCTAGAAACAAACTTCCTCTTTAGATCCCAGCCATATACGCCGCCATTGCCCGCGTACCGTGTACCAGTGACAATATCGTAGTTCTTGGTCTTCTGAACGCGCACCATCTCAGCGATAAATTTGGGATGGTGCGAGAAGTCTGCATCCATGATGATGACAAAATTGCCAGTGGCGAATTGCAGGCCGTGAACGTAGGCAGTGCCGAGACCAAGTTTGCCAGCGCGCGCACGGATCTGGATGCGTTGAGGGCTATAGACTTTTTGGAGCTGTGCGGCGACTTCTTGGGTTTTGTCAGGCGAGCCATCATCCACGATGATCAACTCCCAGTCGAGGTTGCTGCCATTGATTTAGTACTAGAGCTTAGGGGGGACGGAGGCTGCTGAGGGGGCACTGACTTCTCCGTGAAGGTCTTGTTCAGGAGCCATGTTATTATGGGTAGGTTTCGCCGCTCATTATAGGTAGGGAGAAGAATCGAGTACTTGTCTTTCGACTGCTTTGGTGCCATGCTGATTGCGGGGAGAGTAGATTGTGAATGAGCGACTACAATGGAGCTGTGTCGATATCGAGAAGCTGTGAAGGTGACCGTGTCCAAATCCGGCTTAGTCAGCGGGTTCGACTCCAACCTCAGCCGCTTCTATCCCTATCAACATGCCTTCTCCACAGTGGATAGCACGTAAGAGGAACCTATTCCTGGCCTTCGATGCATTTGGTACGCTTTTCACGCCCAAGGCACCCATTGAAGCTCAATATGGTGAGATTGCTAAACGTCATGGGATCGACTGTCCCAGCGAAAAGCTGTTGAAGCAGTCGTTCAAGGCGGCTTTCAAAGAAGAATCCACGAAACATCCAAACTACGGGAAAGCTTTAGATATGGGGGCAGAGACTTGGTGGGAAAATGTAGGCTCCCCTTGGGCCATCTCTCCCGATGCAGCTCACACTTAGTGCAAGGTGATCAAGAAAACCTTTCTGCCTTTTCTAAAGCAGAACCAGCAGTTACCGCAGCCACTCATATCTGACCTCTGGATGCGTTTCTCAACAAAAGAAGGGTATGTGATGTATCCGGACGTTTTGCCCTTCTTTGAGATGCTCCGACATAGCAAAGCTTTGTCGAATTCATCACATTCCTGGAGGTGGGAGAAAACAGTTGTCGGAGTCATCACCAACTCGGACGACCGAGTTCCAAGGGTTCTAGAATCTCTTGGACTCAAGATCGGTCCACGTAGAGCCGGTTCTTCTGCCTTACGGACAGAGAGAGGGAGCCTCGATCACGATATCAGTTTCGTTGTCCTTAGCTACGATGTGGGCTACGAAAAGCCGGATCCACGGATGTTCAACGCCGCCGCCGATATGCTGAGAGCGACTTTATCCGATGGCAGTGCAGATGCTAAAACTCACTCGATCGATGACTTCGATATGTTGTACGTTGGCGATTCAGTTGAGAAAGACCTTGTTGGCGCCGCACGTGCTGGGTGGGACTCTGTGTTTGTGGACAGGATAGGGGCCTATGCAAAACATCTTGAGCAGAACCAGCCCATTGGAAGTATCCATGTACGAACGATGGATTCAGAAGGGAACACTACGAGGAAGCAAATCGAGGTGATCAAAGACTTGCTTGCATTGAGCAATTGGCCGCCGTACTAAATGGACAGCGACAGAAGGTGACGACACTGAGATTTACTACAGAATAGTTCTTCAACGGCAATGCAAAGTTGATATTGTATACCAAGACTCCCGTTAATCCGCAGGCCTTCTCAGCGCGAGAATATCTGATAGCCTAACGCTACCTTTACCTCCCCACCCCGCAATACCAGGGTCGACTTCCGGGCGAACGCGAACATACCAGCTCCATGCCCGTTTATCAAGATCGCCTTTGCTGAGGATGGAAGCCCACGATTCCATCAGGAGCTCCAGGGCGCCAAGAAGCAGGCCAAGATTGCGTTCCTTCTCAGCAACTACGGCAGCATTTGATTTCTTCGGACTTGCTTTCGTAGTATCCGGCTCGGCTTTAGGCGAATCAAATGACTTCAAGAGATAGGCCCTTGCAGACTGCGCCGTGTATATTGGTAGTTGACTCGTTGATGTATGCCGTGAAACCACCGTTACTGGCCCGTTTGATTTCTTGAGAGCCTCGAGATCAACGCCCCAAAGCGCGGGAAGTTCGGCATGGGTCGGGGTTTCAGTGACAGTTTCCTGGGACACTCCCTCGTCTTCTTTCGCGTCCCAATGGTATCCCCATCTCTTCATGACCCTGATCTCGCGGCCCATGACTTTGATGACAGGTTGCCCTTCGCCCCAGCCCTCTTCTTCTGCGCTCTTTCCAGACTCTAAGCCAAGACTCACAGCCTTCGTTCTACTATTAGCACTGACAACTGCTTGGGCAAGACTCAGTCTGCTCGACAGGGGCTGTTCGGGCACAGTATATTTCAACAATGTCACCGCGAACGCTAAGACCAGTGGCGCCCGGTTTGTGTAGACAGCGGCCGTAGACAGCTTTGTTTCATCCCGGCACGCTTCGGGGAGCCCAAGAGAGTCTTCGAATTGTGCAGGACTCAACGGCTCTCCAAAAGATGGTTTGGGTTTCTTCGCAGGGGAAGTCGGAGATGCGTCACTGGTTGTCCGCTTCTTTGCCACACGTTTGGCGGCGTTTAGAACTTGCTTCGCCGCCTTCTCGTCACCGAAGATGACCCTGATACTTTCGAGCTGAGACTTCGCGATTTCGGCGGGGCTACGCGTTGTTACCAATGACGCGGCAAGCTGGGACGGGTACTCACGTGACGAGGGACGCATTCTGAAGATCTTTTACCTTGCTCATTGCCTGCCCAAGCGGCACCTTTGCCTCTTGCGATAAGAATCGTAACAGGTCCTGGATAGTCTGAGCAGACGCCATTGCACAGTGTGCTGAAAGTACAGAAAGACAGCAGTTGGCTTGCGGACTCAAATCCCCCACAGACGATCCGCGACAGGCACCAGCCCTGGAGTGCGCGCCGATGCAACGACGCACGAGCCGCACGTCCTCGGCTCGGAATCTTAACCTTGAACCTTGGACCTTGGAAAGCTCCGAAACCTCGACAAACCTTCAAAATCACCACGCAAAAATCATTCCGCGACTTTCAGCTCTCGAATAGATCTCGGCGTGATGAGCGGATTCAAAGGGTTCAAGCTAGGCCTCGCTGCCTCCAAAGTTAACACCCGCGACAAGGAAGACAAGGGCGAAGTTAGCAAGCTCCTGCTTCAAGACGAACCCGAAGACGAAATTGTCCACGTTCCTCAGGGCAGCAGGCGGAACTTCGCTGCGAAGCCCAAATCAGCCGTCAGCGGAATCGGGACACTCGACCCCGTCGCGAGGCAGCGAGCGTCAGACCAGGCAAAGGAGGAGCAGAAGCGCTCACAGCTTCTCAAGGCCTTGTTGAGCCAGCTTCCCCCGGACACAACCAACCGCACCATAGAAGCGCTCTTCTCCAAATACCCCTCTCTAAAGATAAACAAGATTGAGAACTTCAACCCGGACGTCCCTGACCGTCCACGAAGCCTACGTCCTAGGAATACGGACCGCACATGTTCGACTGTCATAGTCACATTCGATAAAACTGCGGAAAAGAGCGAGTTGGATAAGGCTATTAAGGGCCTAGATACGAGGGAGTACATGGGCGAAGGATATTGGCTCACTATCGACGAATACGTCCAAGACGGCTTGGTGCGACCTTCGAACACCGGAGATGCATTCGACGCCAAGATATTCACACAAATCGACCATGAGCGACGGAACAAGCAACTGGGAGGATATGCCCCTCCAGAAGCCCTGGGAGGACATGCCGTTCAAGCACCACAGTTTAGGGGAGAACGATGGCTTGTTAACGTCTCCCGACCAAAAGACATCCATCGGCTGAGACTGATTCACGCAACCGCTGAGAAGGTAGTTCAAGGAGGCGAGGAGCTGGAGGCGGCTCTCATGCAGGACCCTCGTACTATCCACGACCCGCGCTTTGCCTTTCTTTGGGACAACAAGCATCCGGAGCACTTGTATTACCGTTCACGCATTCGCCAGCTTCTCGACGAAGGCCCCCCTGATTCTTTTCCTATGTTCCGTAACAGCTTTGTTGAGGCAGAGACTGCAAGCTGGGAGCTCCAAGAAGATCCTCTACCCTTTGAGGCGGCTACTCAAATCACGGATCTGAAAGCGGATTATGACCAACAAGCGAGTCAGTCTATGAATCCGTTTGCTCGAGCACAGCTCGTATTCTTGTTATCCTCTCTGCCAACCTCAACCGGCCAATTTACAAAAGCGGCAGCGGCGTCAGTCACCAAGTTTGCGAATGATTACGCAGGCGAGAACCATCGTGCAGGCGATGCCATGGACGAGGTCATTGACCTGCTAGTTACCAACATCCTCCGGCCATTCTCTCTAATCGAGCGCACAGACCCAACGGAAGCTGAAGTAAGAGATGCCGCCGTGATTAGCTTCTGGGTCGCGACCGACGTCATGCTAGCCCACTATCCCGTAGAGACCCCAACCCCATGGTTGTACAAGCGCGAACTCGGCACTCAGATTGTCAGGCGAGGTGCGCTGAAGCATTTGGCGAATATTCCAAATACCTTGGCCATGGGTCGCTTGTCGGCAGAACGATACAAGTCGCAGATCAAAGGGGCCCTCGAGCTGTGGAAAGACAGTATGCTTGATGAGGAGATTCGCAAGGAGATCGAAGCGCTTTTCTTCAAGGACGATCGTGAGGAAGACAAGGATCACCAGAAGGAGGATCTTAAAGAGGGTCGTAAGGAGAATCGCAAAGAGAACCGCAAGGAGGATCATCAGGACGACGGGGTCGAGAATCGCAAGTATGAACCTGACGTGGGAGTTGCTAAGCATTTGCCTGAAGATGAAACACATGCTAACATTACAGCTCCCCCCCAATGCTCTGGAAAGTCCCTTGGTGGGGCATCCGTAGGAACGCCAGGCTCTAACAATACATCTTCTACGAATGATGCCACAGAGACAGCGGCAGCACGTGCTCGTCGAATGCGGCCCAAAGCGGAGGATCTTTTTGGTTCAGATCATGAATAGCAATGGGCTCCTGAAGCTGCGCACGGAACGTCAGGTGTGTGTCGCTGAAAGTTGCGTTTGATAACATCTACATCATCTTTATATGGCAGAGTTTTATCTAGATACGGTGACTGATTTCGAGGATATATTAGGTCTATATTTACTAGATGGTCTTTGTGCGGTAGACGGAGGAATCTTGACGAAAAGTTTTGTTTTTATCGAATAGAGGTCCTGCCAGGGGAGTTCTACCTAGGCACTGCTGGACTGAGGCGCGGTGTTCTGTCCATGTATTATAACGGGCTTCACGATACCCCCTTCAAGAGCAGAGGCTCAAACCGGGGGAGCTATATGGGGGCTCCACCATAGCGACTACTTTCTTTGGGTGTGTGACGGGCGGGTATTTACCAGGTGTAGCGAAGATTTGGATGCATATCAATGGAGGGGCTCCCTTCCATAGGAGTGCAGGCTACCTTTATCCTAATGATATATTCATGAGTACGACTAGCGGCAAAGTTTTCATGGCAAATCTCTTGAACGGATTGGAATGAAAGAGCCTGGAGTTCTGCTCACGTGGAGTCACAGATGGTCAATCTATGGGTGCATTTACTCTTGCATCCACGGCGCGGCTGTCTGGGGAAATCGGTCGAGATTTAAGCGGCTTGGGCCAATTAGATTCCGCCGTTCCAGTGAGCTTTGTCGGTGTCTGTGCCCGCTACTCCACCACCACACAAACACAACCTCCGCTGCCTGTCTGCAGTCTTGTATTTCTCGGAAATTGTTCTCAGGTTCTCGCAAGCGTTGACTTATCACGCGCCAGACGTGCCCGTCTCGTGATTGGCGTGGTACCGCGAACATCGGATTCGTCGTAGGCCATCTCCGCACCGAGCGCTCGCCGCTCTCTTCACTTCGTTCACACACTCTTGCACGCCACCTCCACCAATATTCTCCCTCCCCCCTCTCCCTGCGCCTCGACTTGCTGCGTCCCCAGACGGCCAGTAACCGTGCAGAGCAGAGGTTCTCTTGCCTGCGTGCCGAGGCCAAGCTTTCCCTCCTGCCTCCGCACACGCTCCCGCAGTCTCCACCACGCGGCTCCCTACTTTTAGATCGCCTGGCCGTCAGAATGCCTTGCTTCCACGGCCTCGCGGTCAGCATTCACACGCCCTCAGGCCCGCTGCCCGAGTACTCCATTCAGAAGCAGTCAAAATTCCATAGGATCACGTCGTACATTCCCGTCCCGCCGGCGAAGATACCCGTGGGCTCCACCAAGCCAGAGCAGTCGACCTTCGCGATATCGATCACCCTCCTCACCCCCGGCCTTCATGTCCCGTACTCGACCCCCAAGCCCACCCCAGACGACCCTCACCCGCGAGCAAAAATTGTTGGCGGCCTCTCAAGCTTTGGGAGCACCCCAAGCAAGAACAGCGCGGTTATCGGCCCATACAAGCCGCTAACTTCGTCGCCCAACGAAACAATTGCAGCCTACATATACTTCGATGGCAGAGGCAAAGAGGAAGTGGCAACACTACTCCGGCGCGGTGAAGAGACGTGGGTGAATTCACGATGGGTCAGCGTCCCCCAGTCAGAAGGGGGTGGCCTTGCAGAGCGCGAGTTTCTCTTTCGAGAAGTCGGTCTGGAGCGGTGGCTGAATGGCCTGGATCTTGAGGGTAAAGACATTGCGGCGCGAATTGAGCGTAGGAAGCAGCGCTTGGAAAAGAAGCGTAGAAAGCGCCGCGAGGCAGCAGGCAGCGATGACGACGATGATACTAAGCCCCATTCTACGAGAAACGGCGTCTTGCGGTATGGCGATGACAAGAACGCGCCTGTCGAGTCACTCTCTGGGAACGAAGATTTCTTCACATCTGACTCTGATTCTGAAGATGAGCCGCCGATGCCTGAGGCTGCGGGGCAGATTAAGGTAGCTCTATTCCGTGTGCTTGCTTCTGGAGAGATCAAGCGCGGAGAGTACTCTCCGCAGTTTGACGCGCATGACGACGACGAGAATTCTACCCAAAATGGTGGTGACGGAGGTGAAGACATTGACCATACGACGAGCTTTGCGAAACCGAAGACGCTTGATCCTAAGTCTATTAGCACTCAGACTGTGACCGGCATTGATCCACCAGACAAACCATATGCGGTGTTCACGTTTCTGTATCGTGGAGAGCGTAAGTACAGTTAATTCTACGGAGAACGTATGTATGTTGACAAGGCAGGCCAACTCCGCAAGATGGGCATTCTATCACCCGAGAAAGTTCAGCAAGCGTCTCCCGTGGCTACACGGCGGAAATCTTCGGGCCTGAATTTCGGCGATCTCAAGCCATTGAATGCTTCTACAGGCGTCAAGAACTTTGCGGGCTACCGAGACCCCTCCCAACAATCTCCTCGATCAAGGAAGAAAGATCTGGATGGCATTGACAGTGATGCGGATGACGAAGACGAGGTCAAGGCTGAGGATACCGAAGATGACAAAGACGATGGTAAGGGATTGCTATCACCAGAGGACGCCCTGAGGCAAGGCGAGCTTGCCGAAGGAGTGCGCAAGATTAAAGTAAGTACTCCGCCAATCTACAATTTAATGCATGTTGTTAACCTTCATAATAGCTCAAACGCCAGCACTCCGCCGAGCCTCTCCACCGACTGGCGGCGTCTCCCGTTGCGCGTGGTACATCCGGCAGTCCCACCTCTGATACACCAGCCTTGACCGCAGAGCCAAGCACTGTCGAGTTGAAGATGACCGCGAACCCAGCACTCTCACCGGAGCTCAACGAAGGTACCGTCGGCAGCCCGTTCAAGAAGCAGCGTGCGAGTTTGCCCGGCTTTGACGACAGCGTCCGCAAGAGCTTGGGTGCTGCACTTCTCGGCGTTGCCAAGGAGAAGAAGAACTCGACCGGCAGCATCCCATCTGTCTCATTGGAGGGTCAGATGGATGAGGATGATGAATTGTGACTCCATGAGGTTAACCTTCAAAGATGCTTGGGCTGAAACTTTTTCCAATTCCATTGTCGAGCTACCCCGATTTCATGGACCTTCGGATCCGGACAAAACGCGGTTGTTTTAGCCCGTCTCTCGTCTTGCTCTAGTTCCGATGACTCTTGCTCAAAGAGAAAGCGCCTTTTTCCAAGTTCGAGTCTATAACCTGGGATTGTTGCGTCACGTACGTCTCCATTTCCCAGCCCCGGAGATTCGGCGTTTTTTGGGCTCGCATAGACTTTGCCTAGTACTACAACTGGCTGGAGCAGAAGCTGCGTTTGGGCTGGACGTTGTCCGTCAATCAAGTAAGTCAAGTAAGCTTCAAGATATATTCCCCCATTCCCTACTTCTCCCCTGTTCTGTCCTCTTCTGTCCTGGTTCCCTGGTTGCCTGCTGCAACCTTTGGCTTGTTCTTTGGTACGTACCTCCCCTGCTGGTACTGTCTTATTCTGGCCTGGTCTTCGATTCTCGAGTTGCTGGGAAAGTGAATGCATGGAAACCAGCTAGGGAGGGAGGGGGAGAACTCGCTGGCTCGGATCGAGTTGGATAGATCGGCTGACTGGAGTCTTTGTCACAATTACACTGGGGATTTGGGATTGGTGGCTAGCCTCAATTAGGATGGATCATTTGCTCGACTACTACAACTTCATTTCTTTGTTTTTGATTTACGCTGGTATGCATGGCATGGCATGGAGATGGTCAGACCATTCTTAGTGGATTGAGGGGGGAATGGATGGATGGGTGGATAGAGGGGGTGCATGCTTAGTGAGTAACGCTGGTTGCATAGGTACTATCAGGTGATGGGTAGCAAGACGTATGTGTGCCTGCCTTCAGTTCTGGACGTTGGATTGCTGTGATGCGGGTGATGATATTCAACAGGCGTTGTGGTTCGTCAAGACAACGCCGATGCCGTTTTGAGCCAGATCTACACTAAAGGGGATATATTCCCCGGTTCTTAGAGCTTAAACTCTGCGTTCCCAATTTCCCACCCCACCGTCCCGTCTCCCTTCCTGCCCGCCATTTTCTCCGCCAACGCAACTTTCTTGTCCCGATTCTTCTCCGTACATAATTCGTAGATAGTGGAAAGATTAAAGATCATAGAGTGGAACGGCGGACTTGTATCAGTGAGCTCTGTAAGTAGTTTCCTGGCTTCGGATATCCGGCCCGTGTACAACAAACTCACAGCCAGATTTTGCGAAATCATTGCGTCATCTGGGTGTTGTTCGTGCAGCGCTTGCCAGCAATTGACCGCTTCGGGGTATTCGGAGTCGGCGATGTGGATCAGGGCCTGAAGGGAGGAGTCGAGGAGCGAGGAGGAGATAGATGTGGCGGCTAAGAGACAGCGGCGCGCGGCTCGTACGTCTCCAACGCGGAGCCAAACTAGGGCTTCCATTATCAGGACTTCTCGTGCTTCCTGCGAGTCTGTTTTGCCGTCCGCGGTAGCCAGGGTCCCTAGATGCCGACCCGCACCTTCCAGTTCCCCCATTTCTACAAGCACGTTGGCGACGCGGATTCCGCAGTCGCGCAGGCGCGCTTTCCAGAGCGTTTTCTCGGCAACAGAGTCAGCCTTGGAGATATTTTCCCGACATTCCCGTGCGAGCTCGTAGTACCCCATTATCCCTTTCCGCCATTCTCCGTAGCCGAGTGCGGCGAGCCGGACGGTCAGAAGGCGTAGGTCCCAGGGCACGAGGTGGGCGTCTGTAAGTGGGTGGCGGTAGAATCCGCTGTTGAGGTCGCCGAGGATTTTAGATTCTTGGGCTGCGAGGGCATGCTCGGAGATGAGACAGAGGCAGGCTAGGCGTATGTGTAGGAGGTGGAATAGGGCATCGAAGTCTGTAGGGGAGGCTGATGCTACGAGGGCGCGGGCGGCAGCTATGGCAGCAAGACGGTAGTGGCCGGATTCGAGGAGGGAGGGGATCGGGGTGTTTATGGAGGGGAGAGTTGGAGGGTTTAGAAAGGGGGGTGGGATGGTGGTTGCGGGGAGGACGTGGTAGGCGGACGGGTCTTGCAGGAAGGAGAATTCCTTGGGCGGCATGTCTTGAAGCGTGCCTGACCCATCTTGTGGCGAGAGGGGGGAGGCAGCGGAAGTGGCATCGGAGAGGGATGGGGAGAGCACTCGTTGTGAGGCTGTTCGAGGAATGTCGATGTGTGTGTGGTCAGCTAAAGGACTATACTGCCTGTAAGTATGGGGACCGCGTACGGCGTGTATGCATAGCGGCTGAATGGAAGAAGAGGCCTTACTCGTCAATGTCCGCTTCAAGAGGGCCTTTAGTTGATCTGCGAGGGACAGCGACTGTAGAGGCGTTTCAGTAAGCAGGCACGATGGGACAGAAGACACGGCTTGTGTGAGGCCAGTTACCTCGTCGTCGCTCATCACCGCTTGCAACGCGGACATGAGTCCGGGCTCGATTGGGCCGCGGCTGCGATGGCGGATTCATGGTGTCGTGAAGTGTCGGGGAGCAGTTCGTGTCAGCGTGGCCGACATCGGGACTGCGACGGAGGGGCGTAAGGCGGCGATGTGGAGAGGCGTGCATATAGCCAACCCGATCCCTGTGGTGCCAGTGCCGCTTTGTCAGTTTCGGCGAGAAGGCGTCGATAATTTGCCTCTCGGTGTGGAGGGCATCCATTGACTCAACTCGAAAGCAATCAAAATCTCCCTCACCCCCCGCCCGCGGAGTGTGCCCGCCTTTTACTCACTCACTCACTCACTCACCCCCCCCCTCCTCCCCTCCATCCCACGCTCTGCCTCCCACGAATTGTGTCTTCAGTCCATAAGGACTCGCCTAGCCCACACAATGCAGGCCTCGAGACAGAAGGCCTTCTGTGCCGCCGTGAAAGGCACACGATCCTTTTCCTCCACGCCCACCAGACCCGCCGTCTCACCGTACAGGAGAGCTGCACAAGCAGCCACCGCGAAGGCCGTCACAAACCCCGTCAAGAGGCCTCAGTCGACGTCCACTGCAGCTGCAGTGCCCACAGAGCAAGATGCGCGCCCTAGACCCTCACCCGCTTTCAATCGCGAGGACTGGAAGGATCTGCAGCCATTGCGGCCATACAAGCAGCCCGAGATGGACCACTCCTTCGTAGGAATGAAGGGCGGAGAGATTTTCCACGAGATGATGCTCCGCCAGGGCGTGAAACACATTTGTATGGCACTCCCCGCGTCTCTCGCCAGCTTTTCGAAATTTTCAACTCGCTGACATGTATGACTCAGTTGGCTATCCGGGGGGCGCCATTCTCCCCGTTTTCGACGCCATATATAGTTCGAAACACTTCGATTTTATCCTCCCGCGACATGAGCAGGGGGCCGGCCACATGGCCGAGGGTTACGCCCGCGCTTGTGGCCGCCCTGGCGTCGTCCTCGTTACGTCCGGCCCCGGCGCCACCAATGTCGTCACCCCCATGCAAGATGCTTTAATGGACGGCACGCCGATGGTTGTGTTCTGCGGGCAGGTACCAACGAATCTCATCGGCTCGGATGCATTCCAGGAGGCCGACACCATTGGCATCACGCGAGCATGCACAAAGTGGAATGTCATGGTCAAGGACATTGCTGAGCTGCCGAGGCGGATAAACGAGGCCTTCGAGATCGCAACGACTGGGCGGCCCGGACCGGTGCTTGTGGATCTGCCAAAGGATGTCACTGGAGGTGTTCTGCAACGCCCCATCCCCATGACCAGCACTCTTCCCATGCACCCCAGCGCGGCAACCCTCGCTGCGAAGGAGCTGAGCAAGAAACAGCTAGACACCTCTATCCGACGATCGGCCGACCTCATCAACATTGCAAAGAAGCCCGTTATCTATGCTGGTCAGGGCATGGTCAGCGTGCCTGAGGGGCCTAAACTTCTCAGGGAGCTGGCCGACAAAGCCAACATCCCCGTGACAACCACCCTCCAGGGACTAGGAGCCTACGACGAGCTAGACGACAAGTCTCTGCACATGCTCGGCATGCACGGCTCCGCCTACGCTAACATGGCCATGCAGGAGGCCGACCTCATCATCGCCCTCGGTGCCCGCTTCGACGACCGCATCACCGCCAACGTGGAGAAGTTTGCGCCAACGGCGAAGGCGGCCGCAAGCGAAGGCCGAGGTGGTATCATCCACTTCGAGATCATGCCCAAGAACATCAACAAGGTCGTGCAAGCAACGGAAGCCGTCGAGGGAGATGTTGTAACCAACCTCGCCCAACTCCTCCCTCTCATCAAGGAAGTCAAGGAACGGCCCGAATGGTTCGCGCAGATCAAAGACTGGAAGCAACGTTTCCCCTGGGCCTACGATCGAGAAAGCTCCAGCGGCCTCATCCAACCCCAAAGGATCATGGAGACGCTCTCCGAGCTCACTGCTCACCGCAAGGAGGAAACCATCATCACCACGGGCGTCGGTCAGCACCAAATGTGGGCCGCGCAACACTTCCGCTGGCGATATCCCCGCACGATGATCACGTCCGGCGGTCTCGGCACCATGGGCTACGGGCTCCCTGCCGCCATCGGCGCAAAGGTCGCGCGACCAGAGTGTCTGGTCATCGACATCGACGGCGACTCCTCTTTCAGTATGACCCTAACCGAACTCTCAACCGCCGCGGAATTCAACATTGGCATGAAAGTCATCATCCTTAACAACGAGGAACAAGGCATGGTGACGCAATGGCAAACCCTGTTCTACGAAGACCGCTTCGCACATACTCATCAGCGGAACGCGGATTTCGTGAAACTGGGAAATGCGATGGGCGTACAGGCGGATCGGGTGAGTAAGCCTGAGGAGCTTGAGGACAAGCTGAAGTGGTTGCTCGCAACGGATGGACCCGCGCTGTTAGAAGTGGTGACAGATCAGAAGGTGTCGGTTTTGCCGATGGTGCCGTCAGGTTGTGGGCTGCATGAGTTTCTTGTTTATGATGAAGGTATGTTGGTGTCTCATTTCAGGTCAAACAAAGCTCAACGAAAGACTGCAAATAAAAAAGGGTCGTGCTAACGCTTGTTACAGGAGAATCAAAGAAAAGGAGAGCCCAGACTAGAGCGAGGACTGGCCGCTAATCTCACCATATCTGTCCCTTGCACAAATCCTTAATATTGGGACACATTTTATTCCCTTGTACATTGTTCTTTCAATCTAGTCGACTGGCGTCGGCGTTGGGTGAGAATGAATCCTTTGTGGAATTCAAAAGCTTATTCCACCACGATTGCTAATTTTTGGGGCACACAAAAAAGTCGCGGCTTTGGTTTTGCTCTTTTGATTGTGTAGCATGCATGCATGTCTGAATGAGGTTCTCGCATTGTTTGGCGGGACGGAGGCAATACCTGTACATGATGGATGACGGATGAGGTTCGAGTGTGCTAAAGTCATACAGCACTGTGGGTCTAGACGAAAAGTATGAAGGTGTTTCATCTAGCCACTTTGAGGATGCTTTTGTTATTTGTGCATTTCTGTGGACTGCCAGTTCCTTCATGCTGAACTGAGTTCCTGAGTCTTAATCTCTTTGTGTGTCGTCACTCAAACCCGATATCTACCAGAGATGGGCAAAAGGTATGGGCAGAGGACACATCATCTCATTGAAAGGCAATTCAAGGCCCTTTTACCCCCTTGTGCATTGCAATAAGAAAACCCTTCGATAGACCATCTACCCCATTTCCGCACCTAGATGACAACGACATTTACGAACACACAAACACATAAGAACAGCCTTAATCAGAGACCAAAAAGCACCAGGATCTTCCCAAACCCACTCCTCATTCCCACCCCCAAGCCAACCCCTTATCCCTCCCGAATTCCCCTCTCCGACAGACTACACCCCTGTGATAAAGCACTTCTACTTCAAGTCCCCAGCCCCCGCGAAGCGTCCTTCAAAGGGTTAGAAATACCCTGGAGTTTTTTTTCGAGTATTCTTGGATATTTGTCTGCGGTTGGTGCTGCGCATGCGTTTTCGCTGCTCTTATGTGATGCTGCGTATGAGGCGCAAGGACTTTGTGGTACTACTGCTACTAGCACGAGGAGGAAGAGGGTGGTGGGGAGGTGGGGTGGGTTAGGGGAAGGTCTTGTTTTACTTGGGGTGTGAATGGCTTGGAAGAGGGGAGGGGTGGGGATTTGTTGCATATTCGTGTGGAGATAGTTGGGGGTGTGGGTGAGCTGATGTTGCTTATTTTAGGGAAGTGAAGCTAAGAAGGTGGGGTTGGACTGTAGGATGGAGAGGGGGGTTTGGATGATGAGAGATTGGATTGGTTTCCGTTGGATTGGGGGTTGTAGAATGGGAGTGTGGGTTCTCCCATTGCGAGCGTGGAATGAGGTTGAGTTTAGAGGGTGGTGGCGTTCGAGCGCTCTTCTCATGGTTACTTTTAGAAACTATTTCATTCATGTTTGTGCTCGGGGCGAAAATATACACTTGGTGTGTATGCTACTGTTTCTAGGCTACCTGGGTTGAGAGGTGCGCGCACAACACTACTATTTAATAAGCTGGTATTGGCAACCACGGCACAAACATCACCCCCCAACTAAGGGGAAGACCGTATCTGGTCCACTCCTGCAAGCAGCAAAGCAAGCAATGATTGCAGGTCGGCTAAGTGAAGACTTTGGGGTCCAGACACCGTCAATTATATTGAAAGTCAATCAGCAGTTTCTAGACGGAGAGGACAGTAAGAGTAGAGACCCCATGTCTTTGTGAATGATAATAAGGTCTGCAGCCGGGGGTACAAGTATATGATTATAGTCGGAGTGTGGTGGCTGTTTCGCTATCCTTAAACTTAGAAATTGTAAACAATCGAGATATGAGGGACAGTGACCTTGTAGTTCAGGTGCCTAAAGAGCAGTGCAGGAAATAAAAGAGGCAGGATAAGAGTATTAAGAGAAGACAGTGATATATATGCTAGTATATGAGAAGCATGCAGCTAGGTTTAACATGTTTTACCTACAATGAACTAACTACGTGAGTTGGTTAGAGATTAGAAGCAGGAGGCGAGATCCAAGTGCTGAAATCCAATCCCTATGGCCGTGAAGTATTCTAGTGGTATTTTTGAGCCGAATTATCTGTCCAACTTGACGTCTCGGAGGACCTCCGCGTGCTTGGGTAGATGACTCGGTCTGTGTTCAACGAACCCCAGGAAGATTGTTTAGAGAATTTCAGAAGGCGGGTATGCATCCACTCCTCATATCTATTGTTGATATAATCGACCACTTCGTAGAACCCGTTGCTGCGCGCTAAGTCTAGAGGACGCATGCAAGCGTTGTTTCGAGAGTGGATGTGCTCGTCCAAATGGTCAATGAGAAGTCGGCAGACGTCTATGTCCAGCTCTTTCCGGTTACACGCAACATGAAGAGGAGTATTTCCAAGAATATCCTCGATGTGCATGTTTGCACCATTTGTGATGAGCTCCTGTAATACTTCACTGGAAGACTGGGAAGCAGCAATGTGAAGCGGCGTGCGTCCTTTCTTGTCTTGGGAAGATATGAGAGAGGTTTGATAATATTTGATCTCCCGACAGATGATCCGCACGATCGATGGAGTTGCCAGAGCAGCGGCATGGTGAAGTGCTGTCCGGCCGAGGCTGTCACAAGCCCCAACATCTGCAGAGTGGTGTAGCAAGAAGTACAAAGCATCCTCATTGCCGTTCCGGGCGGCAACGATGAGAGGATATCTGAGTTTCCCTCCACACGTGTTGACTGAGAATTTCTTCTCCTCAACGAACCATTTCAGCCAAGACACTAGGTTCCACCCGGCCGCAAAATACACAAAGCTAGCTCCTCCTCGCATATCTTCGCGGGTTAGACCCCAAGCCTCCCAGTCCCGGGAGAACAGCTCACCAAGCACTTTGCTAGGGTTAGCGCCCTCTCTTTCCGCGGCAGTTGCATGGAAAACGAGCGTATCCTGGAAATATTGCCAAAGGGAGGGTATTTTCTGGATTGTTCGGTAAGGTTCGCTGTCCGATGTTGGAGCGTGCAAGTCCGTAGATAGTTTCTCCGAAGAGGATTTCGGCTCCTCGGGTTTTGCCAGGGCCTCAAAGTACTGTCCCACAACGTATTCATGAGCAGCAGAAGCAGTTCCGGTTCCCAAATTCGAGCTGTGCAACGGGACTTGCCCCACCGGGGAAATATGTGCTCTTGTCGCCAAATTATTGCCATCCCATATCCAGCTTCCAACCTCCCTGAGAATATCAGGCAGTTCTCTGATGACAAGCGGTTCCCGCCGATCAAGTGGTGTGGGTCTTGAATGGCGGCTCCTCGGTAGGTTTTCTTTAGGTATCTCTAGGGGGCTCCGGAAATTGGTCATCTCCCTGGAGCTCAAGTCAAGACCGATTGAGGGGGGGTCAAAGAGAGCCATCCTTTCTTGATGAAGTTTCCAACTTTCTTGAAGATAAATGCTAGCGATACTAACAGCAACTGAAGCGCTAGATCCAAAACTCGCATGACTTCGAGATGCTAGAACTAATGCGTTACGCGAGTGAGTGTAACTATCAATATCAGCTGTAGTACTACTGTGTTCAGTTCTAGCTTTCACTCGGAAAATGTCCATCTCTTCTAGGAATCCATAGCTGATGCATGTACCTAGTATGTAGAGATTTCCATCGCCTCGGGGATTTTGAATAGCAGGGTCAAGCAAAGCGAAGCCGCGACCGTTTAGGAAAAATTCTCGAACGGACTCGTGGATAACATGGACGTATTTCCCGCTTTCGAAGGATCCAGCACCAGCACGGAGGGAGGACAGCACTGAAATAGGCCCTTCGATGGGCGCTGGGGATTGTCGATCTTTAATCTCGACCAAGCCAAGACAAATTTTCTTTATCCTTTTCGCAATCTGTTCGTCGCTCTGAGTGTAATCTTTCGAGCCTTCCCATTCTTTGAGAGAAGAAAGGGATGGATTGGCGATGAAGGCCATCACATGATGCCATTCAGCCAACTCTAAGGGCCTTGCAGAGAGCAGAACCCACTGCATCGTATGGACAAGGGTTTCCACCTCACTTGGTTTTACTGTGCCCATCAACTTCACATACAACTGCTCTAAGCGTGAGGGTACCTGGGTAAGTCGATACCATAAATAGCGAATATCTCTGCCGTCGTCCCAGTCATTCTGTAAAAGATTGATGACAAGGACCACCCACAAAAACACGCCAGAGGCTTTTTCGACAACAGCCTTCTCCAAAGAAGTCCAGGCGGCTATTTCGCTCGAGTTTTCATTTGGGTTGCCGAGTTTCAGCGTCTGCGTTGTGTATAGTGTAATATCGGGACTATTGTTGTCTTCGACGACGATTTCGCGGCAAAGTGGTTTAGCTGGGTTTAAAGGATTCGTGACCGTAAATGAATTGCGACTTGAAAAACAAATTCTCAACTCAGCGCCAGATGTGTGCGCTACCACGGTTACTCGGCGGAAGAACCGTACAAGATCTCGGGCAGCGGTCACCTCACACTCGTCCACTCCGTCAATGAGAATAACTGTACGACTCGATCGCGCCTTGCTAAACATTCTCTGAAACACCTCTTGTAGTTCTACCAAGTCCCATTTTACCTCCCGCTGCTGAAGGCTTCTGTGCTGATATGTTTCGGTAAGATCCAGGCATTGCTCGTGAAAACCTGGAAGTAATTGGTAGATTAAAGATCGAAAGAGGCCAAGAGGCATGCGTTCAAGTGGCGTGCGTTCAAGTGACGTCCTTTCAAGTAGATTAGCCCCTGAAGGGCTGAAGAAGAATGACGCAACCTGAGGGTTCAAGTTGGGGTGTTGCTTCACTAGTCTCAACGTTTCCTTCATCAAAGTAGATTTTCCCGATCCAGGTTTCCCTTTAATCCAAAGAAGTCCAGGTTGTTCCGGACCGTCTTGGCCTTGAAGCCAGGATTGAAATTCTGATGATTGAACTATCCACTGGCAAGTTCCGTCAACCGGCTTATCAATAGTTTGCTGCCACAACTCCATCTCAGAAAAGCTGAGCGAAGCCTGTAAGTCTGGTGGATCCCTTTAAGTTAGATACCGATGTCTTATAGAATTGTCGCGGTATACATACCCCGAATGTTTCTTTCAAAGTCGCGTTGAGCAGCAAATGTTTCTAAGTAGCGTTAGCTACTACGCCATTACCGTCCATGCAGAATCTGCAGGCTAACCATAGTTCTCATACCAATTATGCTGCGAATCCGGCTTGGGCTGGACAGCATCGTAGATAATTTTGAGCTCAGGCCCAACTTTTTGATAGTTATTATCGTCAAGGCCTTTAAATCTGCACATCTCTCTATGATCTGCGTCAAGTGTCTCGGCTCGCTCTTTGAGGTTGCCAATGAGGGATGACGGATTTGGGACAACCTATATGAAATATTACACATTTGATACGAAGGATACAGGGGTATGAGCAGAAGTTCCGACAAACCTTTTTATTTAGAGGGCCAATTTTGACACCATAGAGAGGACGCCCTTCCTGAAAGGTCTTGACCCTGAACTTGTATTTCTCCCACAACCGCGTGAACTTGTCGTGGCACCGCTCAAGGTCGGCATTTTCCAAGCCCAGAGAATCTAAGACTGAAGAAGTGCTGTCCATGAGTAGAGCACTCGCGATCTTCCGGCCCTTCTCCCCGGTAGCAGCCCAGTCCTCGCTTCCCCGGTGGGGAGTGCCCATGAAGACAACTGCAGCAGTGGACTCCACGACATTCAGCGTACTTGGGTCATCCTGAGACTCGCTTGATATTGCAAGCGCCTATTCGTGCGTATTAGTGTTTCGTCAGTCTTTGAAGCTCGGGTGGCCACCTGTACCTCTTTAACAATAATACCGCCGAGAGAATGAGCAAGAAAGATGATCGGTCGGCTAAGGGTGGTTCGATGACGACAGAGGTCGTACAGAAAGTCCTTACCATAGGAATAGAGATGATTTTTGTTCACTGCCTTGCCATAACGTACAATCCTTGTGTCGTATCCCCAAACCAATATCCTCGCCTCTGGACATTGTGCAGGAAGGAGCTGTTCAGGCCAAAAGAATTGGGACTCAGTGGAGTCGCCTTGCCCTTCTTCCGAACTGTGAGTGGGCATAGATGTTCTCTTGGATTTTGGTCGTAACGATTGAGGGATGAAACGAGAGAGGTGCCTCTTTCGAGTCTTCCCTGGAACCTTTGAGTCTGGCTCCGGCACAGGGCCTTCAGTGGCCCAGGTGCGATATGGATGGCCTTGAAGGCCATGAACAAGAACAAAGCTAAACTCAGATCAGTATTGGTTGTTAAAGTATGCTATCATATAGCGTGAAGATAACTAGGGTGGAGTTGATTTGTTAGACCTCTTGCTAGAATTAGGAAGACAGGCAAAAGAATGCAAGATTCCGTTTAGAATTACATATCCATGGCATGCTCCGTGTTAGGTGACATGAAGCAGGAGGTAGAGATGACAATGATGAAGAAATGCTGTGGTTGAAGGAGCTTGGGCCGTGGGTTTCCACTCTGCCCCACTTACTCCACCCTGGACTTGGGAAAGGAACGACTGGACTCACTCAACGGTTGGATCTTTATCCTTAGGCCGGTATATTTCCGTGAAACCGGTGTCGTTGACTTTGACAGGCGACATCGTCAGAGCAGTTGCATTGTTCTGAAAATTGAGGCAAATGTGATCAAAGAATCCAGCCTTCAGCCTGGTTCCGAGGCTGAGCGCTGAAGCGGCACCGCCGAGAGGTTCGCTAATCTACTGAGGGCGACGGCTTTTGGGAGCCTGAGATTTCGGGCAACAAACGCCTTCACATTATGCCACCTTGTTAATCGTGCCATATAAATTCAGTTTTGACAAGGCTTGGGATTCAGATAATAAACTCTTTCGCAGTCCGACGGTTTATGACATGCTATCACACAATGTGGAACATGACCAGGGTAAGGGCTAGGTGTAAACCTCGTGACAGAACTAGGGAAAACTGTAAAAGCATACAAATTTCTATGCTAAAGAACCCCTGTAGTGTTCCCTTTTAGGTGATAATATGTAGCATTAGAAATGCTAGGGATAGTGCTCATAAGAGCAAGCACTTTAACAAACCTTGAAATTTGTGCAGCAAAGGATGCCATAAACGTCACCAATGGGATATTTGAAAACTTGGAAGATAGAATTGACTTTTCGAGCAATCCAACCTGAACTATCAAACCCCACCAACATAATCGCTATCCAACATGGGTATCCGCATCGAAGAAACCAAATCCACTAAATCCATCCCAAAGCCCATGTCATGACCCAAACTATATCTCTCCAAAACTAACATACCTTTCAAACCCTTAAGGTTCCCTTCCTTGTATTCTTCTCTCCCTCCCACCACGCCTTATCTTTCTGCCTTCGATGAGGCATACTCTCTCTAACCTCTGTCTCCCTATCCAAACTCCTCGCCCGACTCCTCTTCTCACTCTCCACAAAACTCCTCCTCTCCTTCCCTCCCCCACCTCCACCGCCTCTACTCCTGTTCCTCCCCGCCATCGCCGCAGCCCCCATATCCGCACTCAACGGCCTCACACTCTTCTTCTTCTTCCCAGATACCGTTGCCGGGGGCTTCTTAACATAATCGTAAGTCTCTGGATCCCTCCTCGCAAGCTCTCTCTCGAGTCTCCAGAGAGGGGCTTCGGGTAGCACGCGCGCGCCATCTGAGTCCTTGAATTTCAGTTTCCAGAAGATGTCGGCGTCGGATTTGGAGCGTGGGCCGTAGTCGACAACGAGTTTGTAGTTATCGGTTAGAGCGCGGCATTCGTAGATGCCTTTGTCGTCGACACCTGGGCCGTTGAGGCGGATCCGTGTGCGGACTGATGGGTGGATGTATTCGTTTGTTAGGCGGAGAGGACGGGAGGTTGTGCGACCGGTCGAGGGGTCGACGGCGTGGTAGAGCCCGGGTGTGCGGTGCTTGGGTGATTATGTTAGCATTCTCCTCTTCTCTAAAATGTAGGGAGAGGTTGGGCTTACTTGTCCGCCTCCTATGGCATACAGACCGGTCATGGAATTAAAGATTTCCCCAAATGACCACGGCCTTATCTCCTGTCGGTTCTTACGGTAATACTTGTCGTTCTCGTGATCTTCGTCTAGTAGATACTGGTCTCTCATATCTAAAAATGGTTCGAGTTGGCTCATCATCCATGCCAATGTGATGTTTGCTAGCTGTTGATCATCGTAGCCTCCTCCGACATTGCTATGCACACCTGGGAACCAGACTTGACGCAATGTCGTCCGATTTCTTTCTGGCTTCTCCCATAGGGCAGGAGAAAAGGCACTACGCTTTTCGTCCAGCGCAAGCGCTTGGAATGCATTCTCGATGTTAGGAGAGAGTTTCGTGTCGTAGAAACTCATCTCTTTGGACTCGTTGCTTTGCAAACCAACTTTCGTCAACCATCCAACTCTTGGCGTACCCAAGCTCCCCACAGTGTCCCACACTCCGATAGCTTTAATCGGTATGTCGAGTCTAGTCAAACCTCTTCTTGTTAACTCGTCTACATATCTAGGATCGTCTGCGCTAGGTTTATTAGGAAAGGGGACATTTGGATTCTTAGCAATATACTTTGGATCTCGGCGATGCTGAACGTCTTTGAAAACTTCGGGTAGAGCGTGGATTCCCTTTTTGGTGAGAAGCCCTACTTCTCCAACAAGACCAGCGATGCTACGTGCTGTGAAAGCGCCTCGAGAGAATCCAAGCAGGAAGATTTCGTCACCGGGATGGTAGTTGTTGGCCAGGAAAGAGTAGCCTTCTCGGACAGCGTCCCCGAGACCTTCTCCAAGAGTACCTGTGCAGGGTCAGTCGTCCGCAGATTCAACAAAATAAGAGATTCAGATGATGAAAGCTGAGCTCACCACCCACAACGCGATCTACAAGACCGCCTTGAGTCCCAACGCCGAAGTGATAGTACACTATTTGGGGAATACCATCTTGACTGACAGGTTTAATAGCTCTCGATATCCGCGTGACGTTACTCGGAATCGACAGCTTTCCGTTCACGAGGCCATTGTCAGAGTTTAGCCATGTTCCTAAAACAGGTAGCAGCATTAGCACAATTCTCGAATTTAACTCCCCCTCCTTCTCTATGTCAACACATAACCCCTGGCTCTGTTCTTAAGAGCAGTGAAAAAGGAAGAGAAGTCAATCTTGCAAATTAAATCCTGAAAAGGACATACCATCACAAGCAACAATCAATCTTTTAAACATCCCCCTCCCGCCACTCAACCCGGGCGCATCTATCACAATCGGCGGTCTATTCTGCGGTGGCAAATCTACCACAATCGGAGCTGATGCTCTCGGATTCGCCATGCTGGGTGCTCTACTTCTACTCCTAGCAGGGGACCTTGGAGCCGCCATCCCGCGTCTGCGCTTTGTCTGGTCCGACTCAGACGAGGGGAAATACCCCGAGTCCGAAGTTTCTGAATCCAGATTTCAGGTTTGTCGACCAAATCCCACACACTTTACCCCTCTTCGCGCTCTTGCCTCTCGCGATGCTCGCTTGCCGGTGCTTGATGCAAATAGTCCAATATCGGATGTGCGAAAAGTCGCCGGAGTCAAATGCGCGTAGTCACCAGACTGTGGTTCAACCTGACGGTTGACGGGAACGTTAGACTAGCCACACCACGTGCGCGTGAAGCGATGCAGATGCGCGAAGTGTGACGCGCGTGCCTGCGTGCAGTTGGGTCGTCCCGCAAATGCAATCCAGGAGACTGGAGGAAAAAAAAGGCCAGATTCCGATTACAGTCAGTGCTGGGACTGCCTTAACGTGGTTCGTCTCCCAGCCTCGTACTCAAATCGACGGGACAACTCAATCGCGGCCTCCGGCAGAGCGCGGAATGCTGCAGTGGTGGGCGCGGGAATACGGGTAGATCCAGGGAAAATAATGGGTAAGGCCGTTGACATTCTCAGGACGTTGAGAAAGAGTTTGCGCCGCGCTGAGTCGATGTGGTCTGTATCACCTGTGCTTGGGCGTTGGTGCTTGCGCGGCTGGCCCTGCCTCCTCAACCTTCGACGCTCGGCTTACAGTGATCAAGGTGGCTGGGAGGACCGGGTGGGGGCCAACGGTGTCACTTCGTCATGAGAATGAATTAACAATGGGGAATTTAATAATTAACGTCGATGGACAGATGAGAATTGTCAAAGGGTTTTGGAGGGTCGCCCAGCTGTGGTGTCCGGGTTTACTATCATGGATTACCTTGCTTCATCTTCATGCGGCTCCAACTTGGGCAGTAAGTTTGTCCGGTGAAGCAGCCCAAACTGCAGCTGCTTTTGGTTAGAGGGCGCACAATAGTAAGTTGCAATCCGGTGTAGATGCTCCCAAGAGGAGCTGGCCTATCTCGTGTTTCTGCGTCCTAGATAGCCTAACGTGTTCTACGAAGATGTAATCCCTTGTCGACAATACGAAGAGTAGACATATGGCGCAACACTTGAGAGCAGATGTAGGAAGTCGCAGTATGCAGAGAACGGCATGAGTAAGAACTGTATCAACTGTTTTTCAATTTCAAAGCTTTTGTATCCTGCAATCTTTGCCGCCATCAGCATTGTCTCGAAAGCCATACCAGCTAAGTTCAACCAGTGCCTTAGCCACCAATATCATAGCTATCTTACAAGAAGTCCCGACCCCTCGTCTGAACACCAAATCGCCGACTTGATATCCTCAAATCGGCAAAATCCCCAAGATCTGCAAGACTGATGCAGCGCGAGCGGCGAATGGACCATCTAGGATATACGCCAGAAGAGAAGGGGAGAGGATATACTAAAAGCATACAAAACAAGTGTTCGCGCCCGATAAGAGATTCGTGGTCAACTTCGTTTATCAAATGTCGTAATCTGGGTCCTCAGTATCCACCAAACAAATCGTCTAATTCCTCGAGCTCAACGTGTTCTGGACTCTTCATCTCCGACCAACCCCACTCGAATTCATCGTTCGTCATCTTTGCATCGACCGGCTTGAACATAGGTGGGGGCATTTGAATTTCAAGCGCTGGCTTGAGCATCGGGCTGCTCGAAGCGAAGTCCGACTGGAAAGTCGAAACGTGGTCCATTGCGCCAAACAATGCTGCTGCGGTTTCGGAGTTCTTTCGCGCGGCACTTTCTTCCGTCTCTTCAACCTCAGGAATCTCGTACATGGTTACATCAGTGCTCTGGGTCTCCTCTGATGAGGAGCTGGTTTTCCGCTCACGTTCCTCACTCCTCCTTCGCTGCAGGAACGATGCCGTCTGCGTGAATTCCTTCTCGTCTCTCTCCAATGGAGGCGATTGGGCTCGCCGATTATGCGCAATGTTAATGGTTGTTGGTGGATGGGTCTGGTTCGAGAACGGGTCGGTACCATCGTCAAAGTCTGGCGAGGAGAGATCTAATTCAGGCGAGGGCGACATGCGGTCTCGTGATCGCGCCTCTAGATCCTCCTCCTCGGAAGCAGCGGATGAGAGGGACGGCGATATGATTCTCGCCGTCGCCGGTCCGCTTCCTGCATCGGCGGGGATGGGCTGGGGTGCGCAGGTGGTCAGGAAGTAGTAGACGCGCTTGGGGTGCGTGCCAACAAGCGTCTTATCGAGGGGACACTTTGACAGCGCAGTCCACGGCCGCTTTAGGTAAGTCGCGAGGCGCGATGAAATGATTGCAGCTGGATTCGCGGAGCTATAGCGCACGTCAGCATAAGGCAGACAAAGCTTAGTATTGTCTCTAAAACATACCTCTCAACAATAGGAATGGTGGCCGAGAGCACTGCAGCCAGTTCTTTGAGAAGATGTGGCCGGTTTCCCGTCTTCTCGAGTTGCTCTATGACGCCGACAACGATTGTGTCGTCGATGCCTTCCGTGTCGACCTTTGTTTGTCCCGATGCTCCACCGGGTGACGGTGGCGGGGTGTCGGCCACGCGGCCGGCACTCCTAGGGGGATCATCGAAGCGCAGCGTTGAGGTTCGTGGAGGGCTTGTTGGTGTCGAAGTGATGGAATGCGTGCGCTTTGCTTTTTTGGCCGGTGGTTGGTGATGCGGATCGGTCGCAGTCGAAGGCGGTGAGCGCGCGGACCGTGGGCCACCAGGCACAGCTATGCCGAGCGAGGGCAACGACAGCGACTTCCGGCGGGTGTTGTAGGGCATCGTGTCGCGGGGGAGTTTGTCGCGAAGAGGATGCGATGGAGAGGAAGCACTGCTCCTGGGCCGAAAATAATTCCTGCGGCTGGTGGACGACGACGGGGCACGACGTTGTTGTTGCCGCGAGAATACTTGGGCGAAGCGATTGGGTGCAGAATGTGCAGGTGCAGGAGTGCAGGAGCCTTGACCAGAAGCGTTACCGCTGGGCAATGCAAGGCAAAGCGGCGTGCAGCGTGCGACACTTCTGCCTGTCGCTGATGACTTTGGTGTGGCAAGCCGGCTTAATCTGGTCGCTGTGCTGACGGCGTCAAACAGGCGGCAAGGTGGGCTGCTTCGCTCTGAAAGCTTCGAATGAATCCGCCGCTCGCCTCCTGAGCAGACCAGAGCAGACCAGAACAGACCAGAACAGACCAGATGTGGTGTGTAACCAGTCGGAGAGGCAACAGGCTGCAAACGAGCTCTGCGCAACAAATAGTAAATGTTGCTGCAGCAGACGGCAGCAGGAGCTCGACGCAAGGCACAAAGGCACAGAGGATCCTAGAGAAGGGCGAGGTAGGTGAGGAGGGGAGGGGAGGGGAGGGGAGGTGGTGGAATGGGGAGAGGAGGGTACGGAGTGATGGCAAGAACCACTAAACTCAGCCTAGGCGGCCGTGCGTAGGGTGAAGGGTGAAGGGTGAATGTGTTCAAGGATGCCATCGACACTGCGGGCAAAGGAATATGACAACACTGCTACTTTTAGAGCCCTCTCGTGCTTCTGTCGTCGCCAGGGGCTGGAGGCCAAGTGGCAGCCAATTAGCAAGGCCACACCACGCAGCAGCCGTCGCACACACAGCGAGCACCTCCACCAATTTCCAAAATTTCCAAGATACTGATGATGAAAAGCAAAATCCGCCTGCGCATCTCAAATGCATAGTCAGTCGCCTTCTCCTAACCGTCGTGCACAGTTCCCCGCCCGTCTCCCGACTAAGCCGTCTGGACCCTTGGAACTTGGATCACTGGAGCTAGAGCCTGGATGTGGAGTCTGCCGCAGAGCTGAACGGCTTTGATCCGGCGAACCTTTTCGCCTGGATCCGGATTTTTTGAAGGAATCTCGTAGCCACAGCGACGCCGCCATATTAGAAACAACAAGTCTGCCATTATTTGCCGCTGTTTACCCTCGCATTGGGTTCCGTCATTGCCCTCTATGCCCACTGCCCTCATCGCAGGCCCAGGCTCTGGGCCTCTGGCAGGCATCCCGGGCATGAGACTCGAGAAATTTTGGCCATGATCTGATGGGGTTGCATATCATCTCGTTCCAGCAGCAGGTGAGCCCCTGTTTCGACGCCCGCCCTAATCAATTTAGCCTCAACGCCATGCCGGTCTCTGCACAAGCCTGCAAAGGCGGTGAGCCAGAACAACTTTTTTTTTCTCTCCCCATGCATCGGGTGTTTCTTTGGCCTCGGTAGTCGCGGAGCTCTATCGGACAAAAAGGAAGACGATTGCGCCTGGGCCGCCCAGCAAGCAATGAGCATCCGTTCGACCAGTTGCAGTCAGCTCATAAAAACAACATGCAACTCGCCGACAAAAGCAGCGCTGCGGCAGCGATGCGAAACCGCTGTGTTCTCACCTTTTTCTGGAAAGCTGCTGGGATGTGCGTTTCACAAGCCGGCACAACCTGTTTCTGGACAAGGCACGCGACGCAGGAGGGAGCTGCCCTGATTGGCAGCGCAAGTGAATGTCTTTCCCCAATCGTACCAACACCATTACACAAAGCCGCAGTGCTGCACCGTCACTTTTGTGGGGATGCGTGTCGCGGGTTAGCAAACACGCTTCGGATGCACCCTGCCTCCCCCACTCCCCCCAGATGACGCCGGAGGAGGCGAATGAATCGGGAAGCTTTATAGCTGCGTTGTCCGTCGTTGCGCTGCCTTTGATCGCGGCCAAGACGAGTCATGCATGTAAGCCAGTAGCTGCATGCTGTCGACAACTATGCATCGGAGTCTAGATCATATTTAGATGAAATGTATCGCTGGTGGAGGATTTGTCCCTCTTGACGATTGTTCCTCTGCGGGACAGTCGATTTATCTGCAAGCCATGTCTTACGCGCCGCCATGTTTCTGACCTGAATCCTGGATTTCGGTCGCTAGACTTGCTTTTGTGCTTCATCATTTCTTGATGACCATTTTCCCATGAGGGCGTTCATATAATCGTAGCCGGTAATGACGAGAATAATAAATGTCTCTTAACCATGCGTTTTCCATCAAAACTGGTTCTAGAACGTAGACATTCAAGCTTTCGCTGCCCTGTCTGATTGGATATATGCCGGTATCTTATCGTACTGGATGCTAGTGGAGCTTCATCGGCCATAAACTTGACTGCTCACTTCCAGAAATTCCACCACGTTTTCTGTGCTACCTGGGAGTCGGGCGGCACACGCGCTTGCTCTTCCATGATTCCCTTCCCCTCTCCCTGATTCTTCCTAGAGCCTTTCCTTGGCCTGAGTTCCACCCACCATGTCGTGCCAAAGTTGTATCTCTTAATCTGGACAACCTCTAGCCCGCTATCATCTACAATTTTCCCAATGTCCTTGTTCCACCAGCATCCGTGCTCATTTGCATGTGCAGGTGCCGTCTTGTCCAGCAAGTTATTCAACCACTGAAAGTACGACTTCCCGTGCTCCAGCAGCAGTATCTGCCCGCCATCTTCTTTCGTAACCGCCTCCAGATTGCAAAGTAGCCGCTCTGGCTCAGGGGTCGAGCAAAGCCCCATAGTCTGTATTACAGTGTCGTAGCCATCCTGGGCGCCATATGGTGGGGTGATAGGGTCTAGAGCGGACTGCTGCTTGAAGAAGACTCGAGAGAAGTACTCTGGGTGCTGATCTTTCCATTTCCGCTTGGCGATATCTAGCATGGGCTTGCTTTGGTCCAGTAGTGTCACTGTATGGCATTGCTTGGTTGGATAGAATGGAGTATTTCTGCCAGTACCTACTGCGACTTCCAGCACATGTCCTTTGGCCATTTTTGTGAGTGCATTTCGTCTCGAAGTTAGTCTCAACATCCATTCTGCTGTGCCTACTTTCTCATCGTACCCCTCTGCCTCCTTGTCGAAACGATCCGAAACATCCTCCGGAACATCCTCTAGTTGTGGCGCCCTACTCAAAGATATCCACAACTGTGCGCCATAAAGACCAGCCCCGAAGACTATTATGCCGCAAGCAACAATTGGGAATTGTCTCCATCTTCCCACTTTTGCTCGATGAGCCGCTTCATCCTCCAGTTGCCATTGTGTTTTATGTTTGGGCCCTGCCTCGGGTTTATATGGAAGCGGCTTGACAGGCGTATTCTGTGTAGTTTTTGGTATTGTCGAAGGTGGCGGGCGTGGTGCTTGGGGCCTGAATGTTTGAGGCTTCGTAGGAAGCTTCTTTGGTATTGACTTCGGTATTTTGGGTATCTTTGCCATGTGGAAGGGTCTGACAGACTTGAAGCCACCTAATGAGTGACTGTTGTGTTCAATTGATGATGTCGTGGTGCAGACTTCAGAACTTTTGCAGACCGTGCACGACTGTCCAAGCTCCTGGTCCAGATTGCCGATTCAGGCCGACGCCCTACCGTAACCCCTCAACGACATCGGACCTGTCCCCACGATCTGGGATTATATATGTAGACATTGAGCAAGGGTATCGTATCAATCTCTTTGTTTTTAGTCTTCAATATACTTCAATCGTCATACACGCTCTCTCCTCCTTCTAAACTAATGGCGCCAACCAAGTCTCCAATTGAGATCCCTTCCTCTGTCCTTATCATTGGAAGTGGGGTCTTCGGGCTATCTACCGCATATTCCCTCTGCAAAAATCCACTCTTCGATAATACTTCCATTACGCTCGTCGACCGACAGCCATTTCCATCTCCGGATGGCTCAAGTGTAAGAAAGTATCTTATTTACGCTATCCTATTCTGTAGCTCTCCTCTTCTTGGATTTCTTCGTTTTAAGCCATCATCATGCTCCCGACTACTTCCCTCGGAAGCTCAAGCACTTCTAGATCGACACATCCCGCATCGTCCGCCCAGACTACGCCTCCCCTCCATACACACGCCTCGCCTCTGCAGCCCAATCCCTCTGGCGCACAACCTTCGCGCCCCAACATTACCACGAAAACGGGCTCTGCATAACCGCTTCTGGCTCCGAGGAAAAGTACGTTTCGTCCTCTCTTGCCAATGTCCAAGCTCTTGGAACGGGCAAAATCGAAGTTCTCAAGAACTCGGATGACGTCAAAAGAGTTACCGGAACAGAAAACGCCAGCGGAAGCGCAGGCTACATTAACTGGAGTTCGGGATGGGTGGATGCTGAAGGCGCTATGCGATGGCTACACTCCAAAATTTCACAGCTAAACCGCGTTAATTTCCTTACTGGCACAGTAACAAAGCTGTTAATCAACCACACCACCCACGCCGTATCCGGCGCGCATCTCCAAGACGGCAGAACCCTCACCGCATCCTTAACCATCCTCTCTGCCGGCGCCTGGACTCCCTCCCTTCTCGACCTGCGCGGTATTGCAAACGCAACCGGCCAAGTCCTCGTATACCTCCCAATCACCCCCTCCGAAGAATCCCGTCTCGCAACCCTCCCCACACTACTCAACCTCTCTACCGGACTATTCCTCATCCCACCTTCCCAAGGCCTGCTTAAAATCGCCCGACATGGCCATGGCTACGCAAACCCAACCACAATTCCACACCCGGAATCCGCAAACCCCAGCGACACAATAACCGTCTCTCTACCCCCTCACTCCGCCTCGCACTCCCAATCCGTCCCCCAAGAAGGCGAATCTGCATGTCGAGCGTTTCTATCCCACGTCTATCCCTCTCTCTCGTACACCTCCTCCTCCTCCTCTCGCCCATTTACGAAAACTCGTGTATGCTGGTATACCGACACGCAGACTGGAGATTTCCTGATCTCATATCACCCAAAATATACGGGGTTGTTCGTTGCAACAGGCGGGTCTGGTCATGCATTTAAGTTCCTGCCTGTGATTGGGGATAAGATTGTGGAGTGTGTGTTGGGCAATACGCCGGAGGATTTCCGCGGGAAGTGGGAGTGGCCTGTGAAGAGAGTGTCGGAGGAATTATGGGAAGGGGATGGGAGTAGGGGTGGTCCCATTGGAATGGTGTTGGGAGAGGAGATGGCGAAGATAGAGAGTAAGCTGTAAGGAGGGTGAAGGCTCAGGAGGAAAGATGTTAGGCCTTGTGTGGATGGGCGCAAGGCGATGGGCGCAAGGCAATGGGCGCAAGGCAATGGGCGCATGGCAATAGGCGCAAGGAAATGGGCATCGCGGGGAGGAGGGGCATTAGGATGGTGGCGTCAGAAGCGGCGACATACATGGCAAGTGGAACACATCAGTGGTTGGCATCATCCAACAAGATAGTGGAACATTGAGGTCACTTCTCACATGGCAATGTACAATATGATGATATTTAGATCGTGGTTGGCATTGCTACCTGATACCTAATCCGCGAAGCACGGGAGTAAGGAAGCCACGATAAACACAAAATGCAATAATCGTCATCGAGAAGCTCTGACATCTAACGGCCGTCAATATGAGCCTCTCCTTGCAAGCTTTTACGCTCGCACTACTCCATCCGTTGTCATCAAGTCTGCGAATCAGTCTCGCCGAGACACCTTTCCACACCCACCCTATTCATGTTCGGGGTAGAAAAGGCTAAAGAAAGAACACTCCATCTCCATGACAAATTAGGTGGAGATTGAACTCCGAGCGCACCACGAGGAGGGAGGTGAGGTGTGCTGCTCTAAAGGTGTGGGGAATGTTTTGAAAACCAATGAAAAGAAGTGGCCACCATATCCGAAGGGACCATCCGGGACTCCATGCAATGCCGCAAGAAAGACAAGTGGGGAGAAAAGAGACATGGGGAATTTTGAGTCAAAAGGCTTCCTTCTCGAGCTAGCCGGCAAGGAGCTTGCAGTCGGGCTGGAGAAGTTTGCCAAGACCTCGTCGTTAAATCGGGAGGAGCCACAATCGACCGAATGAAGATAGAGATACAAGCCGACCATTCGCCTGAGAAATGGAAAGCGCGATCTTTGGTAGTGCTAGTTGGCCACTCAGGACTTGCGGAAGTCAGAGAGCACGGGGTAGATGAGCTCAAAGGCCTGGTAAATCTCCTCGCGGACCTTGGCACCGGTCAGGACAATCTTGCCACTGACGAAGATGAGTAGGACAATCTTCGGCTTCATCATACGATAGATCAAGCCTGGGAAAAGCTCGGGTTCATATGAAGAGAAGGTATGATGGCGGCTAGCCAGACCCTCCAGACGAATTGGGAACTTGATGTCGCAAGAGCCGACGATATTCTGAATCTTGAAGTCGGTGAACTTGGCATTAAACCCCAGCTTTTGAATGATCCTAGCGTACTTGCGAGATGCAAGGCGGCTGTCGTCTTCAGACTTCGCACCGGTAACAACCATTTTGCCACTCGCGAAGACGAGCGCGGTCGTCTTCGGCTCGCGTATCCTCATGATGACGGCTGCGAACCGCTTCGGATTGTATTCAGCATTACGGGCATGCAGGGCGATGGTCTTGAGATCGAGACGTGCCGACAGGTTCACCGTAGCGACGATATTCTGAAGCGTCGGCACTGCAGTTTGCGCAATAAGCAACCTGAGAAGCACAGATCAGAATTCACGAGTTTGCTTACCAATGCCAGAGGCCGAGTTCTGGTTGTCGGGAGTAGCCGCTGGGGTTGCGACGCCATTGGCATTGCCATCCTGAAGCGCATTCTTTTCAGACGAGGGCGGGGTCAGCTCGGCACCATTGGGATAGGACAAGCTGCCCGGACCAACAAAGGTCTTTGCCTGGGTGGCGTTGGATGGGTGCGCAATGAGCGAATCCATGATGACTGGGTGGGGTGAGTGAAGATACGACTTGAGTATATGACACGGTATCGGTAGTCTTGGCAAACTGTGCGATGGAGGTCAGCGGACGGAGATGGGACGGCTGGTGGATCGGGCGAGGGAGGACGATATCGCAGGGAAGCGCGAGGGCGGAGGTCGCCGTGGAGAGCGACCGGACGAGACTGAGGAGAGGCCTCGGTAGGGCGGGAGGAGCGGGGGTTGGGGAGGAGGGGGGGGAGATCGTACACTATCGTGGGAGATGAACAATCGAATGTCTCCCTCACAAACGCTGCCAAGAGTGAGCCACCGACAACCGGTCGCGATAGTGGTCGAAATCGACTGATATCAAGGTGCAGGCGATGGAGAGACCAAAAGCGAAGCCAGCAAGCCTTTGGTGGTGCAAGTCGGTGGATGCGACAGACCGTGAAGCTGCTCTAAGGCTGTCGCACACAAATATGAGGCTTAGGGGGCGGTCGCAAAAACCTCCTCGGGGGACCTCTGAGAGAGCGGAAATGTGCAAGACGCACGATATGAAGCTCGAAACAGTCGGTTTGGCGGCTGCGACGAGGCGAGGTGGGTGTGTTGAGGAAGGTGGTGGTGCGGGCGCAGAGTGGAGGCGGGAACAAGAGCCAACAAAACGGGCAGGCGCGAGGGCTTTATATACTTGCGGCTGCTGCCTGGAGGGGGGGCTCGTGCGTGCGAAATGAGCGGCCACTAGTGCGCTTTTTGTGGCTTAGCCGCCCGCCGCTTTATCTGCGAGAAGCTTGCCACGGCAAATAGGGGGCCCCGTCATGCACTGCGCATTCACCCTGACCTTCACCCTGACCTTCACCCTGACCTTCACCCCTTTGTCACTGCAGCTTGTGTGAAAGTGTGGGCCCCCCTTTGACCAGTTGCTCCCCGTTGGCGATGCATCTGCTGCGCCGTCCTCTTCACTTCGCGATGCCCCCCCCCCCCTTCTTTCTCCTGCCGTCGCGATGACGACGGCACCTCGATCGGGCAGCATCGGCGCCCCGATCCCGCGCTGTTCCTTGTTCCACGGCAGCCCCGACCCCCAATAGCCCCCTATCGCATTACTTGCCTCAGCTGAAATGGACTTCTTCATGGCTGAAGAAAACTCTTGCACTCGCACCGCTCTGCCAGGCAGCCGGGTATTGCATGTCGCGGCGCTTTGGAATGTCTCGTTCGAGGCATGAGCGATGCATCGATGAGGCGGCGAGGCTTCCCGCTGCTGACCGGTTCTGGACACTCGCCCCATACGGCACAGCAATATTCACGTCCAGCGGATGCAATAATATCGAAGACAAAACCGCCTTCACCGGCGACAAAGAGCGATAAGCAAAATGTAACAGCGCATATCTTTGGACCCGGCTTGGTGCTTTGTCGTCGCTGTTTGTCCACTAAGCAAGAAGTCCCCGCCACCCGCTTATGACTCACTCGCCGTGAAGCATCCAGCCAAGCAGCGTCAGGTTTTGGCCCTCTCATCGGCGAAGAAACACAATTCTTCGACTCTCGTTGCACTAGTTCCAGTCCGCGTAATGAAGTTCCAGATGAGCTGACACAGTCTGAGGCCCTGTCTGGTACGACCTATCAAAAAGTTTTCCAGCGACGAGTCAGTTCTGCATGTTGGAGGTTGACACCACCAACGGTTTCACTTGCAGTAGTCAGGTCTTAGCGGCTTCCAGAATTTCTTCGCAGATCGTGTTCTTGGGCTTGAATTTGCTGGACTCGTTGAATTCGTTAATTGCCAAAACGTAACAGAGTCGATTTTGGAGTTGGAGTGGCTCCTCCGATGCCGCACTCGTTGTCATCAGTCTTATCACCTGTTCAACATGCCAAAACTCGCACCAGCGCTTCGCCCATGCGCGCTCGCTGAATTCTACTTAATTCGTCGCATTTTCCTGCGCTTGACTGAAATACCGCCAGGATAAAGCCTGGTAGCTCAAACGACCAAACAACCACAGGTCGTACCGAGCATGCAGCTATTAGTCCCGTGAAAGAAGGATCATCCTCGTGAATAGAACAGTGGGTGCGGTTACCATCGCACAACGCCGTCAGGACAGATGTGCTTTTCATCATGCACTTCACGAATTAGTCTCGCATCCGATCTTCGAATCGCGCCATGCACTGTTCCACGTATAATTCTCAAGTCTCTCGAAATCTCCACTGTATCCTTTGTCCCCCATATCAATACAAGCACAAACGAGAAATTCAGATATGTACATGTATCACTGTTTTGCTTGTGACGGTGCTACCGATGCCACATACTCGGTAAACGACCCCGGACAGCCCTATGCTAACAACACACCACCACCTGCATGGCGGCGAAGATCTCGTGTGTCGGACACATGGCTTGGTTAATTTCCACCACAGGGTGTTTCAGTCGGGAACACGTGTTCGGCCGGGACATTGGGTTCGCTTGGGATTGACGATGCCGAGATTGCGCTACTAACAGGTGCTTATTCTCTGGTCGTGAGGATAGTTGGGGATTGAGGCTCATCTGCGGTATGGTGACGCCTTCTCTGCCACGCCGCTAGGTGCAGTTCAGATCCGACCATGTACATTCAGTTTGTTCACACTACACTACAGCTGAGCAAATTCACCGCATGCGTATTCTCGGGTTCGAATAGACTGAGTTCACTAACAATGGACCGCTCACTTCCTCGAACAGGCAGAATGCCGCACTATCCCTCCTCCCTATCCATATCATCCCTCCCCCTGTTGCCTTTCCTTCCCCTCATCATGCCCCCTTTCCTTCCCCTTGCCTCATGAATATCCTTCATCTCCCTAACAGCCACCCTCTGCGCCTCACTCACTCGCTCCATTAACACCATCGCCTCATCTTTCGGAATAACCTCCTCATCAATCTGCTTCCCCAACGCATTCTCTATCCGAAGCCAGATCTCAACGTCATATTGCGTAACAAACGACGCCGCCTTCCCGCTCTTGCCCGCTCTGGCCGTGCGACCCACACGATGCACGTATGTCTTGGAATCCGGCGGGAGGTCGATGTTGATGACGAGGTCCACGGAAGGTATGTCTAGGCCGCGAGCGGCGACGTCTGTGGCGACGAGGATATCGCGACTACCGGATTTGAATTTGGAGAGTGCGCCCAGACGAGCGGATTGCGACAGTTGGCCGTGAAGAGGGATTGCGCCGAAACCGAGGGTCCGGAGTAGGATGGCGATGCGTTGGGTTTCGTTGACAGTGCGTGTGAAGATTATGACGGAGTGGCCGATGTTGTCGTTTAGGAGATGAATTAAGTAGAGGTCTTTGTGTTTGCTGGGAGGAGGTGAGCAGGGGAGATTGGAGGTGGATAGATTGGAGGTGGCCTTACTATGGCACGAAGATATATTTTTGGAGGAGAGATGCTACGGTCTGGTGAGATGAGGTGCTGATGCTCACTCTCAAGGGATTGTGCAAAGAAGCTCGTTGCAATGACTCAACCTTGGAGCTCATGGTTGCTGAGAAAAGGTACGTGTGTCGACCTTCGCGGGGAAGGACTTTTAGGATCTTGTCTAGGATGGGTCCAAAATCTAAGTCGAGGAGCCTGTCTGCCTCATCCATGACTAGGTACTTCAGATAGCGCAAGGAGAAGCCCTTTGTGTTCTCCAGGTGATCAAGCAGCCGTCCAGGAGTCGCGACAACGATATGTGGTTTCTTGCCGAGTGCGATAGCTTGAGCGACCATATCCATACCACCAACTAGCACAGCGCATTTGACATTAATTAAAGATCCAAGCGCTTCAACTTGTTGAGATATTTGGTATGCCAATTCTCTAGTTGGCGCGAGGACGAGGCCGAATAGAGACTGTGGCTTCTCCATGAGTGCCATCAACATAGGGATAACGAAGGCTGCCGTTTTCCCCGATCCTGTCTCAGCGAGGCCAATTATATCTCTGCCTTCAAGCGCCAGCGGTATGGATTGTTCTTGAATCGGTGTTGGATGTTTGAATCCCAGGTTCGTGCATGCTTCGCAGAGGGATTCGATCACACCCAGATCTGCGAAGGTCTTCTTGGGCGCTTCATCAGGCGGTTTCCCACCTGTATTCTGTTCTTCCTTGTCAGAACCCTCAAAGTCCTCCTCCGCCTCATCTTCGCTCGATTCGGGCTCAACGGGCTTTTTGGGTGGGGTGGGTTTCGCGGTGAACTTGGACATGGACTTCGGAAGGGCGGTGGATTGTTTCGATATTTTGATTCTCGGAGGCGATGCTCCCAGCGAGCGGGCATGCTCATTAAGCTTTCTCTTCTTTGGCATCGACATGTTGGTGTGAAAGTTTCGTCGGAGTGCCTATACAGTTCTTGGTGTGTGGAGGTGAACGTGAGCAAAAATTCTAGTAGAGCGATAAGATAAGATTGCCAAGATTTCACCCCAAAAATTTCGGACGTTGCGATGATCCACCGCTCTCCATCGGCCACGCAACTCCCCATTCACAGTAAAAATAATTACAAAGATGGCACGAGGAGGCAGCCAAAGACGGAAACAGTCCGCAGCGGATAAACAGGCGGCAAAGAAGCCAAAGGATGGGAATCCGAAGAGCATGGTTATTCGCATTGGAGCAGGAGAAGTTGGCGCGAGTGTCACCCAATTGGTAAAGGATGTACGGCAGGTTATGGAGCCGGATACAGCAGTGCGACTAAAGGTATGCTGCACGTCGCTGTTACTGTGGTTTTGACTGCTTATAATTTCATCTAGGAACGACGAGCCAACAAGCTCCGTGACTACACCACCATGTGCGGTCCCCTCGGCGTAACCCACCTCCTTCTATTCTCCCGTTCAGAGGCCGGAAACACAAACCTCCGACTCGCTCGCACGCCCCAGGGACCAACGCTACACTTCCGTGTCGAGAAATATTCGCTGTGTAAAGACATTATGAAGTCGATGAAGCATCCAAGAGCTGGCGCAAACGACTTCCACGTAGCTCCATTGCTCGTAATGAACAACTTCATAACATCGGACGCTGATAGGGAGCTAATGGGAGATGCGGCCCCCCCGAAGCATTTGGAGAAGCTTGTCACCGACATGTTCCAAGGCTTATTCCCGCCTATTCAACCGCACACCACTCCACTACAGACCATAAAACGAGTCCTGTTATTGAGTCGAGAACCGCCGGCTGAAGGCACCAACGGGACATGCACGATCAACCTTAGACACTACGCGATAACGACCAAGGCCACGGGACTGCCGAAGCCGATTCGAAGGCTTTATGCCGCGGAAAAGATCATCAGCGGCAAAGAGAAGAAGCGGCGGGCTTTGCCAGATTTAGGCGAGCTGGAAGACATGGCGGAATATATGCTCGACCCTTCTGCGGCTAGTTACACGTCAGCATCAGATACGGAGATCGAGACTGACGCCGAAGTTGAAGTTGCAGCGCCGGTTACGAGAAAGGTCCTGTCAAGGAAAGAGAGGGACCGAGCAGCTGCACGAGAAGACGGTCGTAAGGCGATGTCACGTAGTGGTAGACCAAAGGTCGAAAAGCGGGCTGTAAAGCTCATTGAGCTTGGTCCGAGAATGAAGCTGCGGCTGACGAAAGTGGAGGAGGATATTTGCAGTGGCAAAGTCATGTGGCATGAGTTTGTGAGCAAAAGCAAGGCGGAAGTCAAGGAAATGGACGAGATGTGGGAGAAAAGGAACAAAGAAAAGGAGGAGCGGCGAAAAATTCAGAGGGAGAATATCGAGAGGAAGCGAAAGGAGAAGAAAGATAGGGGTCAGGAGGATGGTGACGAAGACGAGGATATGGAGGATCTCGATGAGTATGATATGGATGACGATGTCTGGCACGACGAGGACGAAGATGGTGGAGGCGAAGCGCAGGATGAAAACATGGATGATCAGGACGATGGATGAGAGCTGTGGCGGGATAGTGGTCATTGCAAAATCAAGATACCCAAATAGGAACAATGTTATTCGGACTACATCCAAGGGCATCTGATATATTCTCAAATGCCCTACAGGTCTTAATCCTGTGATCCCTTGTCAGTCATTAGAGGGGTTGGATGGGAGATTGAGCACTTACTGCTCAAGTAATCTGAACAATACTTGAAACCTAATCCCGACTGATGCTGGTGGCGGTAGGAATCCAATTATGCCCATGTCTGCAATATTCCCCTCGTTCACCTCCCCTTCGGCCGCTTAATGATGACCCTCTCTCCATCTACTAGTTCCCAACCCACGCCATCTCTTTTTAAATCTGCCCACCTCCTGTCCGCACACCGTTCCACATAGGCCCTATCCGCCCTCATGTATCCACGTCCTAAACACTTCAAAGCATGCAGCCGCATGTTCTGTTCCGCATACTCCATAATGCGTCTTTGGTAGCCATCGACCGCCTTCTTCATTTTCCAAAATACCACCCAATTATCGCTAATTAGCGCCTTTAGTACTAGCTCAACACGCCGATCTGAATACTTGTATCTGTGCTTGGTTTCGTAGGCGCCGGAAAAATCGCCCTGTCGACATGCTTGATCTAGTATCTTGTACCCAACGTATTCATGGAGCTCGGTCGGAGATAGCGGGGTGTGTGGGTGGATCATATTCAGCAGAGCAGAGAAGGCAGGCGAATATGACTCCCAGTCTTTGCACAAAATTGCAGCGTGAATGTTGAAGATGTAGGCTCGTTGGGCGAACTGATCGCGGCGCGCAGTTGCTGTTATTGCTTCGCGCAATTTACGGAGGGAGGAAAGTATCATCGAGAGCTCGCCTGTCGAAGGATTGAAGATTCGCGGCCCAGGGATGGGGATGGCATCTGCGGGAGGAGACCCGGAAAGCATAGAAGAGCTTGGTTTGAGGCTCAGAGATGCGAATTGCTTGTCTAGGTCATCACCGCTGTTAGACGCAGCGCAAAACTTCATGTAGCGTTCAACGATTCGGTTGTAGTAGGACTCTTGAGTCTTCAAGTCGTTCAGTCTAGACAAAGAGTCAGATGGGGATACGTATAGTTTCTGGGTGTGAAAACCTCATCTCGCCCTTGGAGGGGAGCCCATATGTCTCTAGTGGGTCATCTCGGACTGGCTTGAGCCGGTTCCATGCACCAGAAGCTCCCCGCCGGCTGCTGGGCCGGATTTGGTCTGCGGCCTTCATGGAGGCGGATGGCGTTATCAACCAGCCAGGGCCAAGCAAGGAAGATCTATGTCGAGTTGTTACCTGGGCGACATTGTTGGCCACTTGAATGATGCATGATGTTGCGAGGAACAACACCGAAGGTTGAGTGGGGAAGGTGGGACCGGAGATGATTCGGCGATCTGATAGATAGGTAGCAGGCCACGCTTCAAAATATTGAACACGTCCGAGCATCTCATGACAATGACGATGAGGTGCGTCTCGCGTATAGAAATGGCTTTGACGCGTGTTCAAAAAGGAGACGTTTGATCGCATAGCTCGACGCGATTCTTCACATGCATCACGGTATCGCCGTCAAATACGGAATAGCTTGAGAGATATTTCGAGAAGCCGCGGTCTCTGAATCCCAACCAAAGCTCTAACCTTTTTTTTGAAAGCAAAGTCGAAAGATCTCTTGCTCTCCAATTCTTCTTTCCCTCACCGACTTCCTCGTCCACCTTACTCCTTTGTCTCCAATCCCTTAACTACCATGGACATCGCCAAAGAGGCAGTCAAAAAGCTCTCAGAGGGCGAGAAAGCAGCAGAGAAACGACTAACGGTGCTTTGGCATGAGATCGAGGCGTGGCAACAAGACAATCATTACATCCGCAGTGGTTACAGACCACAATCGACTTCATACAGGAAATCCGCAAAGAGTCTTGGGTACATCCACAACGAGACGGTCAACATATATTCACACCTAGTCGGTGCCATATTAGCTGTCACATCGGGCGCAGTCATATATTTCGTGCTAAAGCCACGCTACGAAACGGCGACAAGGGAGGATGTGCTTGTCTTCGGCTGCTTCTTCCTGGGTGCGACGGCTTGCCTAGGGATGAGCGCAACGTTTCATACAATATCGAATCATTCTCACGCTGTGGCGAGCTTTGGGAATAAGCTTGACTATCTCGGCATTGTATTTTTGATATGGGGAAGCTTCATACCGGTCCTATACTACGGTTTCCAAAGTGAACCACACTTGATCAAGACCTACTGGGCGATGGTATGGCCTTACGAAGAGCTTAAAATTAGTTACTAACTTGCAAAGATTACGACCCTTGCCGCGGGAACATCCGTCGTCTCCACGCACACTAAATTCCGTACTCCTGCACTGCGCCCCTTCCGTGCACTTATGTTCGTGCTTATGGGTCTCTCTGCTGTTTTTCCAGTCTTGCACGCCCTCCGCCTCTATGGGCTGGAGCAATGCCGGAAGTCTATTGGCCTCGACTGGGTTGTCCTTCAAGGATCCCTCTACATCCTTGGAGCTGGCATCTATGCTGCTCGATTCCCGGAACGAGTGAATCCAGGGGCTTTCGACATCTGGGGTTCCTCACACCAGATTTTTCATTTCTTGGTCGTGCTTGCTGCAGCGTCTCATCTTGTTGGATTGATTAAGTCGTTTGATTATGAGCATGGTCAGAGAGACGGGGCAGTTTACCTTACTTTCTTGAACAAGATTTGGCCATGAGTCGTGTCTAAATAAGAATGTTTTCTAGACAGGAGCTAAGCGAAACGGTTGCTAGGACTATAGACACCGCGCGCAGAACACACGAAATTCATTTGCGATTCCTATATTGTCTTTGACGATTCTTCCCACAAGTCGGCTGTAGGATAGTGGCTGCTGTCGCAACCATCTTGCAAATGCGCTCCTTCCTAACACCGGCCCGCCAGCTCATCTTGCCGCCTCTTCATTTACCGACCTCTCTCTCTTCAGATATCTCTTTTTCATCTTATCTGCCATTCATATCCGTCGAACATTGCATCTCCACATCTCAGATCGCATGCCCAATCCAGTCATCTAACCGAGTCCAGCACGGGCCACCGATGACGCCGTGGCCCGAGAGGAGCCAGCCATCTTTCCCCATAATCCCGTGTTGACCAATCATCAGCGCAGATCGCCAGAAGCTCGCAGCTCGCTCGATCCACCCACAACTCCCATCTGTCTCGTTTCCTGACCTCTCAATCCCTCACCTCCTCTTCAAGCTGACCACGCACTGCACCACAACGCGCGCATCACCTCCTTCATCTTGCGCATTGTCGCCAATACCACGCGCCTCAATTGAGACTTCTTCCAGAATTTTGCGACTCTTAAGTCCGCATCTTGAAAGAATCACGTCATTACATCCTTCCCAGAGCTTCTCAGACGGCAACTTGCAAAATGACCGACAATCAGGTTCAGGAGGGAGACCAAGGTATTCTAACTTCCAATCCATCCATATCTACCGTTTGGGCGCAAGTTGATGGAGACTGGTCGTTTAGCGGCCATCTCCGTTGACGCGCCTGTGCTGACAATTGCGCGCATCATTCGCATCAATCTCCATCACTGCACCCCCTCAGACTGCTCTCAAGTATTTACTAACGCGTTTCTCTCATGGTAGTCTCCTGGAAATGGTCAGGATCGCGTCCAGGCGGTGAGGTTGCCGAAGTCAAGGAACATGGCGAGCTCGCAATCGAGTCCAACAAGGGCAATACCATCAAGAAGAATGCCGAGCCTAGCGATCCGGCTGTTCACATCGAGAGACCAGGTAATGATGTCGTTAAGCGCGCGCATGAGGTCGACATCGAGAAGAAGGCCAATGGTGCCAACGGTGCCAACGGTGAGCAGGCCAACGGTGATGCAGAAAAGAAAGAGGAGAAACAATCAGAACCCGGGGAGAAGGATAAGAAGGTAAATGACGCCCCACCTGCCGAGGAGAAGCAAGCCGAGCCCGAGAAGCTGGTAGAGGAGAAGGACGAACCCGAGGAACAGAACGGAGTCCCCGAGCCAGCGGAGGAGGCTAAAGTAGAGGAGGCCATGGAGGAGGAGACGAAACTCGAGACCCCCCAAGCTGAAGAGAAGAAGGCTGAGGAGCCCAAAACGGGCCAAAAGCGCAAAGCCGACGACTCGCCCGCTCCTGATACCAATGGTGCTCAGACTGAGGACAAGGAAGAGCCAGATGCGAAGAAACAGAAGACCGACGAAGCAGAGACCAAGACCAAGGGAAAGAAAATGGGTCGACCGAAGAAGGGCGGAGAGAAGAAGGAAAAGAAGGAGCCTGTTCGTAAGAGACAGCCAAAGAAGCCATCCACCGCCGACGGCCAGCCAAGGCGAAGCGCGAGGAACAAAGCTTAGCTTCATACTGACGTAAATATCGGGTAACAAACGGATAAATGCCTTCTGCTATTGACACGTTCTTCATGTCGCTCGAGCAGGAAGTAATGAATCGAACATTTTCTTGGTTCTTTCAAGGTTTTTGGTAGTGATCTGGGTCGAGGCCGGTGGGACTCTGGGACACGACGCGTAGGTAAGGTGGCATTCTGTCTTGCAATGAGGCGCTCAAGGGACTGTATTTTTTTATACTTTGCTGGTTGTTTTTCAATCTCAAAACGCTTGATCTTACTTCACTTTCTGATTGTACTATAACTGCCAATTTCTTCGCATGTCCTCTGGTCCATCGGAAAAGCACTTGACAGAGAAGTCTTCAATAAACAGTGCAATCATCATATGTTGACTTTTAACTGTGAACTGTTAGCAGTTACTTCGAGAGAAATAGAGCATCCAAGGGGTGGCTAGTTTTGCCAGCTTGAGAAACCTCATTCAAGGAGGTAAAGGCTCTTGCACCTTGAGTGCCTCAATCTACATTGAAACCGAGAGATGACGGGACCATGATGAATGCGGACAGGAAGGGGACAGCAGAAGCTTACATAGAAGACTTTCCAGCACACAAAACACACATTCACCTTGGGATATCACAGAGTTTAATAATCGTTATTCTACAACGCGTAGATGGGGTGTCATTCTTGGATGAGAAAGAGCTTTGAGACTCGGCTCATGGTGACGAATTTTACAAGCGAAAGCTTGGCGTAGGTGTAACCTCACGTTCAAGCCCCTGAATTTCCACTATCAAACTCTCTTCATAAATTTCGGCAATTTCCTTTTCTTTTCATAACACGCCGGGAATGCTCTGTTCCCTTAATTTTATTCTTCTCTACATCCCGTCGGCGAAATTGGCCATCAAACTTTTGCCTTCACAATCCACCGCCTCCCAAGGCACGCCCATCTGCTGAAGATGAATGAAATTAAACTCAATCCAAGAACTGCGCAATAGAACGCTACCATAGCCTGTGGTCCTACAACTTCGACGAGCTCTCCACTAATCGGGATGCAAACGAGTGTAGCTAGGCTTGCAATGAAGTACAACGTTCCGTAGTACCGCCCGAATTCCTCGGCCCTGCAAAGCTGGCCTATACACGCTGGAGTGAGCGCCATCCAGCTGCCTGTGCCGAACCCAAACAGTGCCGCAAAGCAGTACAGGGCCGGGAGAGACTTTTCCCCCAAAGGAAGCCAGAGGACCAGCATCCAGACGAGCGTAAAGATGATCATTAGGAGCAAGGTGTTGAATCGACCAATCTTATCAGCCACATATCCCGGAAGTATCCGCCCAAGACATGACACGCCGTTGAGGATCGAGATCAAGTAAAAACCAGTATCTGGTGGATAGTTGGTACTTAGCGTTGTGTAGGTTGGCAGAATCCCCAGAGCACCGAACAAGACAACTTCAAAGCCGAAAACCGAGATTGTCAACAAACTGAATCTTAGGTCGCCGAAGATGGACAGTGAAATGATTGCCTTCCTTTTGGTAGCCGTAGACGGCAGGATACGGGCTTTGATTAAGATGTTTCCGATGATGAAGCAGCCCAGGAAAATGAATCCAAGGATTCGAATGGACCATCGATATCCATACACCGGAAAGGTCGAACGAAGAATGAGAGGGATAGTCAGCCCACCGAAAGAGGACCCCATCATTGCAATGCCCTGTGTCAAGCCTCTCCGTGCTTTGAACCAGTGCGCCACAACCGCGAGGGACGTCGTTGTCAAGGTTGCTCCAGTGATCCCTCCAAGAACGCCACAGCAGAGAAGAAATTGCCAAAACTCTTTACATTCAGCGAGCAGGAAAACCATTATCAGATATCCAGTACTCCCTAGCAAAGCAATCCACCGTGGCCCATATCGATCAAATAGCGGTCCGACCCAAATTCCCAATCCCAAAGCCAAGTACACGAATACGGACGGGATCCACCCTATATCCCGAGACGTATAGTTAGAAAGCTGGTGTTGCTTCCAGTAGTCCTGAAGAGTACCAATGGAGACCATGAAGCCAAAGGAAGGAAATAGCATTAAGCATGCAGACGCAACAACTAGCCACGCTCTGAGGCCGCCCTCAGGGAAACTATCCTCCGAATCGATGGATATCGCCACTTCTTCGTCTCTTCCTCCTGGTTCTCTTTCATCCTGTTCATTCTGTACCGGTACTTGGCTTTTCATCTCGATCTGCGACGATACATCTTTGGCGCTCGCGTCGGCCTTCGACGCTCTCGATAGCGTTTGTCTTAACGCACCAAGGATTTCCCCTTGTTGTGTTTCTCCTCGGCTGCTGGATGGCATATCTTGAAGTTGCACTACAGGATTCGAAATTGTGTCCATTTTCTATTACGCTCTTCCACTTTTCTACCGTTTTGGCAGTTCTAGAGCTCGTTTTGACTGGGAATGAAGATCATCTTGACCATAATTTTGTGTGGGCCCTCATTCACCACCTATGACAGCAAGACTCATCATACAAACGCCATTGGCGCGCCCTATCGGCAATGCATGGAAAAGTGTGGAGCTTGAGCGAGACCGAACCCTTGCCCCGCTCAACCCAAGCTATGACCGGATCTGGAATTCGAACGCGGGACCAGAAATCTCTGCATTTCAAAAGAAAAAAAAAATCCATTGAAAGGACGGTTCCGGATTAATGGTTAGTTCCTCGGCCATAGACCTTGGGAAATACGGCCAAGATGCTGCTGTGATGATCTGTACCAAGCTTTCCTCTTCGGCGGAAGCTTGAGGAATCGTCCGTCGGTAAGCTTCCTCCTTTTCTACTCCACGTTCTTAATCTCTAGACGTGCAACTTGCTCGCAGGTAACAATTAAAAGTAAAACGTCGGCTTTGGATTTTCGTTGCCTAACTACACACATCTCGATAGAGCCGCTTATCTAATTGTCTTAGACCTCAGTTCCTATGACGAGACTAAACCTATATGAAGTATACATGGATTTCAAAGCACATAGATCTCTAATTCAATAGCATTTGTGTGCCTTTGTCGATCTTGCTGCTCGAAATAGAAAAGGGAGTCAACCGCTATGGAGGGGGGTGGTGTGGAGGTCTAGGAAAATGGAGCAAATTCTAAGATTAACACGCGACCAGAGGAATACCCAAAAGCAACAATACTCCCATACACGGCAGAGCAAAGCGGCCGATACTCTGGGGGAAGCCAAAGAATATCTCTTATGCCACAGCAGACCCACTGGCCCTTTACAAATACATCATGTCTAGGAGTTAATTGAGAAGAAACGTTGCTAGGGGAAAGAGATATAGTATGTAATACTCCCCTGTCAGTTTGGATGAACGTCCCATCCTCAGAGAATGTAAGGGTTCGAACAGCGACATCCTCGATCGTCTGCAGCACCGCTCCGGTGCGGGCATCCCACAGCTTGACCGTCTTGTCCTGCGAGGCCGACGCTAGCACTTTGCCGTCTGGCGAGAAGGCTACCGCCCCGACCGAATCCGAATGGCCCTTGAGCGTCTGTAGCACCGCTCCCGTGCGGGCGTCCCACAGCTTGACCGTCTCGTCTTGCGAGGCCGACGCCAGCACTTTGCCGTCTGGTGAGAAGGCCACCGCTCCGACCCAACTCGAATGGCCCTCGAGCGTCTGCAGAACCGCTCCCGCGCGGGGGTCCCACAACTTGACCGTCCCGTCCCAGGAGGCCGACACCAGCACTTTGCCGTCTGGCGAGAAGGCCACTGCCTCGACCCAACTTGAATGGCCCTTGAGTGTCCGCAGCACCGCTCCCGTGCGGGCATCCCACAGCTTGACCGTCCC